CGGCTACCATTTCTTCCATCCATCAACCCTCGAGAGATAATTTTCTCAAACCTCAAATCCCGCTGTCTCTTCCTGTCTATGCTGGCATTCCTTGTGACGCTGGTTCCGCTAACAGATGGCGAGCATAAAGGTACCTGACTAAAAATTTTAAAAATCCATGCCGATCGGATAGAGCATGAAAAAGTACAATTTTATAAACTCAAAAGTTAAGGTAGGAGCCTCAAAAAAAAGTTATAAACGAAATGAATGACCTTAGTCCAGCGGTACACAAAACTGCCAGATATGACAGGTATTTATTTTATTTCTGTCTTGAGAGTGCATTTTTCGATTTGTCTGTTATCCTTCTTTATTTTGTGTGATTTCTGCGACTCTCTTTCTGCTATGACACGGTACGTTGTTACCGGGAGAAACAGTTGAACCAACGGGAGAGACTTGACGAAACTTTTTTCTTTGGTTCTACGCCTGCCTCCAGGTGCAACTCAATTGGACAGGATTTGGAGTCGGCCGGCTCTGCGTATTAATTTTATTGGCAACCCCAATTTTCGCTTTGAGACTCAAAATTTTAGTCATTGGGGGACGACTGGAATGCCTTTACAGATAATATACATATGTAGTAACGGTAAGCCAATCCAGGCTTTTGGCTAGCCAAACGAAGAAATTCATTTTGGCTGTCGTGCCAACTTTGGCCAGTTAGTCAAACAATGTTGCAATATCAGCTACAGATATTGGCCTGGGACCCGATCGATCTGCCGCAAATGAAATCTGGCCCAAATGAAGGGTATCGTTGAAGACATCTCAATTTGAAGGACGGTATGCGGTACGTCTGAAAAAGGTCCCTTCGTAAATAGCAACAAAGCATTCTACGATGTGCCAATGACTTTATAATTGAATTATTTTTGGGCTTATTCAATAAACAAGCTAATGGTAATTTGATTAGCACTGAAATTTTGTTTTATATTCTAGAGATTTTAAAATTTTGTCATTTCTTCTATTCATGCATTCCAAATTTGTATTTTTTGTCATTCTGTTGTCGGTGACTTCGACCTATGTTGAGCCCTACATATGGTCAGGACGGCCTATTCCATCTTGTAGGTGTCGTAGGTCCCCGTGCCCATGCTATCGTAGTTATGGCATTCGAGACAAATGGATCTCCGATTATTTGAAAAAAGTAAAAAATCAAACTAATACCTTTCACGTGTAGCCATATAACGTATCGCCATTTTGATAAATTTCAAGTTTTATGTTTTCAGTTGTATTATAATGTTGAACGGGACAGTAAACTAAACAAATAAAAACGTCAAATCTTCCCCCGAATCCTTACTCCATTCGAAATTTTTGAGCCATCTTTTGAGAAAATGAAAGAATTGAAATAGGATGACAGCATGATGACTATTTCTGATTTTTGTGCCGTTTTCTTTTCCGACCGAACTTGACGAATTTCTTTCACAATCGAATCTTTTTGGCTGTCGTGCCAACTTTGGCTAGCTAGTCAAACAATGTTGCAATATCAGCTACAGATATTGGCCTGGGACCCGATCTGCCGCAAATGAAATCTGGCCCAAATGAAGGGTATCGTTGAAGACATCTCAATTTGAAGGACGGTATGAGGTACGTCTGAAAAACGTCCCTTCGTAAATAGCAACAAAACGTTCTACGATGTGTCAATGACTTTATAATCGAATTATTTTTGGGCTTATTCAATAAACAAGCTAATGGTAATTTGATTAGCACTGAAATTTTGTTTTATATTCTAGAGATTTGAAAATTTTGTCATTCTTGCTATTTATGCACTCGAAACTTGTACTTGTCGTTTTTCTCCTGTTGGCGGTTTCGACCTATGTTTGGCCTCTCCCATTTTGTGCGTGTGTTATCGCCCCATGCCCATGCTCTGGTAGTTTTGCCGGGTTTCGAGACATCTCGGATTATTTGATTGTGAAAAAAGTAAAAAATCAAACTAATCCGTTTCGTCTCAATTTCAAGGACGGATAGGCACGCAACTCCCTTCGTAAATAATTTATATAGTAGTTTACCGTATAACTAATCGCCATTTTGAATAATTTCAAATTGTATGTTTTAAATTGTATTGTAATGTTGAACGTAACAATAAACTAAATGAATAAAAACGTCAAATCTTCACCCGAATCCTTATTCCACTCGTTGCTGCTCGTTTTCAACCCGAAAAGATAGTTTTAGCTGTCAGGGTAAATCTTTTTGAGGCCAAATTTCATGAATTTACGAACACTGCGAGCGTTCATCAATCAGCGAAATTTTTGAGCAACCCTTTGAGAAAATGAAAGAATTGAAATATTAGGATGACAGCATGATGATTTTTTCTGATTTTTATGCAGTTTTCTTTTCCGACCGAAGTTGACGAACTTCTTACACGATCGAATCTTTTTGGCTGTCGTGCCAACTTTGGCTAGCTAGTCAAACAATGTTGCAATATCAGCTACAGATATTGGCCTGGTACCCGATCTGCCGCAAATGAAATCTGGCCCAAATGAAGGGTATCGTTGAAGACATCTCAATTTGAAGGACGGTATGCGGTACGTCTGAAAAACGTCCCTTCGTAAATAGCAACAAAACGTTCTACGATGTGTCAATGACTCTATAATCGCATTATTTTTGGGCTTATTCAATAAACAAGCTAATGGTAATTTGATTAGCACTGAATTTGTCGTATATATTCCAGAGATTTTAAAATTTTGTCATTTCTTCTTTTCATGCACTCCAAACTTGTATTTTTTGTCATTCTCTTGTCGGTGATTTCGACCTATGTTGAGCCCTCCGGATTCGCCGACAAATTAGTCACACGACCACGGCTCGTCCACCGATGTGTGTGTTTTCTGTCCCCGTGCCCATGCGATGATGATTACGTGAAACAAAAAGAACTGCAAAGAAATTGGGTAAACAATCAAAAAAATAAAGAATTTTGGGCTAACTCCGACCAGGTTCCTAAGTTGGGGCGAAAATAAGGAACTTTTACCATAGCAACAAAACGTTATGTGCCTTTGTAATCGAATTATTGTTGGTCTGATTCCATAAACAAGATAACGGTCATTGGATTAGCACTAAAATATTGTAAATAAAAACGTCAAATAAGAGTGAAGAAATAAGATCGCACCGGTCGTTCCGAAGCAAAACGTTAAAAACGCTTTCCTAACTTTTTTTTGAAAAAATAGAATGGCAAAAAATGAGGCCGACATGAGAAAAAAAAAGCTCGAGAAAGCAAATTTAGCGTCTTTTTCAAAATCTCACAATCAAAATTGGCCTTACACTGCTGGACAAAATGATATGACCACCGCAATTTTGCGCTGGCAATTTGTCCATGGTAAATGAATTGCTTTAATATTTGGTGAAAGTGAGTATGGAGCAATGTAACATGTACCCAAAAAGTATCAAAGGATTTCAAAAAGTGCAAGGTGAGTAAAATTTGGAAAAACGCGAAACCGCCAAAAATCGGCTGGACAAAATGATATGACCACGTGGTTTAATTCAATCTTTTACTAATAAACACAATTTAACAAACAATCCTAGTAATCAGTGAGTCCTCCACTGATTACTAGGACTGGTATGGGGACACGTTCGGCCAGGTTTAGACGGGTTTGAACGCGTTAAACCATGTTTGATGCACAGCTACCCAAACTGGTGATTATCTTCCATTAACGCTTTCCAAAACTTTTAAATGACGTTTTTATCATGTGATCTAGACGTGTAATCACCTGTACAAGGCTTCGCTTTTCGCAAGAACTCCGTGGCGGTCTGGTAGTGTGGATTCAGCAAACATCCGGTTACCATGTCCAGCTTTGGCGGCCCATTTGCTATTTGACCCTGGGGATATACAGGGTCGTATGTGCTCCTTAGGTTTAAAATGTAACCCGGAATCTCTCCAGAAAACGGCGAAGCCAAGAAAAGTACCCGCTGACACGATCACGGCTTTGCAGATGCAACTTTGCCGACCTTCACCTTAACCGGCAAAACCGAGTTTTTCAAATGGATTTTTAGCGATGCAAAACAACTTTCATTCGATGGCCTATGTAATTTTAGAAGCTACAGCACACCTCATGCATCTTGGGCCATAAAATGAATTGTTTTTTGTCGCTAACGATCCCTTTGAAAAACTTGGTTTTTCTGGTTAAGGGGCAGATCGGTGCAGTTGCATCTGCAAAGCTGTGATCGTGTCAGCGGGGACTTTTCTTGGCTTCGCCGTTTTCTAGAGAGATTCCGGGTTACATTTTAAACCTAAGGAGCACATATATCCCCAGGGTCAAATAGCAAATGGGTCGCCAAAGCTGGACATGGTAACCGGATGTTTGCTGAATCCACACTACCAGACCACCATGGAGTTCGTGCGAAAAGCGAAGGCTTGTACAGGTGATTACACGTCTAGATCACATGATAAAAACGTCATTTAAAAGTTTTGGAAAGCGTTAATGGAAGATAATCACCAGTTTGGGTAGCTGTGCATCAAACATGGTTTAACGCGTTCAAACCCGTCTAAACCTGGCCGAACGTGTCCCCATACCAGTCCTAGTAATCAGTGGAGGACTCACTGATTACTAGGATTGTTTGTTAAATTGTGTTTATTAGTAAAAGATTGAATTAAACCACGTGGTCATATCATTTTGTCCAGCCGATTTTTGGCGGTTTCGCGTTTTTCCAAATTTTACTCACCTTGCACTTTTTGAAATCCTTTGATACTTTTTGGGTACATGTTACATTGCTCCATACTCACTTTCACCAAATATTAAAGCAATTCATTTACCATGGACAAATTGCCAGCGCAAAATTGCGGTGGTCATATCATTTTGTCCAGCAGTGTATTTCTTCATTCTTCCCTCAAATCTTTATTCGATTCGTCGGCGACTCGCGCCCGACATTTGTCCCGCGAAAAGATGGTTTGAATGAAAATTTGTCGGAATTTTTTTCCCCCGATTTCTTTTGACAAGATTCAGATAAAATAAAGAAGTGTGGAGGTTTTGAGAATTTTTACATGCTATATGGATCCAAATCAAGTAAGTTTTACTTGCTTCACAGAAGTTTTTACCTTATACTTGACCTTCACTGAAGAAAATATGTTATTTCTTTGGTATTTTTGAATCAAACCTTATCTCTACAGCTTCTTTTTTTTTGAGTTATATCCAATACCTTGAGATTTATTTGACGGCAGGTTTGAGTTTGCCTTTGCAACGCTTTCTTTTGTTGTTTTATGTAGATTTGATACCTAAAACAATTTTACTTTCTACTTACTAGTTTCTTGAGTGAAATTTGCTACAAAGTTTGTTTATTCATTGTCTTCAGGATCCAGACTTTACTGCAGCCAGTGTGCACAGCAATCATTCAGTTTTCCATGAGCAGCAAAATGTGAGCATCAGTCCTGCTCCGTCCCTTGACACCATCCCAAAGAAGGTAAGAATAATTCTTTGTTTGTTTTGTATTTAGTGGAAGGAATGATGCAGTTGATTTTGCTGCAACATCAACAAAAAATCAGATTCTCCATTTTAGGCTCAAAGTCAACGGCCCCGAACAACAGAAACCCAGGATAGCGGATATCCAAAGGAAAATAGGCCGGCGTCCAATGCTTCCACTCCATCATACCAGTTGGGGCAGTTCAAAGGAGTTTATGGTATGTCCTTCACGTTGTTTTGTTTGATTTTTAGATTGATGGAGGCGAGGATTTGTTTCCCACTTCATCTGTTTGATACCTGATAGAGATTTCGGGGCTTGGATGGGGACAATAATGTCTTTGCTCGCAATTTTTGTGCAGTTAGATAGCCTGTGAGATTTGACAACTGATAAATGTGGTTTTCGAAGTGGTTTCCTTAAAATCGACTGGTTTTTCGAAAGGGACATTATTTTAGGTGGCTATTAGACACTTTGCTTCTTTGGCGCTTCAAAAATGAAAATTTCTGAAAATGTTTGGTGCTCTAGGAAAGAAAAAATACTTTACGCAGCCATTAATACTAATTTTTCCAAATTCTTCGTTCTTCAGCCTCGGATATTACACCATCCACCAAAGCTCGCCCCCAACCTCGTCGAATAGCCACCCCACGAATCGAAGAGTTTCCGGATGACGCTAATGTCTCACTTTCCTATCGCTCCGAGCCGACCACTCCGTCAACGTCGACAATTCCGTCTTCGAACACAGGGTTAGTCCCGATTCCTCGGCCGTCGCCGTTGAACACAGATATTCTGAAGAAAATGCCGAAGCTCCCGGAGTCCCCGTCTGAAATTCGGAGTTCCAAAAGATTCCACGAGCTGTTGGTGGAATCCCCGAGGGTTGTTCCGAAGAAGTATATGAGTGAAGAAGTTGTGCGAAGGCTGACTTGGCAATTGAGAGATCAAATCGAGTTCTTGGACCGACAAGGCGATGATTATCGAAGGTTTTTGGAGGATGTAAGTTGATTTTGATGCCCGTTTGTTATTTTCAATAGGTTTTAGGTAAGAGAAATGCGGAGTAGCAAGGGATTTTCAAGATTTCTAAGAATTTTTGTCAATGTAATATTGAGGAATGTCTAAGATTTTATTTTCAGTCGAAAACCGGCATCGTCAACGAGCTGAAAGCCCAGATTCATCAACTAAACGAAAATATCCGCGTTTTGACCGAAGAAAAAATCGATCTCAATCAAGCCCTTGCTGGTCTTCGAGCCGAAAATTCGAATCTAAATCAACGGAATCGAGAGCTCAAACAGAGTCTGGAGAAGGAGAAACAAAATGATTGTTCGGAACTTGAGGTGAGTCTATTATTTTTTTTTGAAAATTTGGATTTTAGTTGGTGAAGAAGATGTTGAATGAGAAACGAACTCAATTGGTCGATGCGGAGAAAAAGCGAGCAAATATGGTCAAAGAAGTTAGGGTATTGAAGGAGAATGCGGTCAGTGATAAGGAGAAAATCGACGATCTTCAGCAGAAATTGCATCGGCAACATGTAAGAATTTGGTCTAAAAAAGATGATTTTAAGTTCAAATTTGATTGCTTTTTTGATAGCAGTTGAAGTTTGAAATACGATATGGGAACTTATTTTTTGATCGTTTACGGTTTCTTGTCTGAAATTGGCAATTTTCAGAATGCAACCCAAAAACTTCGCGATGAGAAGGCTAAAATGACCAAAGAGATGGCTCAGCTCAAAGAAGAACTCGAGCTGGCCAAGCAGCAAGCTGCCTCATCGTCAGCTCAAGCCAACGTCCCATCAGCACAACGGCCAACGAAGGCGTCGGCCGCGAAACAGCAACAAAAACGACCAGCGCCGCCGAAAAGTGCCCTCAAAAATGTTTCGTGGAGCCCCAATCTGGAGAATGTACTGCAAAGAAGTGAACATAGTGATGTGAACATTCCTGATGACATGGTATGGGGGTTTGAAGTAGTTTTAGTTATTATAATGGAGATTTGAAATTATTTTTTTTTGGTATTGCACATTACAGGTGTGGGTCTCAACCGGAAAGCTGGATGAGGGCACAGTTGACACCTTCAAGGATTCGGATGGCCAGTTAATTGTACGACAGACTCTGAGCGACCGTTGTAGAGTCTATAAGGCGGGATCCATCGATTCGAAGTCATTCAAATGGATGCATCGAGATGAAGGGCAGATCGAGGTAAGGATAATATAAATTTTTGGCTTTTTTAATCGGAAAATACGAGAATAACTGTTATTTGGCTCTTACTACGTTATTTTATGTTTGATTTCTTCAGATTGACTTCCGGGAAGACGACAGGTTTGTCTCGATCGACATCCATTCGATCAAGATTTGCATGTTCCGCGATGGCCTTATGATGGTCGATTATGCAGATGAAGGGCAAATGTACATATTGCCGGATGGCCAACGAATTGAAGTTATAAGAAACGAACATGGAGGCTTGGAAAGGATAGAATTGTAAGGGGTTTTTGATATTATCCTAGGCCGCTGATGTTGAAGATCGATTTTTGTTATGATGTTTAGGAATAAGGGAGTTGTAGGGTAAGGTAGTGAATACTGGAGGTTGTTATAGGATGTGCTCACGTTTTTGCAGGGTTTTGGGATGTATGAGATCAAAAAATTTTAAAAGTATTTATGAAGAAGATTATGGGTTTTGAAGTAGATCTGAAAGAAATGGAGGTTAATAGATACTTTATAAAGCTAGAATACGATAAATTGGACTTTATAGTATGTTGTCGATTGATTTCCGATGCAATAGACCAACAAAAAATGATTTTTTTCAGGTTTTCCAAGGAGAAGGTCATTATTTATGACGGGGAAGAGACTCGAGAGAAACCGATAGAGTTGAACAAGAAAAAGTACTCGAAAAGGACCGGCGTCGAGTCGAAATGTATGTACATCAATGACGGCTCCATCAACTTCTTCAACAAGCATTTCGAATGCAGATATTCGGAGGACAAGTTCATCAGGTTCCTCTCAAAACCCCATGAACTTCTTTTCGATCTGCATTGGAAAACGGGAAGAATTGAGATTCAGCATTGGCATGGGCCGGATCAAAAACGAGACGACTGTTATTGTAATGGATTCCCACCTCAAAGAAGTAAAAATTGAGGATTAAGACGCCATCTTAAAAGAATGAGCTCATGATGTATATTGTTGATGAATAACATGTATTTTTTTGCCTGTAGAGTATAATATTTGATTGCTGTTTGGATAAATAACACTTATATGAAGAGAGTATAGTATTTTTTTGGTCTATTCCATTTTTTACCGCTTTTTTGGTCAGTTCTTATTACTTTTGTGAGGTTAAGTCCGAAATGATTTTTGAACATGCCTTATTTTATAAAAATGAATAGATTAACTCAAATAGATTACTAGTTATCGTCCATGAAGGCGTCTTAGTCGTCCGCACGGATGCATTTGCTCTTATCGGTGATGGTTTTGGGGCAAGTGACCTGCTTGAAAGTGACTCCTGGGTTGTCGGAGTTTCCGAACCAATCGAATCTCCAATCGCAACCTGGTTGCAAGGTAGCGGGAAGCTGGCTACAGTCAGACCGAGAGCTGACTCCACCATATTGAGATCCCCAGCCGGACGATGGGGCTCCCCATTGGGCTGTGCAACCGTTGAAGATTCCAACGCCACCACCAGGAATCTAAAGAAATTCGGGGATTAGACTATTTGGGATATTTTGTTGGCGTATCGAGTTTTAGGAATCAAAAAGGTTGACTATCGTTTGAGAAAGGATTCGGAGAGTTTTTTTGCTCAAAAATCTATGTTAACTTACAGCCAAATCAAAGTGGTTATCTCCCAAGTCTCCGCCGGTGTTGGTTGCCTGAATGACGAACTTCTTTCCAGCAACAGAACCACTAGTAAACGTAAGCTCGTAGCAGGCGCAGCACCAGGTGCTTTCACTTCCTCCAGCTAGCTTAACTGCCGCAAATCCAAATGAAAGAGTGTCATTGACTGCATAGGGTTGTTCAGTCGAGCAACTGTACGCGGAACCTCCGTTACAGCCGGATTGGGTGTTTCCACCGTCGTTCAGAGGTTGATCGTGAACATCACAGGTCTGAATGGGTCCAGACTTCAAGGTAGCTTTGCCAGGCCAAGCGCAAGAAGACTTGCAGCAATCCCAGTAACGAGTAGTTACTCCGGTGCCTGAAGTTCCGCCAGAAATGTAGCTATAGCTGTAGTCGGCGCTGTTTCCACTGGCCTGGGTAGTGGCTGCGGCCGTTGAGCTGGCTTTGGTTGTTGTCGTTGGAGTGGTGCTTGATGCTGTTGAGCTGGCTGTGGATGGTGCTGCACTAGCTTTAGATGGTGCTGCACTGGCTGTAGATGGTGCTGCACTGGCTGTAGATGGTGCTGCACTGGCTTTAGATGGCGCTGCACTGGCTGTAGATGGTGCTGCACTGGCCTTTGTTGGTGCTGCACTGGCTGTTGTCGCAGGGCTGCCACTAGCTGCCGTTTGGCCTTTAGTCGTTGACGCCGCACTAGCTGGAGGGGCCGTCTGTGTTGCCCCGGCCGCGGTCGTCAAGGGGCCACAGGTCTTACCTTCCACCACGTTCTCAAACAACAACGCCAACACCAAAACCGAAACGAGTAGTTTATTCATGGTCGAAACTCGAGTAATGTACATTCAGATTGTGCCTAGCTTTATATACCCTCAAGTCCCAACTGCTACGCTCAACTTTGGCGATGGTTTAGCTGCCGGAGTAGGCTGTTTTTGTTTGTACAGCTGAGTGAACCGGGAAAATTCCTATCGGCTTATCAAATCTTTTGTATGCACAGATTGAGCAAAACGCCCAAAAAACGGATATTTTTGGAAGTTTAGGACGCATCTGGAGTCGTGTGATTGCGTTAAGCATCAGGACTTGATTGGATTTGCCAAAAAGATTTCTTTCGCCAATGGTTTGACAAGTAATTGAGTGGAGTTTACAAGAGTTAACCTTTCATCGCATTAGAGACTCAATTCTGGTTGGTTCAACCTTTCCTCTTTTAAAGGGCCTGTACAGCTACTTTGAAAAGCGATTTTCTCGGCTTGGGGTGGCTTTCTGATATATCGTTTGTTTTCGTGGCGGGACGCACTGACAAACTCGGTGCGACTTTTTTTGATCCAAGATGGATAATATTTGGTGCAAAATGCACACTGTTTCACCGTAATATGCGCCAATTCAATGTTTTTACATGGAGAAATCGTAAGTCGTTGCTTTGAAATATTTTTGATTGGATTTTTAGGTAGTTTTTATGTTGTGGACGCTGTTTGAAACGCTTCAGCTTAATTATACGATAAGATAGGTTTTATGAGGCGGAATAGGGGCGAAGTTGTTCTAGAACGTTTTGTTTGTGAGTGGGTGAACTTACTTTGAAAAACCCTACATTTTTTTGACAAACTGAAGAATTTTTGATATTGCTTTAGGTTGAAATCAGTGGCAAAAATTCCGTAATGTTGCGTGTCTGCCTTCTCCGTTCACAATTAGTATATTTTATAGACTTGCAAGGTTATTCGGGACGTTTATTTATTGTTTTTTAGTCCTTTCTGGGTTTAATTTTCATGTTATATTGTTCATGATTGTCCTTGTTTTCCAGGCGGAATTCCTGTTGCCAGAAGTCAATCGCCTCCTAAAGAAGAAGTCAGGATGCTAAATGGTTCAGAACCGCAGTGGTTTTCAGCAAAGTTGAGCCACCGAACCTGAATTATGGAGCTTCAGACGATGCCTTGTTTGCCCTCCTACATCTTGGATTGAGAAGATTCACCTTTTTTCTATTATTTTGTCTTTTTTCAAGAACTTTAGCCATAAATTATTCAAGTTTAATGTTTGGTAATTAAAGAAATCAAACAACGGTATTGAAGCGCTGTTCCTTGCGATTATCGCGGCAGCGGGGTGGTTGGACGTTGAATTGACACTTCTGAAACGACATGTGTAATATAAGTTTTCTTCAAAAAAGTTATATGCGCTTCTTCAAACTTCTCACAACGTTCCTAAAAGCCAAAGAAAAATATCAAATCAACTTACAATGGTAGAGATGCGTTTTTCGACTAGCAATGGGTCTTTGACGCAATAAAATGAATCGTTTTGCATCCTGCTGACCGAAATAGCTTTCCTTTTTGAGAATACCAAGAGCTGCCCTATGGGGAGAGAATGGGGTGCATTTTTATGCCTTACGTTCGCTTTCTAAATAGGGCAAATGTATGCCGTCTCTTCAAATGGAACAGCTTTTTTCGGTCAGAGATACAGGAAGTCACGTTGTTTAATAGATCTCAAGTAACGTTTTATGGCAACAAAGATAAATGCAACGAATCCAGATATTCGACTTGGTATGTGCGTATAAAACGGAAAAAATTGCATTCTGCATCTCGCTACGGGGCGGTTACAAGAGGAAAGCTTGAACCAACCCGAATCGAGTCTATTATGCGACGAAAAGTTCACTGTAAATTCTGTCAATTACTTGTGTGGTTATTGGCGATGCGTTTTTTACCACATTATCCTGTCCAGCACTTCAGGATCATATATCTCGTTGTCTTTTTATTAGAGGTTTCATGGGACCGTTTGAGTTCTGGTCGCTCCACACAACCGATAACTACTTTTGGTTTTACTTTTTAGTTTTTTGACCGTCTTTGTGGTTTTACAATTACTTTGGAAATTTTCAAAAATTCCAAATTCAACATGATCATGCCTGATTTATCAAAATGAATAGATTAACTCAAATAAATTACTAGTTATCGTCCATGATGGCTTCTTAATCGTCCGCACGGATGCATTTGCTTTTGTCGGTGAGGGTTTTGGGGCAAGTGACTTGCTTGAAAGTCACTCCTGGGTTGTCGGAGTTTCCGAACCAATCGAATCTCCAATCGCAACCTGGTTGCAATTTAGCGGGAAGTTGGCTACAGTCGGAGCGAGAGCTGACTCCACCGTATTGGGCTCCCCAGCCGGAAGATGGGGCTCCCCATTGGGCTGTGCAGCCGTTGAAGATTCCAACGCCACCACCGGGAATCTGAAGAAATTTGGGGATTAGACGAGTTTAGATATTTTGTTGGCATATCGAGTTTTGGGGATTAGCGAAATTTGGCAACGTGTTAAGCGTCAACTTACAGCCAAATCAAAGTGGTTATCTCCCAAGTCTCCGCCGGTGTTGGTTGCCTGAATGACGAACTTCTTTCCGTTCACAGAGCCACTAGTAAAGGTCAGCTCATAGCAAGCGCAGCACCAAGAGCTTTCGCTTCCTCCAGCCAGCTTAACCGCTGCAAATCCGAATGAAAGCGTGTCATTGACTGCATAGGGCTGTTCAGTTGAGCAACTGTACGCGGAACCTCCGTTACAGCCGGATTGGGTGTTTCCACCGTCGTTCAGAGGTTGGTCATGAACATCGCAGGTCTGAATTGGTCCAGACTTCAAGCTAGCTTTTCCGGGCCAAGCGCAAGAAGACTTGCAGCAATCCCAGTAACGAGTTGTTACTCCGGTGCCTGAAGTCCCCCCAGAAACGTAGCTATAACTGTAGTCGGCGCTGTTTCCACCGGCAGAAGAGGATGCGGCAGTCGTTGCTTTGGTAGGCGCGGCGGTAGCTTTTGTTGGAGCGGCGGTAGCTTTGGTCGACTTCACAGTAGTGGCCTTGGTCTTCTTCGTTTTCGAGCTCTTACATTCTACCACAACCTCCAACAACAACGCCACAACCAAAACTGAAACAAATAGCTTTGCCATAATGGAAGCTCGAGTGATGTACATTCGGACTGTGCCCGGCCTTATATACTTTTAAATTCTAACAGAAATTTTGGCCTTTATTGATGACATAGCTGTCCGGGTAGGCTGTTTTTGTTTGGGCATCTGAGTTAACCGGGAAAATTTTCATTGACTTATCAAATCTTTTGTATACGCAGATTGAATTTTGTCCTGATACGGGTATTTTTGGGAGTTTCATACAGGGCGGGACACTGGAACTGAAGACCTTTTTTTTGGGCCTAACTTCAAGAAATCAAGAAAGTACATATTATTGGTTGCCTAGTAGGGTCACCTTGAGGCTAGGAGCCGGCCCGGTGACAAATCCTGTAGCGGACCATCCAGCGTTCTTGGCTGAGCTCAAGGCCGTTGTCTAGTCGCTTATGTATACCATGAACCTACGGACTTTGCATAGTTCTGACATATACGTCCTTGTAGCTTTCTTGAGCATTTCTTTTTTCTTATTTGTTTTCTTTATTTTTGACGAATTCAATCCGGTTCAATCCTTATGTTCTTCCTGTTTTCGCCGTCTTCACCATCGGTGAGATGTTTTGAGGGATTTGCTGCACACTTGACTCTTAGCGCTCGAGTATGTATGATCTGGCAATATTCCAACGCCTTAGCCTCTATTAACAATTGGCCCGGCTCATTTCCCTTGGGTGGATTGGAGCGTTTTCTCAGGCTGCCTACAGAAGGAGATTCCCAAGATACTCCATTTTCCAGCTGGTTTATCTTGGCGACGGTCGTCATCTTCTACGCACTGATCCAGGACTTCCGATTCCTGGCTCAGAAGAAGGTGAATGCTGATCAAAACTCCGATGCCAATACGAACACCAATGGTGAGCTTCAGCACAGCGAAATCTCGTGCACGTCAAACTGAGATAAACTATATAAAGCGGTCCGATGAATGGATTGGCAATTCGCCAAAAAAAGACGCGAAAAAGCTTTTTGTCGGGGAAGAAATGGGGAATTTTTAGGGCGAGAGAGCACGTTTTGCGCCTTTTTTTTCTCTGTCTTCTCTGTGAAATCAAACGAAGTGTAAAAAACCGAAAGCAAAGTGTCTATTATGGTTACCAGATTCCTCAATTTGACGTGCCATGCCCCCATCCAAACCCTTCCAAGTGGATGGCGGGTGGTTGGGGGACCATGACTTCCTGGAAACCTCACGTCGGCTGAGATCACCTTGTTGCTCCAGGAAACTTCTTGAATTCTTATACCTCGGAATGAAAAAAATGACAGTTCGTTGTCCAACAATTTTGTCTTAAACTTTTACCACGCCTGTGGCCTATAAGAAAGTTCACCGGGTTAAGGTGTATTTTACAACTAAACGCTCCTGATATCATTAAATTGCGTTGAGTCTGATTGAAGTTACACTCGAAATAAAGTTGAAAATTTGCTATAAACCACTGCAAATCCCAAATTCAACATGATCATGCCTGATTTATCAAAATGAATAGATCAATTCAAATAAATTACTAGTTATTGTCCGTGATGGTCTCTTAATCGTCCGAACGGATGCATTTCTAGGCATGAACAGAGCGAGGTTTAGACTGTCGCGAAACTGCAAGCCTTTCAAATCGCCAAAATTTATGCCGGTTTCTCTGCCCAGTGGCGTCGAATACGATAGTCGTTTATAACCGTCGAAAAGACTTACACAAAATATCTGCAAGACGACGATCGGAAAATATGCGTCCAAACACGCCCAAAAACTGCATGGTAACGGCCAGCTGAAGAAGCAATGTCATCAGTTTCATTCTGCCTGTGTTGTGAAAGAATATAGATTTTTGCTGATTTTAAACCGCTCTAGAATTGCCAATTGTCCATTAATTTGTGATATATTGGATGTTCAAATTGTCTAATCGGATTGAATTATTGAAATTTATTTCCATTGTGAAAAAATAAACATGCGAAAACTGAGCTATACAAGCTTATTGAGGACATAATAGAGAAAGGTATCAAAACTCAGACATTACGGATGAAATTCCCATCTTTGTCATACAATTTCCCGTGACAGCTGCTGGTCGGGATGCATTTGTATTCGGGGTTGCCGCTATATTGGTTGCAGTTGTTTACGAAGCAGACGATGGAATCTGAAGATTGGTTGTAATGCAATTACTTACACATAGCGAGGCTTAGATTTTTACGAAACTGCAAACCTTTTTTATCACCCATGTTGCCAGTTTTTCCGCCTAGTGGCGTCGAATACGATAATTGAACGACAGAAAGTAGTACGAGGACCAATACAAGTAGCTTCATTTCACTGATACATTCAAACTCTCTCTGAATAATTGCAGATTTTTAAGGCGTTTAAAAAGCAATTTCAGGCCGTACATCGCAATTTATTATCATTTGAAAGGCGCATATATTGAACAGAGATGTTTATGAAATCGAAAACCAATAACTTTATAGTTCTTCATGAGCAGAACTATTCCGTTTTTGATGTTCAATTTCAATTCAATTTATTCATTCTAATCATTTTCACATGTAAAATATCACGTGTATATATAAGTCTGATTTCATTGCCTAGTCATTAGTACGTATAAGATGCCTCCATCGCAGGCCATGGTTTTTCGAAAGCAAGTCTCCCCCTTGGACGACCAAGATTCGGAAGCCGTGAAATTTACGGAGTGGAGGATTTATTTCGGCGCTGCGACTTTTGTCAACAATACCAAAGATCGTGACGGTTCGTCGCTGTACGCATGCACGGATGAAGCCAGAAAGCCTCAATAAAGTATCTGAACTTGGGGTTTTTGACTAATGTTGTAGTATGGTCTTCCGGGGCCTCTCAACAGTCATTTATGCCGTCAAACTTTGAAGGAAATCTTTAGCTCACACTCATGAGTTTATGGGTTTATGATGAGTTCCTTGTTGCGACAGCTATATACTTCCGCACTTCCATTGTGCTCAGGTTTATTTACAACGTCATCCAGTCATGTGAAATTTAAAATATTTTGAAAATTTTCGCACTTTTTCACGTAGTTTTTTGTTCGAAACACTACAAAAATAAACAAACCTTAGGAAACGAGAATCTACTCTGAGTAAATAAACAGTTTATGGCGGTATAAATTGAAAAATCGAGTGGGCAATTCAGAAGTTGCAAGGGTTTCGGAGTAGCTCAATAATGTTTGGATTGGTAAAGTTGTTCTTCTTCCTGTGCTTGGTGTTTTCGGCCGGTAAGGTAGCTGCTGCTGATGGTGAGTGAATGCCTTGTATCTTGCTGTAATTTTTTGGGGTTCGATAGAACTTTTTACGACTTTGAGGACTATCACAGAGGCGGACCTGACCCAGTGGCAAAAAACGTACCACTTTGCATCCGGAAAGTATCAAAAAATGTGGCAAAATACCTCCCTCTTCAAGTGAAAATACACCGTTTTGAAGGGTGCCCGTTATTTTTGTGAGGGAACTTCAAAACAGAGTCTTTTATAATCGGAGAAGGAGACATTTTGCTACATTTTTTGATACTTCCTGGATGCAAAATGGTACGTTTTAGTGTGCAAAGTTTTAGCAGTCTGCCAGGAAAATAATGTGGATTTGTCGCTGCAAAATGGTCGACCCGTCGCATGGCAAACCGAAATGGAACAAAAATGTCTCCCGCCCACTTTTGAGTTTCGTCCAAACGAAGTGTCACAACTGACAAAAGCAATAAAATAATTCCGAGAAAAATATTTTTCCATCGAAAAACCACACGAAAAATTCTGTTGTGACATTTCGTGTGAATTTGACCGATACTGGGTGTGCGAAGTGCCGAAACGAGGAGGGAGACTCCCTGGGTTGCCGTGCGTCGTTGTCGCGTACCAAATTTCCAGCCGCGGCTAGAGTAATTTTCAAGACGCCAAAAATCCACATTATTTTCCCGACGGATAGATAAAAGCCTCGCCGTTTAGAGTTGATGGTCGTTTCTAGCCCCAAAATTATTCAAAATAAAGCCTTTTCTTTTTGAAAATCCACAACTGTTCTTCAGATTCCGTCACTTGCATTGTGAACAACTGCCAAAGCTATCAAGGCAGCAATGAGTACGATTGCATCCCGAACAGCAGCTGCCACGGCAAGTTGTACGATAAGACGGGAAAATTCATCCGCGACGTTTGATCTTTGATATTGTATCAATTCTGGCTATGCATAAATAAAGCAATGAATCGAAGAAGGTATTCATTTTGATAGTTTCCAAAGGAAAATATATTGCAAAGTTGGAACTGACAAGGGAAGTGTTGGAAGTGCAACACACGTCAAACTGAGGAGTCCGGTGACCGGAATAGACCCTTCGCTATCGGTTTTTTACAATTTCTCTTGATTTCACAGGGAAGACAGATAAAAGACGCTCAAAACGTACTCTCTCGCCCCAAAAATTCCCCATTTCTTCCCCGACAAAAACAGTTTTTGCGTCTTTTTTTGGCGGAGCTGGAAATCTCGCATGTCCTTAAGAAACAAATCTAAATTTGTGCCCTGTTTCAAAAAAATAAAATATAAGCGTCGCACTTGGAGTGCTTCCGTTGTAAGAATAGAAGTCAGAAATGTGTGGGAGTCGTCTCTTTATCGTTAGTAAATCTTGTTCCTCGTAAATAACGATGACTAATCAATCACAGCTACCTTATGTTTCCAAAAATAAAAAGTCATGTAGTATATTTTGAAGTCGGCTCGGAAGTCGTGGTGAATCAGCCCGCTTTATAAACAAACCGAGATCATTGGGAGTTTATTAGACACTATAAAAACAAGGTAACTAAACAAACAAGAAAAGGGCCCATTTGATCTTCTAAAGGATATTCTAGTGACCATGTTTGGCAATCTCTTGACGTTGCTTTTGGCTTGTACTATGATGATTGTTGCGGTCAGTGGCAAAGGCCAAAGTAAGATTATTGGTGAAGTCTTTAAGTCTGCTTTAGACAGGCCGGTTCACTCCGGTTAAAACTTGCTGATTTCAGATACCGTTTGCTTTGTAAACCGATGTGCTGCCTATCAAAACCGCCCAGAATACAAGTGCGTTCCGACCAGCAGCTGCGGTGGAATTCTTTACGACAAAGATGGAAACTATGTTAGCAACGTGTAAATTTAATATTAATCCTATGGTCCAATTTTGCAAAATTTTTTGGCGATAAATTTTATATTACATGTTGAGAAAAAAGTTCTCCTTCCCTTTATCTATTATGGTGGTTGTTTCTATCATACAATCTATCACTTGGAAATCTTTCCCAATGAATAAATCGCTTGACTCTTGAGTTCTCGTCTTTGGTGTGATTGTCTTCCCTGGCCTTTCGACAGAAATGAAGCTGCTTCTGTTTGTGTTCGCATTATTTTCTGTCCTTCAATTATCGCATTCAACTCCATTGGGCAGGAAAACTGGCATAAATGTGGGCGATTTGAAGAAAGGTTTGCAGCTTCGTAGCGATCTAAACCTTACTATGTGCCTGTAATTGTATAAAATCGATCTTCAGAAGAATACATCACGTGTTTCGTAAACGACTGCTACCGATATTACGGCGACCCCGAATACAAATGCATCCCGACCAGCAGCTGTTACGGGAAGTTGTATGACAAAGATGGAAATTTCATCCGTGATGTCCGAGTATCTTTCTCTAGAGTCCTCAATAAACCTATACAGATCGGTTCCCTTGCATATTTATTTTGTCACAATGGTTCAATAAACCAATCCGATTAGACAATCTGAACATACAATATATCACAAATTAATGGCCAATTGGCGATTCTAGAGCGGTTTAAAATCAGCAAAACTCTATATTCTTCCACTATACAGACAGAATGAAACTGACGACATTGCTTCTCCTGCTGGCAGTTACCATGGAGTTTTTGGGCGTGTTTGGAGGCATATTTTTCGATGGTAGCTTTAGAAATGCTTTGTGTAAGTCTTCTCGACCGCGATAAACGTCTTACAGATGACAACGGCTTGGTAAAGTGCTTCATCAGCCCATGCGTTCCTCATCCTATTGCGCTGAAATCGCTTCAGGGTAGAACAACATATAAAACCATATTCTGAAGATACAACAAGTTATACATTTTTCGTAATAACAACGCTTCTTTGCTTACAAGCTCTTTTTATACAATAAAGACTAAAACCCTATAACATACATTTATACGATAAAGCAATTTTCTTATTAACAATGGAAGTACCCGTGCGACGCTCAGGTTTCCTTTAAATTTTGCAAACGCGTCGGTCATGGACTAGATATCAATTCCTGAAAGATTTAGCTCGCGCTTTGCATAGAACGATCTTTGCCGTCAACAGTTTTTGACTATAACTTTGCTAGTTTCGTGCGGAAGAAATTTATTTTTTGTGGGAACATTACCCCTACGTTAGAAACAGACATGAAACTCTTCGTGCCGAAATTCAGCAAAAAGTGATTATAACCTGCTAACAGCTTTATTCAACCCGGAAACTCTTTAATCAACAATGCGGTGACACCCGTGAGCTCGACTCCATTAATATCTGCACCTACATAAAGTTGATTGAACTTCCACAAGGCGTAGGTGAGCCATGGTTTCTTATTCCTCCGTTTCCCGTTGATGAAGACATGAACACCGTCGTCAAGGGTGTCCACAATGATTTCGATTACAGCATTGGGTCGAATGCATTCCGCGGCTTCGGCGCCTTCACAAATATACTGCTCGTTCTTACATTCTCCGTTGATGTCATCGCGCAACACCACATGCGTCTGATTGAATCTGATCTGTAGCAGAGTAAGAGTGCTCAGCTTCAGGTCGAGGTCGAGCTTGGCCCCCACACCCGATGAGGCGTAGATGATCAGTGATGAGCCTGGAAACAAAACATATTAAGGTACTTTTATGGGGGCTCCTACTTTTCGACGGGACATATCACGAAAAAGCCGAAAAATTGAGCTGATCAAGAACGTATATATAAAAATTAGCTGTCCAATTTTGGGTTTTAGGGGTGCCCAAAAACTGGCCAAATTTCCCGACAAAAGACGCAAGCATTGCAAAGAATAATAATAGTAAAAATCTCTTCCTCAGGAAGAGAGTCGTGTGGCTGAGTGGCTAGTGCCGAAGTCCAGAAATCAGCAAGGAATGGATCATTACAAAAAGAGCGGGCACGTTTTTGAAATTGGAGTTTTTTTTCATCTGGAGAGGGAAGCATTTTGCTACATTTTTTATTCTTCCCGGATGCAAAGTGTTATATTTTTTGCCACTGGATCAGGTGCGCTGTAAAACTCGAGAATATCACGTTATGATCCTTATCAAACTCGCTAATCTCGGAATTTCCCAAAAAAATTTTTTCTTACCTTTCTCAAATGGACGTTCGAATGTACGGCTGTACGGAAGTTCAAACTCTCTGGACCAATCTGAAGTATTGCCTCCTAAGACACCACTGACACACTGGAAGAACGGGTAGTAAGTAAGTTGTGTGAGCGAGAAAAATTAAGGTTCCAAATAAACAAATCTCTGTGCCAGAGGCATTCAGATCAAAAATAGTTTCTGTCGCAGTCATAACCTTTTACTAGCCCCATTAGAAGAGGTGGAAAAACAGAAAAGTGTGGGCTTACCATCAACAGAAAAATAAAAGTTCCACCGGCCAACATGATAAAGAATTTGAAAATGCCCAAAAACAAAATCCGTGATTAAAGAAAGCAAAAAAAAATATTTTTTTTTTAAAAATTTTTATGGGAATCGCGCGCGACGCAGTACAACAAGAAAACAAAATTGTATAGGGTCCTACAAAAAACGTGAAGGAAAGTGGAAGGCTATAACTTCCGGCGGAGGCGCCGCAGAGGCTTCGTATTTGAAATGTGTATTTTTAAAAAACGTAAGTTTTTGTCTACGAAATAACAAGCTTTTAAAGTGCAAACTGAGGTCGCTACGACCTTCCGAAGTAGAGGCATCTCTACCCCGAAAACCAGGGGCCTGTCCCACTAAGAAAGCGTAGCGCGAATCACGAATTGGAAGCGCGAAAAATCATGCAAAAGCGAGAGAGGTGAGAGAAAAAGCGGGCTCTCTCGGAAATCCGCGCTACGGTTTTTTTGTGCTAAATACCGAAATGTGTTGACTTTTTTGGCTGTAACTCCTTTCAATGACGTCCGATTTACATGATTTAAAAAACCATCAACAGAGAAGAGACAGAGCTTCCAGAAAATGTAAATTTTGTTTGCTTTAACGCGGATTAAGGCTCCCCGCCAAGACGAATTACATTTTCCTCCTCAAGAATCACGATTCCAAAATGTCGTATTTTCAAGTAAAATTTATCCTTAAACTACTCATCATAACCCCCAAAGCTCATATTGTCATTTATCAGCCCAAACTGCCCCTCCCAAGCCCAAACTGCCTATTCCAAGCCCAATTTTGACCTCCTCTTGCCATAATTCGTTTGAATCAGAGAAACATTTACGTTTTTAATTTTTTTTTTCAAAAATTACTCCATTCGTCTCCCAGAGGGACTGGGGCCGTTTTATCAGCCCAGATTAGTCCTGCCAAGCCCAATTTTGACCTCCTCTTGCCATAATTTCTTTGAATCACAAAAACATTTACGTTTTTTTTAATTTAAGTTTATCTTCGTAACAAAAAGAACAAATTCATTTGGGATAACAAACGTTTTGAAATAACAACGGCAAGCGAGATTAATTGTTCAATGAGACGTTCCAGGAGTGTCTCCGTGTGCAATTCTTCGGCTTGATCGACGCAGTTGAGGCTGAGAAGGCTCTTGATGCTCTCTCTCAACTTGTGCTGGGATTTCTTGAGGCCGCTCAGTAGGGGGATTTGGTCTGGTGGTCATCGTACCTTGAAGAGCCCGACTGGCTTGAGTTTCGAAAACAAATTATGGCAAGAGGAGATCAAAATTGGGCTTGGCAGGGCTAATTTGGGCTGATAAAACGGCCCCAGTCCCTCTGGGAGACGAATGGAGTAATTTTTGAAAAAAAAAAATTAAAAACGTAAATGTTTCTCTGATTCAAACGAATTATGGCAAGAGGAGGTCAAAATTGGGCTTGGAATAGGCAGTTTGGGCTTGGGAGGGGCAGTTTGGGCTGATAAATGACAATATGAGCTTTGGGGGTTATGATGAGTAGTTTAAGGATAAATTTTACTTGAAAATACGACATTTTGGAATCGTGATTCTTGAGGAGGAAAATGTAATTCGTCTTGGCGGGGAGCCTTAATCCGCGTTAAAGCAAACAAAATTTACATTTTCTGGAAGCTGTGTCTCTTCTCTGTTGATGGTTTTTTAAATCATGTAAATCGGACGTCATTGAAAGGAGTTACAGCCAAAAAAGTCAAAAAATTTCGGTATTTAGCACAAAAAAACCGTAGCGCGGATTTCCGAGAGAGCCCGCTTTTTCTCTCACCTCTCTCGCTTTTGCATGATTTTTCGCGCTTCCAATTCGTGATTCGCGCTACGCTTTCTTAGTGGGACAGGCCCCAGGTTTTTTCGGTTGAAAATGATCGAGAAATTTCGGACTTTGTCGGTTGAAAATCACCAGACTGTTCGCCGCGAGTCGTATCAGTATCAATGTGTCGGGAAAACAGTCCAAAATCAATCGATACGAGATGTAGGGCTGGTGGATACCCGAAAAAAGGCTGTAGGAAGTGCCTACGAGGCCCGGCAAAACCGTTGAATGGTCGGCGGACGCTCGGCGAAGGCTCGGCCGAGGTTTGGCGAAGGCTTGCAATACGTACACTTTTTCTATAATTGTAGCTGTCACTAACGTTTAACACATAATCCGACTTTCAAATTCAAACTATGCAAATTTTGCTCCAAAAAACCGAAATCTTGGGAATTTCGATTTTTCATAGCTAGAAAAATTCGACCTTTGTAAAAATTCGAATTTTGACCTTTGACACGGGGATACAATGGCTTTGAATTTTACCTATTTTTGGCTCATCCTTTGTGCCAAAAAAGTGTTTGTTTTATTTTGACTATTGGCCCAAAAACGCAAAATCGTCTCATTCGGTAAGGTATTCAACAATTTTCGTAAAACTTGGTGATTTTTTTAAAAATTCAAAAAAAATCCATCGTCCACCCAAAATAATTTGTTTATTTCATCTACAACTCATGTGGATCAGGTAGCAAAACAGCGATTTCAGTGACGTCAAATTTGTTTTCATTTAGACTCTCCAACGACAGAGCGATCGCTTGCGTTTCAAGTCTTGTGGAAAAACAGTGGGATTCCTTTGTTTTCCGTTCGTAATCAAATTGTAACCGCCTTCGACTCTCTCAATGATCACTTCCGAGATGTCGCCGTGGTTTACGCAGTCCGGGTGGACGACTTTTTCTTCGCAGAAGACAATCTGCTGACCCCAGGCACCGCGGAACCTCGAGTTCAAAATGATCGACCACCAGTGAACGACGACGTGAAAGTTTATGTCACCGTTCTCATCGATCAAATTAATCATGGTGCCCTCTTGCAGCCGAAGGTAGATTACGACCATGCAGCCTGGAAAAAGGATTTTAGGGAGGGTTAGTCAGCAAAAAGGTCAACTTTTCCGATAACATGGCGCTATGGCATTTTGTGTCAGCGACAGTTCGGGTCAACGATACTATGGATCGCTTCGGTTGTCGATGTAAGCATAGGAGATAAGGCTTATTTAGTAGAAATAACAAGATTTATCGACTACTAGGATAGCAAATCACCTATTCTGAGGTATTTTACATGTACTCACATCAATAATATCTAGATAAAAGTTACGGATCTTCGTTTTCCTTGCAAATTTTGGTCGCTTATATGTTACAATAACCCAGGGTAAAAAAACTACCGCTAGCAATAGCTAAGGTTAGAAAAAGTGGACATAAAGCAAGCCTCCGCCAAGTGTGCGTCGAGCCTCCGCCGACCATCCAACGGCCTTGCCAGGGCTCGTAGGCACTTTCTACTAGAATTTTTTTGAGCATCCACCTGCCCTACGGCACCTCTCGGTCGATTTTGTGTTGACCCGAGCTGTCGCCGACCCGAAAAGTCGCTCGCAATTCAAAAAATTGATTTTTAAGATCCACACGGCTTCTTTGCTCGCCCAATCTTATTTCTTTTCCAAACCCCCTTTGACTTCTTCAATACCATCTCTCTACCCACAAGATCCCTTACCAATCTCAAAGCGCCGGTTGTCCGTGAAGTTGAGTCGATATGGCAATGGGTAATCTTTGGACCAAGCTAGATCGCATCTGACTTGAACGATGGCAAACTGAAAAAGAAGAATCAATCAACGGAAAAATCGGTAATGAACTCACCGTAAAGATCAAAACGAAAGCGCGACCAAACAGCATTGTAAAGAGTTCAAAATGACCAATTTCCGGGCCCAACTCCCTAATCGATTGTTTGGTCGAATAAGTTCACTTTCAAGGCAAGCTATGGAAATTTTGCTCCAAAAATCCGAAATCTTGGGAATTTCGATTTTTCATAGTTATCAAAATTCGACTTTCCCATGTAAATTCAAATTCTGACCTTGAAAACAACGACTATGACTTTCGCCCATTTTTTGACCCACTCTGTGTACTCATATGTCAAAATTTGAACTTTTACAAAAATCGAATTTCTGTAGCTATGAAAAATCGAATTCCCAAGATTTCTGATTTTTAAGGCACATTTTACATAGTTCAAAATTCAAAGTCAAAATTTTCAACCACAAATTCGATCGGGAAATTGGTCATTTTCAACTCCTTTATAATGCTGTGCGGTCGCGTTTTCGTCTTGATCTTTACGGTGAGTTCACTTCCGATTTTTCAGTTGATTTATGTTTCTTTTTCAGTATGCCATCGTTCAAATTGAATGTAATATTACGGACTGGTCCAAAGATTACCCATTACCGTATCAATTCAACTTTACGGACAGTCGGCGTTTTGAGATTGGTAAGGAATCCTGTGGGTAGAGAGATGATATATCAGTCAACATGTTTTTTGAAAAGAAATCTTGGTTTTGTAGACCATCTCAGGGCACGTGCGATAAAACTGTATTATGCAAGAAAGGGGGAACACGTCAAACTGAGGAGTCCGGCGACCGGAATAGACTCTTCGCTATCGGTTTTTTACACTTCGTCTTGATTTCGCAGAGAAGGCAGAGAAAAGACGCGCAAAAATGTACTCTCTCGTCCCAAAAATTCCCCATTTCTTCCCCGACAAAGCGTTTTTTCACGTCTTTTTTTTGGCAAATTGCCAATCCATTCACCGGATTGTTTTAGCTTATCTCAGTTTGACGTAGACATGGCTCGTCGGCCGGCCCGGCCCGTTTCAAATTTTCCGTTGGCCCGGCCCGTTTTAAATTTGCTTCGGCCCGGCCCGGGCCGGCCCATTGAAACGAAAGTCTCCCCAAGTCTAACTCCTTATGACCAAATTTGTTTCTATCATCATGTAAATGGATAAATACTGTGTTCCATAGCTATCTAAAAACAAAAATTCCTTTAAAAAAACCAATTGTGTCTTGACATTGCGTTTATTTTAATTATCAAACCCAATTTTCGCTTCGAGATTCTGGATTTTAAATATTCCGGGCCGGGCCGGGCCGAAACGCCGGCCCGGCCGACGGGCCGCAAATGGTCCGGCCAGCCCGGCCGATCTGGAATCGGGCCGACGGGCCGAAACTTCGGCCTGGCCCACGGCCCGGGCCGGCCCGGCCCATGAGCCATGTTTAGTTTGACGTGGGCAGTGCCTATCTTAAAAATCAATTTCTTAAAAATTACGGGAGATTATTCTACGATTGATTGGCAAAATTAATTTTTTGCTGCCTAACTGTCCCTACCCTCCTTTTTCCAGGCTGCATGGTCATAATCTACGTTCAACTGCAAGAGCACGCCGTGATTGGTTTACACGACCAGAACGATAACATAAACTTAAACATAACCGTTCGCACTTGGGCGGTCGTTTTGAGTTCGAGGTTTTACGATGACGTTGGTGAAAATGTTTATATCTGCGAAAGAGACAGCTACATCGAGTGCACCAACGACAACGGCATCTCGGAAGTGATCATTGCGCGAGTGGAAGGCGGTTTCAATGTCTTCATGAATGGGAAACGAAGGAATACGAACGTTTATCCAGGCAAACTTCGGACGGAAGCGGTGTCTCTTTTGGTGCAGAGTGAAGAAGTGGGCAAGAATTTTGAGGTCACTGGAATAACTGCTTTACTACCTGATCTAATTTAGTTGCCGATAAAATAAATATTTTGTGTGGACGATGGATTTTTTTTGAAAATCATCAATTTTAACGGAAATTGTTGATTATAATACTCTACCGTATGAGACGATTTGGTTCTTTTGCGCACCAATGCACGAAATAATACAGACTTTTATTTGGTATACAGAATCCAATGGCAAAAACATACCATTATGCATTCTCGAGCTTTTTTTTCTCATGTCGGCCTCATTTTTAATGGAAATACAACGACTATGAATTTTGTCTATTTTTTTGACCCACCTGTGTACTAATAGTTCAAAATTTGAACTTTTACAAAAATCGAATTTCTGTAGCTATGAAAATCGAATTCCCAAGATTTCTGATTTTTAGGGCAAATTTTGCATAGTTCAAAATTCAAAGTCAAATTTTTCAACCACAAATTCGATTGGGAAATTTGTAATTTTCAACTCCTTTACAATGCTGTTCGGTTGCGCTTTCGTTTTGATTTTTACGGTGAGTTCACTTCCGATTTTTCGTTGATTTGTGTTGCTTTTTCAGTATGCCATCGTTCAAATTGAATGTAATATTACGGACTGGTCCAAAGATTTCCCATTACCGTATCAATTCAACTTTACGGACAGTCGGCGTTTTGAGATTGGTAAGGAATAATGGGGGTAGAGAGATGATATATATACATATATATCAGTCAACATGTTTTTTGAAAAGAAATCTTGGTCTCGTAGACCATCTCAGGGCACGTGCGATAAAACTGTATTATGCAAGAAAGGGGGCCACACTTCAAACTGAGGAGTCCGGCGACCGGAATAGACTCTTCGCTATCGGTTTTTTACACTTCGTCTTGATTTCGCAGAGAAGGCAGAGAAAAGACGCGCAAAACGTACTCTCTCGCCCCACAAATTCCCCATTTCTTCCCCGACAAAGCGTTTTTTCACGTCTTTTTTTGGCAAGTTGCCAATCCGGGCTTAGCTTATTTCAGTTTGACGTGGGCTGTGCCAATTTTAAAAATCTTTTGACCAGTCATTGGCAAAATTAATTTTTCGCTCCCTAACTCTCCCTACCCTCTTTTTTCCAGGCTGCATGGTCGTAGTCTACGTTCAACTGCAAGAGCACGCCGTGATTGGTTTACACGACGAGAACGATAACATGAACGTAAACATAACCGTTCGCTACTGGGCGATCCTTTTAAGCTCGAGGTTTTACGATTACATTGGTGACAAAGTCGTCATCTGCGAAGGAGCCGACTACATCGAGTGCACAAACCACAACGGCTTCTCGGAAGTGATCATTGCGAGAGTGGAAGGCGGTTTCAATGTCTTCATGAATGGGAAGCGAAGGAATGTGTACGTTTATCCAAGCAAAGAAGGGACGGAAGCTACCTTTCTTGCGGTGCACAGTGAAGTGGGCAATAATTTTGAGGTCACCGGAATAACTGCCTTACTACCTGATCTAACTTAGTTGCCGATAAAATAAAATATTTTGTGTAAAAGACGGATTTTTTTTGAAAATCATCAATTTTAACGGAAATTGTCGATTACTTTACCGTATGAGACGATTTTGTCCTTTTGCGCATCAATGGGCGAAATAATACAGACTTTTATTTGTTATACCAAATGGGTAAAAAGTGGACAAAATTCAAAGCATACACAGTTGCAGTGGCGATAAATATTTGTCACTATTGACATATAGTGGCGGACCTGATCCAGCGGCAAAAACTTACGTACCATAATGCATTCTCGAGCCTTTTTTGTCATGTCGGCCTCATTTTTTCCATTCTAGCGTTTCAAAAAAAGGTGAGGAAAGCGTTTTCAACGGTTTGCTTCGGAACGACCGGTGCGATCTTATTTCTTTAGTCTTATCTGATTCAGAATATGTAAAAATTAGCTGCCCAATTTTGGCTTCTAACGATGAATTCCAAAACAAAATTGCGGGCTAATGGTCGAAAGAATAATAACACTTTTATTAGTGTTTGTATTACACAGGGCGGGCCAAAAAAATAGGCAAAATTCATAGTCCTGGTATTCCGTTTCGAGGGTCAGAATTTGAATTTACATGGGAAAGTCGAATTTTGATAACCATGAAAAATTGAAATTCCCAAGATTTCGGATTTTTGGAGCAAAATTTCCATAGCTTGCTTTGAAAGTCGCCTTATTCGACTAAAAATCGATTAGGAAGTTGGGCCCGGAAATTGATCATTTTGAACTTTTTACAATGCTGTTTGGTCGGATTTTCGTTCTGATCTTTACGGTGAGTTCATATCCGATCTTTTAGTTGATTTATTCTTCTTTTTCAGTGTGCCATCGTTCAAATCAGATGCGATCGGTTTTCCTCGAAAGAGACCCCGAGTTGAAAGAGACCCCGGAATCGGGGGTCTCTTTCGATGTTTCCCCGAAATGGCCGAAAAGGTCAAAAATAGGGTAATCGATGGCGTAGATTGCAAAAATCATATTCGTTTTTCCCGACTCTTATTTTTTTGCTTAAGTAGTAATGTTAAAAAGTAATTTTTTGAAATTTTTCTGAAAATACTGGATTTAGGGTTTTTCGAGGGTGCTGATTTCGAACTTAAGGAAAAAGTAACTATCAAAAAAATGAATGTTATTTTCGAAATCAGCACCCTCGATAACCCCTAAATCGACTATTTTTAGAAAAAAATCAAAAAAATGCTTTTTAACATTACTACAGGGTGTTTCAAGAAATTTGGCAGAAACTAATTGCGAATATCTTTGAGCTCTTGCTAGTTATCGCAGAAATTCTTTTTGTTTCTAGAACTTGATATCGGGCGGTTTTGTACTGAACAAAAAAAAATTTTTTTTCGTCGGCGGAGTGGCCAGTTCTCGGCGGAGGCATTTGGGACCTTTTTTAAAAATCACACTTTATTACATGGTGGAAACTCTGTTACAATGGCCAAAATTATGTTTACGTTACACCTCCGTGGATTTTGCGGTATGCTTTTTTTGCGTTTTCGATTTTACGCAACATCCGCGGAGGCGCGGCGGAGACCTCAGATTTCGGCGGACTTTGTTTTGGGCCCTCGGTTTTTGCAAATCCATGTTGGAAAAAAGGTTGGGGCGATTTTTTGTTGTCATCCGATGCACAGATGGCAAAAATTTTGTACTTTTTTCCCCCGGCGGAGGATTCGGCGGAGGCTTTATCAAAGGGTCAAAACAAAAGTTTGTCTCTTTTGATAAAGCCTCCGCCGAATCCTCCGCCTATGTGTCCGCCGGACCAAAAAATAAGAAAAGTGATGTTGTTGTGATGGATTCTTGTAGCTGAGTTTTTTTTCCCGGACTCCTAAGACTGTTCTGACCCTTTGATAAAGCCTCCGCCGAATCCTCCGCCGGGGAAAAAAGTGCGAAATTTTTGCATCTGTGCATCGGATGACAACAAAAAATCACCCCACACTTTTTTCCAACCTGAATTGAATGATCCAAAGAGTCAAAACGACGTCCGCCGAAACCTGATTTCTCCGCCGTGCCTCCGCGGATGAGCGAAAATCGAAAACGAAAAAAGCATACCGTAAAATCCACGGAGGTTTAACGTAAACATGATTTTGGCCATTGTAACAGAGTTTCCACCATGTAATAAGGTGTGATTTTTAAAAAAAGCCCCAAATGTCTCCGCCGAGAACTGGCCCTCCGCCGACGAAAAAAAATTTTTTTTTGTTCAGTACAAAACCGCCCGATATCAAGTTTTAGAAACAAAAAGAATTTCTGCGATAACTAGCAAGAGCTCAAAGATATTCGCAATTAGTTTCTGCCAAATTTCTTGAAACACCCTGTACTTAAGCAAAAAAGTAAGAATCAGAAAAAACGAACATGATTTTTGGAATCTACGCCATCAATTAACCTTCGGGGTCTCTTTCAACTCGGAGTCTCTTTCGATGGCTTTCGATGCGATCTAGCTTGGTCCAAAGATTACCCATTACCATATCGACTCAACTTCATTCGTCCATTGGTGCGCAAAACGACAAAATCGTCTCATACGGTAAAGTAATCAACAATTTCCGTGAAAATTGATGATTTCAAAAAAAAATCCATATTTTACACAAAATATTTTATTTTATCGGCAACTAAGGTGGATCAGGTAGTAGAGCAGTTATTCCGGTGACCTCAAAATTACTGCCCACTTCACTCAGCACCCACAGAGAGGTCGCTTCCGTCCCATCTTTGCTTGGATAAACGTTCGGATTCCTTCGTTTCCCATTCATGAAGACATTGTAACCGCCTTCCACTCTCGCAATGATCACTTCCGAGATGTCGTTGTGGTTTGTGCACTCGAAGTACTCGTCTCCTCCGCAGATATAAATATTCTGATTCCAAACACGCTGGAACCTCGAATTCAACAAGATCCCCCGATAGCGAATAGATATGCGTAAGTTTATGTCATCGTTCTCGTCACGTAAATCAATCGCGCCGTGCTCTTGCGGTTGAACGTAGATTATGATCATGGAGCCTGGAAAAAAGAGGGTAGGGAGGGTTAGTCAGCAAAAAGGTCAATTTCTCCAAAAACATGCAAAAAGCCCACGAAATTTCGGGTCAGTGACAGTTCGGGTCAACAATACTATGGGTTGCGTCGGTTGTCATTAGAGTTAGGCAGCAAAGATTTAATTTTGCCAATCAATCGTAAAATAATCGGTAAAAGTTCCTTATTTTGGCCACAACTTATAACTTTGCGGAAACTGGTCGGAATTAGCCCAAATTTAGCCTGCACGCTCAATTCATCGTTGTCAATGCCCATACAGTGGATTCAGTTAGTGAGGTACCTTCTTTTTTACGTACCATTTTACCCTTCAAAAACGGCTGCAGCCTGTGATTTTACACTTTATACGATGAAACATGTCCGGAACTGAACTTATTGCCTCCGTATCGAACTAAATGAGTCGTCACAGCCTTCGTAGGTACCCTTAAAACTATAAAGCTATTATAGTAATTCAGTGCCAGCTAGGTCGAAGCGTTTTTTCCCAACCTTAGTGCCCAAGCTTGGGCGCAGTTCGCGGAGTACCTTTGTTGTGGCCAAAATAAGGAACGTTCTCCAAATAATCTCCCGCAATTTTTAACAAATTGATTTTTAAAATCGGCATGGCCCACGTCAAACTCAGATAAGCTAAGACAGTCCGGATTGGCAATTTGCCAAAAAAAAGACGTGAAAAAACGTTTTGTCGGGGAAGAAATGGGGAACTTTTGAGGCGAGAGAGTACGTTTTGCGCGTCTTTTCTCTGTCTTCACTGCGAAATCAAGACAAAGTGTCAAAAACCGATAGCGAAGAGTCTATTCCGGTCACCGGACTCCTCAGTTTGAGGTGTGGCCCCCTTTCTTGCCTAATACAGTTTTATTGAAGGTCCCTGAGATGGTCAACAAAAGCAAGATTTCTTTTCAAAAAACATGTTGACGGATATATCATCTCTCTACACACACAGGATTCCTTACCAATCTCAAAGCGCCGGTTGTCCGTAAAGTTGAGTTGATACGGCAACTGGTACTCGTTGGCCCATTGCGTACTATTACATTCAATTTGAACGATGGCATACTGAAAAAGAAACATAAATCAACTGAAATATCTGAAGTGAACTCACCGTAAAGACCAAAACAAAAACTCGACCAAACAGCATTGTAAAGGAGTTGGAAATGACCAATTTCCCAATCGAATTTGTGGTTGAAAAATTTGACGAATTTTGAACTATGCAAATTTTGCTTCAAAAATACGAACTCTTGGAAATTTCGATTTTTCATGGCTACAAAAAATCGATTTTTTGTATTATATAAGTTCAAACTTTGACCTTTGACACGGAACACAACTAGTTTGAATTTTGACTACTTTTTGGCTCATCCTGTATTCCAAATAAAAGTGTTTGTATTACTTCAAGCATTCGCCCGCAAAAACGCACAATTGTCTCATACGGTAAGGTATTCAACTATTTCCAAAAAAATTTGGCGATTTTTTAATTCAAAAAAAAAAAAATAATCCGTCGTCAACCCGAAATATTTTTTTATTTCATCTACAACTCGGGTGGATCAGGACACAAAACAGTTATTCCAGTGACGTCGAAATTCTTGCCCGTTTCACTTCTCACCAAAACAGAGTCTGCTTCCGTCCCCATAAAACCTTCGTCCCCGTTGGGGAAAACGGCCTCATTTCTTCGCTTTCCGTTCATGATGACATTATAACCACCTTCCACTCTCTCAATGATCACTTCCGAGATGTCGCCGTGGTTTGTGCATTCATCGAGTATGGCTTTTTCGTAGCAGATAACACCCGCAGCACCCCATCGACCGAAAGTCTGGGAATTCAAAAGAATCCCAGAATAGCGAATGGATATGTGAAAGCTTACGTTACCGGACCTGTCAATTAAATGAATCTGCGCGTATTCAGGCAGTCGAAGGTAGGCGACGACCACACAGCCTGGAAAAAGAGAGCTCAAAAACAGTTTTTCCGAGAAAGTTTTCCCTTTTCTGGCCCCGCGCTTCGCAGTTTGCGCCCTGGTTTCCCTGCAGACTGCGAATAAAAATAGAAAAAAGCCTGAAATTCCTTGCAACCGGAATTGTTCGGGCGCGAGCTGCAAAACCTTCTTTTCGGTGGGGCCAGAAAAAGGAAGTTTTACCCAGCGGGAAAAAGTTCCTTATTTTGGCCACAACAAAGGTACTCCGCGAACTGCGCCCAAGCTTGGGCACTAAAGTTAGGAAAAAACGCTTCGACCTGGCTGGCACTGAATTACTATAATAGCTCTATAGTTTTAAGGGTACCCACGAAGGCTGTGATGACTCATTTAGTTCCATACGGAGGCAATAAGTTTTGTTCCGGACATGTTTCATCGTAAAAAGTGTAAAATCACAGGCTGCAGCCGTTTTTGAAGGGTAAGATGGTACGTAAAAAAGAAGGTACCTCACTAACTAAATCCACTGTCCGGGCATTGACAACGATGAATTGAGCGTGCACGCTAAATTTGGGCTAATTCCGACCAGAAGTTGTGGCCAAAATAAGGAACTTTTACCAAAATCCATTCAACAATTTCCATAAAAATTTGGCGATTTTTTAATTCAAAAAAAAATGAAAAAAATCCGTCGTCATCAGAAAATATTTTTTATTCCATCTTCAACTCGGGTGGATCAGGTAACAAAACAACTATTCCAGTGACGTCGAAATTCTTGCCCGTTTCACTTTTCACCAACACAGAGATCGGGTCCGTCCTCAATCTGTCGGGGAAAACGGCCTCATTTCTTCGCTTTCCGTTCATGATGACATTGTAACCGCCTTCCACTCTCTCAATGATCACTTCCGAGATGTCGCCGTGGTTTGTGCATTCATCGCGTGTGGCTGGTCCGTAGCAGATATCAACCTCATCACCCCATTTGCCGAAAGTCTGGGAATTCAAAACAATCCCAAAATAGCGAATGGATATGTGAAAGTTTACGTTATCCGACTTATCGATTAAATTAATCTGCGCGTATTCAGGCAGTCGAAGGTAGGCGACGAGCACACAGCCTGGAAAAAGAGAACTCAAAAACAGTTGAAAATTTTTCTCCGCCGCACGGCAAACCGAAATATTAGGTTGTCCAACAAATAATGACCCTTTGTGAGAGGGGAAAAGTTTAAAGCCTCTAAAAAAGGCAAGCGATGATGGAATTTTGAAATATTACAACATTTTGTAGCTGAGATTTCAGGCTTTCGTTTGATGTATCGTTTGTCATATTGGGACCAAATTCCAGTAATTTAGCCCTAATCGAAAATTATCAAAAAAAGTCGGTTCGTGCTGTCATCTTTTACGGGCAAAAACAGGACGCGAAAGTTTCAGAAGCTACGCAAAGTATCAACGCTGTGTTCGACTAGTGTGTTCTGAGTCTGAACACGGTGAAACGATGGATTTAAAAATTACGATTTGACGGCAAGGGACCCAAAGATAAAGTACGGAATCCGGACTTTATCAATTTACCCTGAGGTCGTCGGTTGGCGAACATCCTAGAATCAACATTCAACGCGTCTCTGACGTCGTCTGGCTGTTGAAATAATCGGCGGCTAACCATTCGATGTCGATGGAATTCAAAAAATGCTCGGCAAATTTTTCCCATTTTATTGGATCAAAGCAAAGAGTGGAAGCATTACATTTCTCGCGTTTGCGTGCCGTTTTCTGGATCGAATCGTTGCCTCTGATGGAAAGAGGACCTACTGGGACAACCAGACCAGATATGCTGAACGGAGGCCTCCTAGGGTATCACTGCGGGACTTGTCAAAGCCCGACTCCCCCCAAAACAAGGTGATGACTACTTCTTGATGGTGCAGCATGGGAATAGTACAATACAGCTTCTTGAAAACTGGCCAAAATGTAGATACCATACCCTACTGTATCCAGATAGACAGTTTTTTGGCAGCGTCTGTCTTCAACGATGCGCCGCAGAAGTCCAAAAATTGTTAGCGGCTACACGGAACCTCCCCTTTGAAAGATGACCCTCCAGAAGCGGATTTAATAGAGATAGGAGACTGTCCCTTGTCCAGCCTATTTGTCAGAGCTGGTCTATACACATTACCATCAGTTCAAGAATCTAGGACGTTTCATCAGTGGTAGAGAATTCGACAATCAAGACACCCTTGAAAAGGCCTTCAAAAGTTTCATCGGCTCCAGAAGCCGGGGTTCCTAAGCTACAGACATAAAAAACTTTTTGCCACGTTGTAACAAGCGTGATAAAGCACATGATAATTTTTTTGATTAAATACATCGCAGTTATTACGGTAAATTTTGCCGAAAAAATAAATTTTTCGAAGAGGGTCATTATTTGTTGGACAACCTAATAGAACAAAAATGTCTCCCGCCCACTTTTGAGTTTCGTCCAAACGAAGTGCCACAACTCACAAAAGCAATACAGGTGTAAAAATTTCGTGGCGCAATTTTAATTGGCTATAACTTCTTTAATTCTGACGAGGAATTAAAGAAGTTATATGGTCTGAACTTCCCCCAGCGTTTGGGAAAATGACTAGTATGTTCGGTCCCGTGACGAAAACTACAAGACCTTTGGCATTACGTTTTGTCCCATGGCCAAGGAGGATTATATTATTCAGTGAATGTGTGTGTTACGCTATATATTGCTATTATTGTTTCTGTAATAAATCTATCTATATTTATTACTCTACATTCGGCTGACTACATATCTTCGCGGATACAAGTGAGGATATAACAACTGGCGCAGTCTACACGAGCAGAAGAAGAATTACGACGTGGAACCAGTTCAGCTCTCCACGACCTTCTACTGCAACTTCGAACCAGGTACTCTTCAATTTTTTGTTCTCGCCTTTAGATTCTGAATCTTCCTCGCGGAAAACAGAATTCCTACACCATACAAGGACTGAAGAGAGAACAGAATGGATAAACTCCCGGACCTCCTAACTAAAATGATGGAGACGATGAAAATTCAAGGAGAATCCATCAAGAATCTTGCTGCGACGATGGAATCCAGCATGAAACTTCCGTCGATCGACCGAACTTCAGCTCTCACCCACACGATGTCACTCCTGGGACAGTTCACATACAACCCAGATCAAGACTACACGTTCACGGAATGGTTCGGCCAAAACGAGGCCATCCTGGACGACAACTGCAAGGATGATGCTGAAAGGAAGAAAATAATCCTGAAAGCACTGGGGAAGGATGAATACGTTCAACTAAAAGGAAGAACTTCGCCGAAGACGCCCGAAGCAATGGACTATCAGGAATTACTGAAGATATTGAAAGAAATTTTTGGTTCGACGATGTCCCTCTTCCGGCGCAGACACGAAACCCTGTCCCTCACCCTCCCACCTGGAAAAACAGCAGATGAGATGCTGAACGAGGCAAATATCAGAGGTGACAAGTTTGAATTCACTGACTTGAATATCAATCAATTCAAGATCTTCCTCGCCCTTCAATTCATAAAGGACCCCTCTTACAAGAGCATCCGATCCATGATTCTAAAAGCCGTTGACCAGAAGCCGGACATTACCATCGATGAACTGCGAAAAGTCCTCAAAAGCTTCGAAACACGAATGGAAGACGTGAACCTGGGAAACTCACATGATCCTAGCACCTCATACGAAGTCAACGAGCTACAAAAGTACCACCGTCGGCCGAAATACACTCCCCGCGGAAAGACGGTTCACAGGAACAAAAACCAGACAGCAAAGTCTGCGGGAGACTACACATGTTACAAATGCAACGGACCCCATCTGGCAACTTCGTGTCAGAAGACGAACCTATGTTGTGCCTTCTGTAAGAAACAAGGACACAACGAAGCTGCATGCCTCAAGAAGAAGGCCAGACAATTCAACAACATTGTGATCAATAATGTTGGCTCTGGAGACAGTCGAGAATACGTTACAGTGGGAATAAACGCAAAAGTGATGGAATTCAGAATCGACAGTGGCGCCGATATGTCAATAATTGGCCCCGAAAAGTGGAAGGCACTAAACAGACCTCCACTTACACCATTCCACATAACTTGCTCATCCGTCGATGGTTCTCCCCTCACTGTAAAAGGAAGTTTCAAGGCAAACCTGAAGTATAATGGTCATTCATATACAGATACCATCCTAGTCCTTGCAAAGAAAGACACCGCACTACTCTGCGGAAAAGCCTCAAAGGAACTTGGAGTAATTACATTCCACAACAAAGAAGAGGCAAATATCAACATCGTCGACTCCTACGCCCAGACGATGGCGGTCCAGTACACGGACTTATTCAAGGAAGAATTGGGGAAATGCACGAAAATGCAAGTACATCTCCAAGTCAAACCCAATGTCAACCCCGTCCACAAACGCGCAAGACCTGTGGCTATTGCCGTTCAAGACCAAGTAAATACAGAACTTGATCGACTGCTGGACAATGGAACTCTGAAGAAAGTAGATACATCAGAATGGGCATCTCCAATCGTGGTCGCAAAAAAACCTGGAGGCAAAATCCGCCTATGTGCCGACTATTCCACCGGCCTCAACGACGCCCTGGCAGACACTACATATCTTCGCGGATACAAGTGAGGATATAACATAGTACAGGCCCCCAATTCGCCCCCAATGACTAAAATTCCCAGTCTCAAAGCGAAAATTACGGTTGCCAATAAAAATAAATAAAAAGGCAGAGCCAAGAATAGGCAATGGTTGGTAATTTTTTGTTTCAAAAATTCATTGTCTATTGCTATAACAAAAAAAATGGGGGCTAACAAGGGAATGGTCCCAACGATCCGTGGGATCCACAAATGAAACCTAGATATTCTGAAAGAGCAGGTAAAATTTAGTAGGAATCCGTTTTTTCTACTTGCCGAATAAGTCTGTGCGACGAGAAATATCGTCGAAAAGATCCGACCAAAAAATCGAAAGAGAGAAAAGACGAACCGAAAGGCCTTGGAAGGCGTCACCAAATAGTCTAGTGGAAAAAGTTCCACGCACAAATCTTTTGGGGGAGGGAGGCCTTGGAGGTTCGAGTCCACCCGGAGCCGGACATCTCCGGATTTGAACGTACGTGTTCATTACTGTATTCTACAGTTATACAAAAAAAAATTTTTTTTGTTTAACCTGTTTTACAAGGTTGTTTGCATCCGAAGGCGTGGCAATCACTGGTCATTACCTCTTTTTATGATGCCGCCAGGTCCGAAGTTCCAAAGAAGACAAATTTATGCAAATTTATACCTTCTGGGCAGAATTTGACAAAAATAATTTGGGCATTTGTTAAACACATGTCCACGGCCATTTTAAACCAAAAAACTCAAAATAGATTTTTTCGTAAATATTCACGGGGTCTACTGCACGCTGATGCAAGGACCCAAAAATTCTCTTTTCAACTTTTCTTGCAAAATTTTATGAAAAGGTGAGATTTTGGCAACATCCTTTTTGGGAAACCGAAAAAGATCTGCAAGATCCTACACAACCTTCCAGAATCAGTAGAAGTGTCTTGAAAATACCACTATGTCGACATCGGGCTTATCAAAAATATTGCCGAAGTGTCAGCTTTTCTTAAAATTTTGCAACAAACCTTGCAAAACAGGTAAATAAACAAAAAAATTTTTTTTGTATAAATGTAGAATACAGTAATGAACACGTAGGTTCAAATCCGGAGATATCCGCTCCGGGTGGACTCGAACTTCCAAAGCCTCCCTCCCCCAAAAGAATTGTGCGTGGAACTTTTTCCACTAGACTATTTGGTGACGCCCTCCAAGGCCTTTCGGTTCGTCTTTTCTCTCTTTCGATTTTTTGGTCGGATCTTTTCGACGATATTTCTCGTCGCACAGACTTATTCGGCAAGTAGAAAAAACGGATTCCTACTAAATTTTACCTGCTCTTTCAGAATATCTAGGTTTCATTTGTGGATCCCACGGATCGTTGGGACCATTCCCTTGTAAGGTAGTACAGGGTGTCCAGAGAAATGTGCCGGAAAGTTTTGTCGATTTCTTGGCGCTCAATCAAGATATCCGAAAAATTCTTTTTGCAGGATAAAGAAGAATATGGGCGGTTTTTTGTGCAAAAGAATCATTTTCTCCGCCAGCGCGGAAGGCAGTGTATTCGGCGGAGACTTTTGATCGCTTTTTTGATCATCGCACCAACTTTAAACGCTTTATTATGAAGTTTGATGGTTGAAACAAAGATATTTGCATATTTTCATGTTTACCAAGTGTTCGGCGAAGGTATGGCGGACGCTCGCCGAATCGGCGGAGGCCATAACTCAGCTGCGGACAAGACATGGTCCAACACAATTTTTATGGCCTGGCTAGAACACCCTGCTGGCTTCGTATGCCTTCGAAAATTTTGTGACCAAGCTTTGGCAGAAGCTAAGCCATCAGAAAACCACTTGGTGCACCAGAAAACAACAAAATATTTTTTGTTCAAATTTCCTTTTGATTTGCTGTTTCAAACCTCCGCACGGTGCACTCGGACTTTATTGGTGTTGCAGCGACAGGCTGCACCGTGCAGTCGCTATATGGGATCGCATTGCGATGTCGCTGTCTGTGTGATTTATTGCGTCAAAAAATTTGAAGACTTTCCGGAAGTTTCAGCATCATAATAAAGCGTTTAAAATTGGTGTGATGGCCAAAAAAGCGATCAAAAGTCTCCGCCGAATACACTACTTTCCGCGCTGGCGGAAAAAATGATTCTTTCGGACAAAAAACCGCCCAAATTCTTCTTTATCTTGCAAAAAGAATTTTTCGGATATCTTTATTGAGCGCCAAGAAATCGACAAAAACTTTCCGGCACATTTCTCTGGACACCCTGTACAACCCCCCAGTCCAGTTCAGCCCCCCTGGACCCAGTATAAACCTCCTCATCCAGTCTGAAGCGCCTACTCGGGATTGGGTTCTCTCGGCTACGATCAGCGTTGCCTGAACCACAAGAACGAATTTGGACGGTAACTGGGGGTTTGAGCTAAAACGCCGGGGGGCTTACCCTAGTTTGCATTTTTTGTATTTTTCTAATTTTTTCATTATGGGGGTGTGAAATGGACAAAACAGTGGGGGTTTGAACTACCTTTCCTGGGGGGGCTGAACTACCAAAGCCCCAAAAAATGTGTTATATCACGTAATGAATGCAGTATTCATATTTACAGTTCGGTCCCCGGTCGGCCCCCGGCCCGCCGAGAAAATTTGAAGGGGGCCGGGGCCGACCTCTTCCGGCCCCCGGGCCGGGCCGCGATTTTCGGCCCGGCCCGGCCCCCTGCCATGTCTAATTGCAACACCCTGTGCAATACCATATCTCTCTACCCTCACGATTCCTTACCAATCTCAAAGCGCCGGTTGTCCGTAAAGTTGAGTTGATACGGCAATTGGTACTCGGCGGCCCATTGCGTACTATTACATTCAATTTGAACGATGGCGTACTGAAAAAGAAAAATAGATCAACTGAAAAATCGGGAATTTTCCGAACTCAAAACATAGAGGACATCGAACTCACCGTAAAGATCAAAATGAAAACTCGACCGGACAGCATTGTAAAGAGTTCAAACTGAGCGCAGTCCAATTTCCCAACCGAATTTGTGGTTGAAAAATTTGACTTTGAATTTTAAGCCATGCAAATTTAGCTCCAAAAACCCGAAACCTTGGGAATTTCGATTTTTCATAGTTGCAAAAATTCGAGTTTTTTAAAAGTTCAAATTTTGGTCTTTGACACGGAATGCAACGAGCGGACCATAGTCACAATTGTAGAGGGTCTTTCAAGAAACGTGAAGGAAAGTGGGAGGCTATAATTTTTGGCGGAGGCGGCGCAGAGAGCTCGTTTTTGGAATATTTATTTTTAAGCGGCATTCATTTTTGTCTACGAAAGAAACAAGATTTTAAAGTGCAAACTGAGGTCGGTACGACCTTCTGAAGTAGGGGCATTTCTACCCCGAAAAACCAGTGTTTTTCGGTTGAAAATCACCAAAAAATGTCGGATTTTTTCGGTATTTTGGATACCGTTAACGTTAAAAACAGGGAATGATGTTACCGACACGTTGAAAATTGAGAAAAAATTCGGCTACCATTCATTATGCCACTTTGGCCAACCAGTTTTGGCTAGTCGTGTAAAAGTTTTGTTGTCATTCCTACCCTTTGACGCCCAATACAACCTTGCAACTTTTGATTAGTTTTTCCAATTGTTAGAGAAGGGAGGTATTTCGCGGTATTTTGGATCCTTTCCGGATGCATAATGGTACGTTTTTTACCACTGGATCAGGTCCGCCAATGCAACTGTGTATGCTTTGATTTTCTTCAGTTTTTGGCCTACCATTGGTGCGCAAAACAGACAAAATCCTCCGATATGGTAAAGTATTCAACAATTTCCGTAAAATTTGGTGATTTTCCAAAAAAAACAAAAAAAAATCCATCGTCCACCCAAAATATTTTATTTCATCGGCAACTAAGTTGGATCAGGTAGTAAAGCAGTTATTCCAGTGACCTCGAAATTCTTGCCCACTTCACTCTGCACCAAAAGAAAGATCGCTTCCGTCCCAACTTTGTTTGGGAAAACGTTCGGATTCCTTCGTTTCCCATTTATGATGACATTGTAACCGCCTTCCACTCTCTCAATGATCACCTCCGACACATCGCCGTTGTTTGTGCACTCGGTGAAGTTGGCTTCTCCGTCGCAGATAAAAATCTCCGTAGCCCAGACGTCGTGCAACGCATAGTTCAGGATGAGGTTTTGTCCGCGAACGGTTATGAAAAAGTTTACGTCATTGTTCTCGTCATGTAGACCAATCGTCGAGCCGTGTATGAGGCGAACGTAGATTATGAGCATGCAGCCTGGAAAAAAGAGGTTTTGTGGATTAGGTAATGAGCAAAAAATTGGTAAAAGTTCCTTATTCTGGTCACAACGTATAACTTTGCGCAAAGTATTTAGCATTGGCCGAAATTTGGAAAACAGGTTTAGTTGACCGTTCTAAACGCAAGGACGTTGCATTTATTTATTTACATTAGTTAGGTACCTCAAGTTCCGGCTAACCCTTGAAAGACGGCAGCAGACTGCGGTTTCGCTTTATACGACGAAATCTCTCTCGGATTGAACTATTGTTTCCGGAACCAAATGAGAGCTTTAATAGTCCTTAGAGGTGACTAAAAATCATATAGACGGTACGGTAAGCCAGGACAAGCTGGGTCCAAACCTTTTTTTCTACCTTTAGTTTCCAAGCTTGGGCACAGGTCGCAGAATACATTTTTTGTGGTCAGAATAAGCAACTTTTTCCACTACCATGAATCATCAAATATCTAACAATAATAAGTTTTTCTGTGGGAAACAAACAACCGAAGAAAAGGCAGGATCGACCAGTCCTTACCCCACAATGAGTCTTAACTTTGGCCTATCATATTTCAAGCTATGGGTTAGAGAAGACCTCAAAGGCAGTATTCAAAAACTGCTCGCCATGAAAGCAAACCTTAAAGAAAAATCATGTTAATGAAATTTGTTTTTACTTATGAAATATCAAGCTCTGCCCACAGGGTTCCTTACCAATCTCAAAATGCCGGTTGTCCGTAAAGTTGAGTTGATACGGTAATGGATAATCTTTGGACCAATCCGTAATATTACATTCAATTTGAACGATGGCATACTGAAAAAAAGAGAAATCATCAGAATCAACAGAATATATCAGAAATGAACTCACTGTAAAGATCAAAACAAGTACTCGACCGGGTAGCATTGTAAAGAGTTCAAAATGATCGGTCGTTTGGAAAAATTGCTATCATCACACAGATTTTTTGATTTTTTGAAGCTTCCCAGGACATTTTTTCGTGATGTGGCACACAGTTTTGCTCATGTAGCAAATGAGCAAAACTTTTTTTTGTTCATTGTGATTCATTGGGCATGCCTACCGTGGCGGACTTTATCCAGTGGCAAAAAATGCACAATTTTGCATCCGGGAAGTATCAAAAAATGTAGCAAAATACCTCCCTCTCCAAGCGAAAAGACTCCGATTCCAAAAGCGCGCCCGCTCTTTTTATGAGGGAGTCTGTGCTTTTTATCACATCAGAATACGGTCCTCCACATTTCTTGCATCATCAAGTTTGTCCCAACAAATTAAAAATTCGAAATTACAAATTAATTTTGGCCAAGAAGGCCAACTAATTCTCAATTACCAAAGTAATTGCTACTTTCCGAAATCAAAATTATTCAATGAGCCGAGTTAACGAAGCAAATCATAAATTAGCATTCAAACAGTCCGAGGGTTTAATTAAATTCCTGTCTGTATAAAATGCCTTCTGTTCTTGGGAAACTTACAACATTCCGTTTTGATTCCGAAAATGTTCAAAGCTTTGGTTGTGTTGGGTCTTCTTCTCGCCGTGGTCCTCGGCGATTATTGTAAGTTTAAGTATGAAGGTGTAAAGTAGCCATTAAGTGACGGACCTGAGCCAGTGGCAAAAAATGTAATATTTTACGTCCGGGAAGTATCAAAAATGTAGCAAAATGCCTCCCTCTCCAACTAAAAAAAAACTCTGCTTTGAAAAGCGCGCCCTTTCTCTCACAAAAAGAGAGGGCGCAATCTTAAAACCGGAGATTTTTCACTTGGAGAGGGAGGTATTTTGCTACGTTTTTTATGCTTCCTGAATGCAAAATGGTACGTTTTTTGCTGAAGCAGGTCCGTCACTGTATACAGAGACATTTGACGTACTGTATTCTCTATTGCGTCACTTGTGGATATAGCCATGTAAAATTTTTTTGTATCCGGAAAGTATCAAAAAATGTGGCAAATACAAATAAATATATCAGTTATATACAATGGGGGACCTGATCCAGTGGCAAAAAAAGTATCATTTTGCATCCGGGAATTATCAAAAAATGTGTCAAAATACCTCCCTCTCCAACAAAAAAACTCCGATTTCAAAAGCAAGCTGGCTCTTTTTGTGAGGGAAAGCCTTCAAAACGGAGTTTTTCGGATAATTGTTAAGCTGTCCCCAAATTTATACCATTCTGTCCCCAAATTTCCCCATTCTGTCCCCAACGACCTGTCCCCAAATAGGAGTTCGGAATCTGTCCCCAAAATATTCCGAATATGTCCCCAGACACAAAAATTAGTGTAGGGTCCATGTTTCGGGGTAGTAATAACACTTCGGGCTAAAAAATTTGAAAATTCAAATTGGTGATTACGTAATAAGCAAAAGTTCAAAACTTTTGGGTAAAAATCGGATATAGGGGTAATCGAGGATGCTGATTTTGAAAATGATATTCATTTTACATGATTTTAACTTTTTTCTTAAGTAGTAGTGTAAAGTAGTAACTTTTGAAAATTTTAGACGAGATGTCGATTTATAGGTAATCGACACCGCGGATTTCGAAAACAATACCAGTTTTTTATGATTGTAACTTTTTTCTTAAGTAGTAGTGTAAAGTAGTCACTTTTGAAAATTTTAGACGAGATGTCGATTTATAGGTAATCGACACCGCGGATTTCAAAAACAGTACCAGTTTTTTTATGATTGTATCTTTTTCCTTAAATAGTACTGTAAAGTATTAATTTTTGAGATTTTTTGAATTGGTAGGGTTTATGGGTGCTGATTCCAGAATAAGATTCCTGATGAGTTGTGCATTAAAGTTGTGATTTCTTTGTTTTTATTTTATTTTTTTGATGAATCGTTAGCTAAGTACAAGGTTTGTGTTATTGTTGATTCAAAAACTGTGTTCATCTTCTGTAGTTTTTATTCACTTCCAATCTGTTGGCAGAAGAATTTTTGCTCAGAATTTTCTGTCAAACCTGGCATAGCGGCAGGCTATCCCAAGCCAAACAATTTTATAGCAGAAAAATTTCTGTCAAACCCCGCCCATTTTGGCGCGCTCGATGAAGAGCAGAAGCAATACCGTTGATGACTCGAAGTAATAATCGCATGAAAAACAATCCTTTTGGATAATGATAATAGTTTAGCATTAAAAAAAAAAAAAAAAAAAAACACAATAAAAATTTAAAATATTTTACAAATATTTTCAACTCCTTCAGGTCCGTGTGATATCACCTAAAACAATATCTGCCTAATTGCAATAAATCGGTAGAGAAAACGTTGAAACAGCAAATAACTTGTGTAAATTTAACCTATTCTTGTACGGACAACGTCACAAAATAGTACGGTTGTTTTTTTTTCTTTTTATGACAAAAAATTTTTAAAATATAACTATGTTGTCTAAAGAGAAGTATTTTTAAATTTCAAAAAGTTTTTTTGCTAATTTAAGTTCTTTGAGCAACATCGTGTTATTATCCAACAGGATTGTTTTTCATGCGATTATTACTTCGAGTCATCAACGGTATTGCTTCTGCTCTTCATCGAGCGCGCCAAAATGGGCGGGGTTTGACAGAAATTTTTCTGCTATAAAATTGTTTGGCTTGGGATAGCCTGCCGCTATGCCAGGTTTGACAGAAAATTCTGAGCAAAAATTCTTCTGCCAACAGATTGGAAGTGAATAAAAACTACAGAAGATGAACACAGTTTTTGAATCAACAATAACACATACCTTGTACTTAGCTAACGATTCATCAAAAAAATAAAATAAAAACAAAGAAATCACAACTTTAATGCACAACTCATCAGGAATCTTATTCTGGAATCAGCACCCATAAACCCTACCAATTCAAAAAATCTCAAAAATTAATACTTTACAGTACTATTTAAGGAAAAAGTTACAATCATAAAAAAACTGGTACTGTTTTTGAAATCCGCGGTGTCGATTACCTATAAATCGACATCTCGTCTAAAATTTTCAAAAGTGACTACTTTACACTACTACTTAAGAAAAAAGTCAAAATCATGAAGAATGAATATCATTTTCAAAATCAGCATCCTCGATTACCTATAACTCGACATCTCATCTAAAATTTTCAAAAATTACTACTTTACACTACTACTTAAGAAAAAAGTTACAATCATAAAAAACTGGTATTGTTTTCGAAATCCGCGGTGTCGATTACCTATAAATCGACATCTCGTCTAAAATTTTCAAAAGTTACTACTTTACACTACTACTTAAGAAAAAAGTTAAAATCATGTAAAATGAATATCATTTTCAAAATCAGCATCCTCGATTACCCCTATATCCGATTTTTACCCAAAAGTTTTGAACTTTTGCTTATTACGTAATCACCAATTTGAATTTTCAAATTTTTTAGCCCGAAGTGTTATTACTACCCCGAAACATGGACCCTACACTAATTTTTGTGTTTGGGGACATATTCGGAATATTTTGGGGACAGATTCCGAACTCCTATTTGGGGACAGGTCGTTGGGGACAGAATGGGGAAATTTGGGGACAGAATGGTATAAATTTGGGGACAGCCATTGCGTTGTCCGAGTTTTTCACTTGGAGAAGGAGGCATTTGCTTCATTTTTTGATACCTCCCGGATGAAAAATGGTACCTTCTTTGCCACTAGATCCATCACTGTACGTAGCGAAAACAATACAATATACCAACTTTCAGTATACGACGATCGTGATGGCCGTCCATTGAGAGCCCGCAAAGTTGGCTACGCCAAAGTTTACCGCGATAGAGACGATAGAGGTGACTACCGGGGGCCTCGTCTGCGACAAGTGGGAGTCGCCCGGGTTCACCATCATCACCGTCATAGCAGCGAGGAGGAGGACGACAAAGGCAGAGGAAGAGGAAGAGGAAGACTTGTCTTGGGATGAACAAAACATTCTACAGAGTCACCAATCTTAATCCACATATCTTATTTTACCTTGCAATTTGAATACGCTTCTTCTTGATTAAAATAAATTGGAAATTACAATTTGTCGTGCAATTAGCGGGCTGGTAATCAATTGGCCGTTTGACTAGCCAAATACCGTTTATCATAATGGATAATTTGATTAGCCATTTTGAAATTTATAGCCTTCATACTGATTGAACGATCAATCAGTATTCGAAGGAAATGCTGAAAATATTGCTGACTTTCTTTGTGGCTTTTGCAGTTTTTGATGAAGTTAATGCAAAATGTAAGTTATTCTAAAAGTTGTGGGAAAAGTATAACAAGATCTCCAGAACCAAAGTATCAATCTGTCGGGAAAATAATGAACACATTGTCGCGTCTACAGTTGCATCGCTGCCGAGGAAATGAGTTCTGTCACCGCAAAATCAATTTTTTTCTCACTTCAGCGGCGCAATCGGCGCAGCGACATTGTGCTCATTGTTTTTCCGGCAGACTGATAACAGGAAAGTGTAAAAATTTGTCGGCATCAAACAAGATATGGCATTCACCATTCCAAAGCCTTTGAAAAGTAGTATGTACTACAGTGACCTGATCTTGTGGCAAAATATGTATTATTTTGCATCCGGGAAGTATCAAAAAATGTAGCAAAATACCTCCCTCTCCAAGTTAAAAAACTCCGATTTCAAAAGCGCGCCCGCTATTTTTGTGAGGGAGCCCTTCAAAACGGAGTTTTTCACTTGCAGAGGGAGGCATTTTGCCATACTTTTTAATACTTCCCGAATGCAAAATGATACGTTCTTTGCCACTGGATCAGGTCCGTCATTGTACGCCTTGGCAATAAGCCATTAAAGACAAAGCATAGTCACATATTTCAGTGTTCATAATCAGGCCCAGACCACCCTCCTCCCCCTCATGCGGTTCTCCGTCTTGCCCTGTCAGCCGAAAGCCCACACCAATTCCGACAGCTCCGATATACCGCCCGAGAGTTCAGCCGTCTTACGTTCCTATTCCTGCTTATGACGCCCAAGGTCGAGACGGTAGATACCGTTCAAGGGTTCAGCCGTCTTACGTTCCAATTCCTGCTTATGATCCCACAGGTCGAGGCGGTGGATACCGTCCAACACTTCCCCCATCCTATGTTCCTATTTATGACTATGAACGTGATGATGCCAAAGGTCGAAACAGTGGATATCGTCCAAAAGTTCCCCCATCCTATGTTCCTATTTATGACTATGATCGTGGTGATGCCACAGGTCGAAGCGGTGGATACCGCCCGAGAGTTCAGCCGTCATATGTTCCTATTCCTGCTTATGATGCCACAAGTCGAAACGCTCGATACCGCCCAAGAGCTCGGCCTTCCTACATTCCCAATTATGACAAAGATCATGATGACGCCCAAGGTCGAGACGATCGATACCGCCCAAGAGTTCCCCCATCCTACCTTCCCATTTACAGCTTTGATCACGATGACGCCACAGATCGAGACGATGGATACGTGGGGAAGCCGCAGAAGAGCGGGTCGGAATATTACCGTTCAAGGTACAGTAGAAGGAGAACTTGATAAAAGAAATCTTGAGTTTGAATATTGGAAATAAAAGTTTGCGCCGCTGCCGAAAAAATTATTCTTTTTTCCAAAGATTTCTCAAACTTCTCCATTTTTCCTTCGCTTCGAAGTGATCAACATTGGCTTTACGAACTTGACATCCAATACGATTGATGGCTATTGTCCCAGGCAAAGCCTTTCGTGCCTGTGATGACATGGGTGGACAGGAAAAACCGACCGCTCTCCGAGGAGAAAAAATTGGAATTCGTCTGTATTTTTGTTTCAAAAAGAAAGTGCTTTTTTGAGTCGTTATTTTCCCGACAGACTGATATAACTTTAAGCCATCAAATCCGAGAAATTTTGATTCAAAAAAATGAACCTGGCATGCGACGAAACCGGGAACCGGTTAACGGCATTCCCGGCTCGAAACTGGAATCGACCGCCCTACAAAACGCCGGCGCCTTTTGTTTCGGATCCGGAAGTCGACGGCAAAACATTTTTGAAGTTCAACGGAAAGCGGTTCGCGTCTTCAGTTGCGGGATTTATGAAAGTGATATTGCAGTTAGGAATTTTTTTATCATCTTTGTTTCCTACACTTATTTCTAGTTAGCGTTTTGAAGAAAAGACCGAGATTTTTTTAGATCGAATCTTGGCAAAAATGTGATAACTTTTAGCGCTTTTTCGAATGACAAGTTTTATACGGGTTCCTGCCGTAAAGCGGGTAATGTTTCAACAAACACAATTATTTTTACCGCATAAAAATGGCAAGGGCCAAAAAGCCTTTTTCTCCTTGACCGCTCTCGGCGTTTGCCTACTCTCTCGGCGGCGAAGATCGTTGAATATCTTGGTTGCTCGTGAAAAGCGATGTCTAAGACTTTCAAGAATTAATATGTGGCATGAGCCTGATATTTGCGCAAAATTTAATTAAAATCTTTAAAAAAGCCTTCGCTTGTCAAACTTTTAGTGCCTTTATTATGACCTTTTATTGTCAGAGATGCTTACTATATCGTCTATAAAGTCTATAAAGCGTCTATAAAGTTCAACCCGTCATTCTTGAATATTGAAAATGCTGTAGAGGTAACTATTTTTTTAATTCCAATCCTTTTCCCTCCCCAATTTTTGTGCTCTAATAACTTCCCGCTCTAGCTCCATAAAAACACACTTCTAAAGGAATTACTTCCATTTTTCATTTCTTATGTGTTTATACGCGCGCCGGAAGAAGAGGGCTTGATTTCGGCGAGATACCGAAAAACAAGCGATTTTTCACAGTGTTGCGCAAAAAACTTGTCGAACGAAACGTGAAAACCTCGGTAAATCAAGTGGCGCTACGACTCGACAGTTCGGGTCAGCGATACTATGGATCGCTTCGGTTGGTCGTTGTATGGATGTGGGAGGCTAGGAGAAGGCTTAGTTAGTATAAATAATAAGATTGATGGAGTCCTAGAATAGCTTATGACCTAGAGGTATTTTACATGTACTCACATCCATAACATCTAGATCAAAGTTACGGAGCTTTGTTTTTTGCCGCAAATTTTGGTTTTTTATATGTTACAGTAAGTCAGAGTAAAGAAAACTAACGTTAACAATAGCAAAAATTACAAAAAATGGACATATTTCAAGCCTTCGCCAAGCTGTTGCCGAGTCTCCGCCGAGTCTTCGCCGACCATCCAATGGCTTTGTCAGGCCTCGTAGACACTTCCTACAACCTTTTTTGGATATCCACCAGTCCTACGCCCTGTATCGATCCTCTTTGTGTTAACCCGAGCTTTTATCGACCCTAAAAATCAGTCTGCGGTCAAAACGGGTCTGGAAATGCGCTGAATTTGACGTGCCTCAATCCTATGTACGCCTATAGGCCTGTAAACTTTTATTGTACGAATTCTTAGCTCTACATCAAGAAATAAATAGAAGATTTATAGCCTGCTATTTCAGATAAACCTACAATTTCCATTCTCCAACATGCTTGTGAAAACAATGGTTTCCTTAGCGGCATTGGGTAAGCCTCATTTTTTACAAGTTTTTTTTGTCGGAGTGATTACTTGGCCCAATGATTTCTTGTTGTTTCAGCGCTTCTGGCCTTTTCCGTTCCCCTGCCAAGAGAGGAAGTCCCGATCTGCCCCAGCGGATCCCAGCCAATGTTGCGGCCGGATGGAGAGCCCAGAAAATGTCTGCCCCATCAAAGTCATCTCTGTCTGAACGCCTTGGACGATGGGGTATGTTTATTTAGCGGGGTTGGAAGTTTAATAGTCAAACTTGGATGTTTTATAGTAATTTTTGTTTTTGCTATCGTAAGATAGCAATTTTTTCTTTTGCTATTGTAAGATAGCAAAAGCAATTTTTTTGCTCCAAATCCAAAGTTCAAGCAAAAAATCCTTTTTTTCGATAGCCATACTATCAGTCTGTTAGAAAAGTAATGAGGGAAATGTCGCTGCGCCGATCGTGTTGCTGAAGTGGAACGCAATTGGATTTTGCCGCGACACAATTCATTATCTCGGCGGCGATGCGATTTTCGTTGCGACAGAGTGCTCGTTATTTTCCCGACAGACTGATTCTAATCTGTTCACAAAGTTGCTTGTGGGATTTTGGCGTCAAAACACTGTGAAAAAAGAGCTCAGGATGCTTGTGTCAGCCTCAAAAATTCTATTCCACATTACTGACAGTCCTTTTGCAAAGTCGAATTACTAGTCGGGAATTGTCTTGAAATTCCTACAGTGCCCAATCTGATACCGTGGAAAAAAACTTATCTTTTTACATCCAGGAAGTATCAAAAAATGAGGCAAAATTCCTCCCTCTCCAACTAAAACAACTCCGTTTTGAAGAGTGCGCCCTTTCCTTCACAAAAGAGCGGGCTGCTTTTGAAATCGGAGTTTTTCACTTGGGAGGCATTTTGCCACATTTTTTGATACTTCCCGGATGCAAAATAATTCGTTTTTTTCCATTGCATCAGGTCCGTCACTGTAGTGGCCAAGCCAATTTTTCTCGCTGACTGTTTCTTTTTAACTTTAGGCCGATCCAAATTCCGTCTGCTGCTGGCATAACAAGGTCGATTACTTCTGCTGTACGAATGTCGCTGAGGCCCATTGTCCGGCCTACTCCAATGTAACCGTTGTGATCCACAACAGCTTCCCGCAGAACTCCTTCCCCATCAAAACGTTCCATTTCCGAAAAGGCATCGAAAATGATCTCCGATTACAATGAACGATTACCAGCAAAAGCCTCCCGAAATTTGGGTCTTGTATTTAATTTACATTTAATATGTGTAATAATAAATAAGGCACCATTAAACGTCCTTTCGGTCTTCGGAATGAAGGCGATTCGTTGTCGGCGTGACACTTCGATGGGTCCGGTTGAGCGTAAAGTTCTTGGAGAGGCCGGGAAGAGGAGCGCGTTTGCGGACGAAGCGGCCGAACCCTCGCGAATTCTCCGGGATCTGCGGTCGGGCTTGGGGAGGGGCTGGAAATTGAATGGTCTTTAGTTTGTAAATGAAGATGTAGAGGTTCAATTTAGAGGTCTTCATAAGGAAAGTACTTTTATGGGGCTCCTAGCTTTAGGCCATGTAAATTACAAAAAAAATGGCATCCAGGAGGTATCAAAAATGTAACAATGCCTCCCTCTCCAACTAAAAAACTTCGTTCCAAAGGCCTCACAAAAAGAGTGGGCGCGCTGTTGAAACCAAAGTTTTTTCACTTGTTGAGGTATTTTGCTACGTTTTTTGATATTTCCCGGGAGCAAAATGATACGTTTTTTGCCTCTGGATCAGGTACGCTGTAGGAACTCAAATCAACTTATGGGTAATTTTTTATCCCTAAAAACCAAAATTGGGCAACTAATTTTGATATATTCTTAATCAGCATAACTTTACGTCTTTTTTGAGATACGTCCCGTCTAAAAGTAAGTAGCCCCCCATAAATGTACTCTCCTTGGAAAATAAAGATCAAAAAGGCTTATTAAATATTTAAACTCTCCATTTGTAATTTCGAATTTTGAATTTATAGCCTGAAAGTCCCTGGCGAAGCTCTCAAAAAAATGGAAGACTCTGTCTAAATTTCACGATCTTTAAACGCTTCTAAAAAAACAAGGTAGACAACTTTTCTGTGAATTTTCCAAGTTTTTGATGACATTATAATCAAACAAGTTATCAACAAAAATTGAAAAATTTTGGATCAGTTCCCTCTAACTTACCATTGTCACCATTGACCGCTCGTTTCTCTGGCGGTGAGGAACTATGAAGCGTATGGTTTGGCAAAGGTAATTGTGGACCGGGCGACTGATGAACCGAGCCTCGTCGCGAGTTTAGCTTGCTTTCTCGCTGAAAATAGATACTCTTAAATTGACCAAAAAAGATGGAATTTTTTTGGAAAAGAGGGCCCACAATCTGTGGACATTCATTCATTCGGGAAGATCTTTCTAAAAGAACAGCTTTAAACACTCACCTTGTACGCCTCCCTCCGCCAATGCTCCATTTTGGCGGTCTGCACCCGAATCCACAACGGCACATCCGGAATGGCCATATCCAACAAAAACTTGGCCGCCAGTACCAGATGCTCCAAGATGACGACCAGCAAAACTTGGCCACCAAACGAGAGGCCGGGCAGCAGCCGCTGCACCAAGCCGCTCTGACCAATCAGCGCGCAGTTCACCACAACCCCCAGAACTCCCATAATCTCCATCGCTTTCTGCCAAGCCCCAATGTTCTTGACCTGGCGGCCGAACGGACGTTGGACTGCGTTGCAGAGTTTGAAGGCGTCAACGCGAATCTCCAACATGTTGCTGAACAGGCAGAAGACGGCGGCCAGTGGGAAGGCTGGCGAGAAGAGGAGAACGTATCCGAATTGGATGAACATTTCAAGGTAGTCGTCCAGAGGCCGCGCGTACACCGTCATCAAGCTTTGGAGCTCCGCGTCAGTGAAGACAAATTCTGGAAAATGGAAAAGATTTTTTTGAGTTTGGAGCAGACATTGCCACGGCTCCAGGCTCCGGCTCTGAGCGGCTCCACCCAAAATCGGAGCCAGACTTCTCAGCGTTCAGAAAATTAAAAATTTCGTGATCTTGTTAAACAAATTGCATAAAAAATACTGGGAAGAATGTGTTGCGTACTTACGAATTGGTTCAAAAACGTTGGGTGTGCCATCTCTGGCACACGTAACGTTTGTTTTAGGAAAAACATTTAAAAAAAAATTTTTTTGCAGCCTGGGAGCCGGAGCCGCAAATTTGGCCTCGGCTTCGGCTCTGAGAGCTAAGAGCCGGAGCCAAAATTTTGTCCGTGGCAGTCTCTGTTTCGGAGTGTCAATTTTTGCCCATTTTGATGAGAACGCGGAAAACGAAGAGAGCTGTCAGAGAAAGGGTTTTTTGCCCGTATCCATACAGCGTATCAGTCTGTAGAAGAAGTAATGAACACTCTGTCACATCGAAAATCGCATCGCTGCTGAGAAAATTAACTGTGTCGCGAGTCGCGGCAAAATCAAATTGCTTTTCACTTCAGCAACTCGATTGGCGCAGCGACTTTGAGCTCATTATTTTCTCGACTGACAGATACTCGCGCCGAACTATGGGCAATTTTTTTTTCACTGGCAAAGCGCGTATAATAACTTTTTTATTATATAGTTTTTTATAAAGTCTGCATGCTGCAAATCCCAGAACTCCCCGTTTTATAAGCACTTACTGTCAGTCGGACAGAACTCCGGAAGTGGAAGTCGCGAGTTTGAAGAGGGCAAAGGAGATGTCAGCTTCTGAAATTTTACTTCTAAATCTAATCTTTCAGCCAAAAATTAGCATTAAAACCTTTTTACTTCTCTATCAGCCAAAAATCAACACTAAAACCCGTCGAAAATAAATTCTAATCTTCGGCGAAGCAGGTCAAACTGAGAAGTCCGATGATAGACCTTCGCTATCGGTTTTTTACACTTTGTCCTGATTTCACAGAGAAGACAGAGAAAAGGCGCGCAAAAACGTACTCTCTCGCCCTAAAAGCTCCCCATTTCTTGCTCGACAAAAGGTTTTCTTGCGTCTTTTTGTGCGAATTTTTTGACGGCTCCATTCACAGGACCGTTTTAGCTTATCTCAGTTTGACGTGCGAGGCATCGGGCTCTAATTGTCAATTATTGAAGAGATGTGAACCTACACTCAACAGTTCCACATTTTTCGTCGAGAACTGACTCCTTCGCAGTCGATTCGGGCTGAATTGATTGTCCGGCAGCGTGCTCGGCCTTCTGATTGTCAAATTATTTGAATTCTTTTCCTCTTCCTCTTTTGGGATCTCAAATTTAACCAAATTCTCGTATTCTCCACACTTCTCCGGCGTCTTCAGCTCCGTGGAATTTTGCCTCCGAATCTTTTCTTCTTTGGCAATTTCCACGTGCCTTCGAAGTGAACGTTCGCTCAAAGTGCGGGTCATCCGATAGCTGAGACGCCAGAACTTTAGCCGCTCCATGAGAAATGGAGCCGCAACTTCGAAGACGTTCTGGGTGAATTGGCGAGCAAAGAGAAGGGTGGCCAAGGTCTGGAATTCGAAACAAGGTAAGTCATGAAGAAGACGGCTGGACTCGTTATCCCCAAAATCGATTCTGACATCAATTTATCAAAATTTTGACTGGCGCTTTGATCAAGACGATCTTTGCCGCTCTTAACAGTCAATACCAAAAGGACTTTACCGTTTGGGACATCTCCTTGAACCATGAGAGAAAAATACCAAAAAATGGCTATATTAGCAAGTTTTGGGGAAAAACATTAATCAAATATCTGTATATGCATTACACTGAGAAAAGGCCGTTTTTGAGCCTAGAGACCTCTGGGTGCCCGTTCGAAGAATTATTCTTACTTTCCCCTCTGTAAAAACCCACATACTCCTCACTTACATCTCTCAGTCGCTTCATGTCGTTCATGAAGAAGGCAATGTAAAAGAGCGATCCAAATGCGCTCACGCATTGAAACAGCGCAATCTTTGTGATCAAAAAGGTCTCGTATTCATCATCAGTTCGGTAGTTCTCTTAAAAAATAGAAAGTGTTTTCAAATACCCATAGATTATACTATGTAAACATGCACTAGCAATACGGGCAATTTCCTCACCTAAATCGTTGAAAAACAACGCCAAATGTCGATACAGTTGATCCGCCACCATAACCATCAGCGCGTAAACTACGATAGGGACGTATATGAGCCAATAAAAGAAAAAGGAGTCGTTGAAATATCTGGAATTAACATAATTTTGGTGATTGCAGCAAGTCTCGCACAGGGGCCTCATACGCGGTCCAATTTTCCATTTTTTTTTGTTATTTCGCGCGACCAAATAAATAGCTAACTGTGTGCTCCACCCTTGTAAACTTACGCTTCAGTAATATCCTGTAGATAGAGCAAGAAGAACATCATCAAAAACATGAACAGACAGCACAACAGTGTTATCGGATATGTCACTCCGTACCGTATCACCGCGTGCTTCCAAGGCGGATAGTGTGGCTCGATCCGACCGCTCACCGGGTTCGGCGCCAGATCCCCTTTGAAGGCGGGCCGGGGATCGTCCATTAAAGGGTCACGCTCAACGTCATAGGTGCCCCATTGAAAGGCCAGCTCAGCTTGACGTCGTTTCCACAGCTCAATGTAGGCGGTGGACCAAACACAATTGAAGAAGGCGAAGATGACGAAACAAATGTCGGAGAAGAGCTGGAAATATTTTTGTTTTGGAACCTAGATTTTTCAAATGTAATACATACAATGATGGAGCCGATTCAGTGGCAGAAAACGTACCATTCTTCATCAGGGATGTATCAAAATTGTAGCAAAATGCCTCCCTTTTCAACTGAAAAAACTCCGTTTTGAAGAGAGTGCGCCCTTTCCCTGACAAAAAGAGCGGGCGCGCTTTTGAAATCGCAGTTTTTTCACTTGAAAATGGAGGCATTTTGCTACATTTTTTATGCTTCCCGGATGCAACGTGGTACGTTTTTTGCCACTGGATCAGGTCCGCCACTTTAAAATAGGACCCTCATACAGCCAAGCCTGCCTGTAACAACCAATTTTTTAGCTAACTTTAGGCTAACAGGGGAAGTACAGTGTGACGCTCAGATTTTGATGAAACTTGGCACAAATTTAGAATAATTTTTCTAAAATATATGCGAGAATCCTAGCTCGCGCTTTGTAGAAACAACCGAGATTTTTAGATCGAAAGTCGGCGAAAATTTAGAACTTTTTGCCGAATTTCGGCACGAAAAGTTTCATGCCTATTTCAGCCGTAAAGGATAATGTTTCTACAAAAAATCAAATTTTTCCGCACGAAACTGCCAAAGTTATGGCCAAAAAGCGCTTTTCTCTCTGACCGCTCTCCACTTTTAGCGTGCTCTCTCGGCGGCAAAAATCGTTCGATATCTCGGCGGCGCCCGCAAAGCGCGAGCTAAAACTTTCAGGAATTGATATTTAGTCCATGCCCTACGTGTGTGCAAAATTTAAAGAAAATCTGAGCGTCGCACTTGGAATACCTCCCTTGTTAGCGGAACACGTTACAGATTTTAACAATACGCCGCTTAGACTTTCAACTACATACCGTATTATGACGCTCATTCCCACTACAAATCTCGTCCAGCTCATCGCATTCAAGCTCAACCGCCCTTCCGCTAAAACTCCACTCCAACAGCCACAAAATCAACCCAAGAATTGCGGGAGCGCCGAGCGCGGCAGTCAAGTGGCCAAGCCACGCGAAATACATGGCAATCTCCGTCCCAAAGTAGTCCTTGATACTATCCAGAGGCTGAGGGTCCATGGTGAGGACCCATTTCCGTTGGAGCTCTTTGAGTTCGTCGGTGTCGTGGAGTGGGAGAACATGGTCGACGATGGCGTGTCGGCCGGAGCGGAGAAAGGTTACTGAAATTGGAGGAATGCAAATCAGCATCGAGTCAGCATCTCTTGCAATTTTCAGTTTGAAAATCTCAAATTAACCTATTTATTAGTGTGGATTGCAATGTTTCGACAAAAAAGTATTTTTTATGTAGTTTTAAAAGTGTCTGTGGTATAAACAACGCCTATATATGGCTAGTAATACCTTCTATTGCAAGCAATAGAATTTTATAGAAACTGAGGAGTCCTGTGACCGGAATAGACCCTTCGCTATCGGTTTTTTTACACTTTGTCTTGATTTCACGGAGAAGACAGAGAACAGACTCGCAAAATGTACTCTCTCGCCCCAAAAAATCACCATTTCTTCCCCGACAAAAATATTTTTCATCTTTTTTGGCGAATTCTCCTTTCATCGGACTATTTTATCTTATCTCAGTTTGCGTGTGATGTCCCTAGCCATGTAAATTTGCCGTATCTACTCTTAAAACTCACTCAAAGTTCGTCCATCCGGCACAGTCAGGAACTGATCTTCCTTCATCCCAATCTGACAGCTCAATCCCCCAATCGGAGCGCGAATCATGTCCAGCATTTGCTTGGCAATCATCGTCCGTTCCATCTGGCTGAAGAAGCTCTCTTTGCTCTCCACGTTCAGGAAACATTGAGCCTCGTCAAACGCGAATTCCCTCATGCCGCCGCCATAAATCGGCTTCAATTCCTTTTTCAGATGACATAATTCGGCGCCTTTGAGAAGACTGACGTAGGTTGAGGTAATGTAAAGTGCGTAGCAGTTGGTCAATGTGTGATAGCGCACCTCGACTTTGAACTGGGGCTCAAGACGCTTTAGCTGTAATTTTTTTAAATATTTTTTTTTGAAAAAGGTGTTTATCTTTGGAGATATATAATAAATAAAACAAAATGGAAATTTATATAGAATTTAGCCCCAAAAATTACAAAAGTCTTACCACATCCACAAGCCACACACACTGGGCTTTGGCGAGTTCCTGCTCTCTCGATCGAAGACTGACGACCAGATCACATTTGGGAGAGATCACTGAATTCTGAGAGAGGTTGGAATACAAGGCCAGTCGTTGACCTGAAATAAGACATCATCAGGAGTCCCTTTTTATTTGACTTCATTCTTAAATTTCGTTTTTTATTCTTCCAAATATTTGTGTTAAAAGCTGGGTATTTGACAACCCAAAAAAAGGAAAGAACGTTTCTTAAAATTTTTAAAAATTTGACAAGAAAGTTCTGAACTTCAAATTGCTTCATAATGAGGATTAGAATTTGACCGAAATTTGACCGGCCTTCGATCAACATTGACTAATAGGCAGGTCAAGAGATCAGGTGTGACCTTTTACACCCCCTATTATGACCTTGTCCGGTCATGACGGAGTCGGGTCAGATCAGGATCAGTTAGAGGACTGATCCTGGTCTTTCTGTCATTACCTTCTCACAGGTGTGGCTCTATCTGTCAATGGATACTCGCAATTCTTTAGTGAAGCGCCATGGCACCCAGGATGTCTTCTGCTTCCATTCGGTACTTCGCCCACCCAGTATCGATTCAGTTCAAGCAAAATTCAAACGAAAATCCACAATACGGTCACCAAAAAATAAAATTTTTTCGGAATTATAATATTTTGTTTCTTTGTCAATTATGAAGCTTGGCTTGGACAAAAGGCCGAGAGAAATCTTTGTTCAATTTTGTGTTGTGTTTCATAAAGACTCGGTAAAGCACTTTAGTCGTCCAAAAGATCGTTAGAACAGCCATTTGCACTAATATGGTCAGTCAACCATTCCCCTCAAATCGTCATTCCCCGCGAATAAACCGCCTTACCTTCCACATAGATCCTAATCGCAGGCAAAGGCCGTTTCATAAATGTTTTCAGAAAAAATCACAAAATAAAAAAAAAATGTTGAAAAAATTCTGGGAAGCTTGAACGGACACAAAACCCTGACTCATTCAGCCGTTATTCATTAAATTTTTGTCTCATGACATCAATAAAATTGTACGAAAAAGAATTGGAGAGACTTACCTTCCGCTATACCATCTTGGATTATGGAGCCAAGCCGATGCCTTAACATGAACTGAAGCCGGCCCGCGAGATTTTGCGCTGCAATAATTGTAAATTTTTAAAAAAATCGCCAAAACTTGAACTCTAGCTAAGAAAAATCAAAAAATTAAAAAAAAAAACCCAAAAAATCGCTCAATTTTCGAGCAAAAATTTATTTTCTCCCAAAATTCTATAAACTTTTTTCCGGCCCCAACACCTTCCAAACAATCGAAGGCCTTGAAAATGTCGGTTTTTCGTGGTTTCGGACAAAAAGAAAGCACAAAAAAGCCCCAGGACCGGCGCGGCCGAAAAAGAGTGGTATATGAATAAAGAGCGAGAGATTTCCCCCTCCAAATAAGGCCATTCGGACGGGGAGATGGAGGAAAGAAGGGAATTTAAATTAGCTCGGGTAAAAGTGTCCTCTATTGGGGTAAAATTGGAAGCGGACGATTCGAGAATTTGTTTTTTTTTTGTTTTACTGAATTAGTAATGGGCCGGCGGCGGATTGGATTGAGAAATTCAGGAAATAAAAAGCTGAAATCTCATTAAAACTTGATGTAAATATTGTAGTAAAAAAATCGTAGAAAAAACAGAGATTTTTTCCCCTAAAGTTGGTGGAAAATTGATGACTTTTTTTGGTGAGTTAGGCATAACTAACAGGGGAAGTACTCCAAGTGCGACGCCCAGATTTTCTTTAAATTTTGCACACACGTCGGGTATGGACTAGATATCAATTCCTGAAAGGTTTAGCTCGCGCTTTGCGGGCGTCGCCGAGATATCGGACGATTTTTGCCGCCGAGACAGCACGCTAAACGTGGAGAGCGGTCAGAGAGAAAAGCGCTTTTTGGCCATAACTTTGGCAGTTTCGTGCGGAAAATTTTGATTTTTTGTAGAAACATTATCCTTTACGGTAGAAATAGGCATGAAACTTTTCGTGCCGAAATTCGGCAAAAAGTCCAAAATTTTGGCCGACTTTTGATCTAAAAATCTCGGTTGTTTCTGCAAAGCTAGGATTCTCGCATATATCTTAGAAAAAATTATTCTAAATTTGTGCCACGTTTCATCAAAATCTGAGCGTCGCAATTGGAGTTCTTCCCTTGTAAATTACTGCCGTATTTCCGGCGGCGAGACCGGCGTTATCACAAAAAAATATAGTTTTTCGCAAAAGACTGGAATACTAGCTGAAGCCTTTTTTCTCTCTACCCGTTCTCCGCATTTCACATACTCTTACGCTTAATTTACCTGTCATCTTCGGAATGGCCGAGGAAAAGCATTAGAAAAATAGAAACAGTCAACCCTCCGTACAATAAATAGTAAGCGATCGAAGGAATATTGGTTATAGAAAGGTTTCGTTTTACAGAAGCTTGTTATGGCCTAAAATTGCATGTGGCCTCCAAACCTGTTCGTTATAGACAGGTTACGCTGTACAGGAGTCGCTCAAAGAGCGGTCGAAAAAGAGAGGTTTTTTAGCGGCTCTAAATTTTACTAAAGCCTAGTAACATTCGCGTCCCGACATTTCGGGTCAGGGACAACTCGGGTCGCGACAACTCGGGTCGACGACAACTCGGGTCAACGACAACTCGGGTCAACGACACTTCGGGTCAACGACATTTCGGGTCAACGATACCGTTTAATATTTTCGCTTCGGGACTGTGAAAAAACAATTTTTTGGTGAATTTGAGAAATTTTTGAAATGTTTTCGCTTCGGGACTTGCGTTCTCGGAGGATAGGTTACCCCGAGGATAGGTTACCTGAAAAAAATTTTTTTTTGAAATGTTTTCGCTTCGGGACTCGGAAAAAAAGGACTTTTTGTGAAATTTGAAAAAATTTTCAAATGTTTTCGCTTCGGGAGTTGGAAAAAAAGGATTTTTTGTGAAATTTGAAAAAAATTTGAAGTGTTTTCGCTTCGAGACTGGGAAAAAAAGATTTTTTGGAAAATTCAACAAAATTTTGAAATGTTTTCGCATCGGAAGTAGAAAAAAGGGTGTCTGACTGAATATTAACTGTGGTGCCGGCAGCACTAAAATTTTGTCTAAAACCAATGGTACCACCTGGTACTATATAGTACCACGTGTTTTTGGGCTCTACTAAGCACCAAACCATCACCATTACTGCCTCATGGCCAAGTTTTCACTTCTCACAAAACAGTACCAGTTGGCACTATATAGTACCAAGTGTTAAAACGTGTTTTTGGGTTCTACTAAGCACCAAACCAACGCCATTACCGCCTTACGGCCAAATTTGCACCTCGTACTAAATAGTACCAGGTAGTACTATTTAGTACGAAGTGTTAAAAATGTGTTTTTAAGCAGTACTAGGCACCAAAACAACACCATTAACGTCTAAAAGTGTTATAAGTCGAAAAATTTTCAAAAAGAATCCCTAAAGGCAGTAAGGTAACAGAAACCCAGTTTTCATATTCAGTCAGTTCATACTCAGTCAGCTCGAAAACCTTTCAAATTTTTTTCAATTTTCACAAAAAATCCTTTTGTTAAAAGTCCCGAAGCGAAAACATTTCAAAATTTTTTCAAATTTCACAAAGAATCCTTTTTTTTCAACTCCCGAAGCGAAAACATTTCAAATTTTATTCAAATTTCACAAAAAATCCTTTTTTTCCAAGTCCCGAAGCGAAAAAATTTGAAAAATTTTTTAAATTCACCAAAAAATTCTTTTTTCCAAGTCCCGAAGCGAAAATATTAAACGGTATCGTTGACCCGAAATGTCGTTGACCCGAGGTGTCGTTGACCCGAAGTGTCGTTGACCCGAGTTGTCGTTGACCCGAGTTGTCGCGACCCGAGTTGTCCCTGACCCGAAATGTCGTAGCGCCGTAACATTCACTTCCAGAAATTTATTTTTGCTTTGCTATCTTGTAAAAACATTCTGAGCCCAAACTAAACCGAAAATCCTCTTATGAGGTCTTAGCGGGCCAGATTTTCATTTCCATGTCTACCAGATGTTCTAGAACTTCCTGTGTGGCAACAACGGCCCATAAAAAATAATTACAGAGGTTTGAGAGACAGCTTTTTAAAAAAACTTGATAGAATGAAGCCTTTCTATAACACATATTTTTTTGTGATCCAAAGTTCAGACTTTTTTAAAGAAAGAGTCTAAAGAACACAAAAAATAGACAACGGCCTAATGATCCTAATATAAAATTCTTTTTTCCTCTGGAAACAATCGAACGGATTAAACCCGGAAGAGGATAAATTATAACACTGTTCGACACAAACAAGTAACGGAAAAGGAAAAAATAATACTACAATTGCAAAGCTATACAGCTTGATCAAAATAAAGCCAACGCACAGGTTTAAGAATGAAATATTTTGGCCTCTTATTGAGGAGCTTTCAGAGCGGGGTTCATTACAATTTTTATATAGTCTGAAAGTGGAGCCTTTACTATATATCCTGGCAAATTTTTATGTCTCTAGCTTGAACAGCTAGCGAGCAATGGATTAAAGAAGAAGGTCATTTTTGAAAAAATAAAAAAATTTTGGAGGTGTCCCAAAAGTACAGAATGCCGTGTATAGAAGAGTTTCGCTGTTTGGAGGTTACACCTGTTGAAAAAAATATATGCAGCAGAATAACGTTTTGTAACTTTTTGAAAGGAACTCTCTTCATATTGCACGGTCTCTCAGAAAAAACGATCGCTTAATATCGCCACCCTTGCTGGAACCGCAAGTTCAAATTCTCACAATTTGACATATTTGATAGATAGATAAGACTTTCAAAATTTCAAAAAATCCCGTCTTATGAAGTCTGAGAAAAACACTTACATTCTCCGTCAACCCGAATCTTCGGGACCTCCACTTGGCCTTTCAATCCGCATTTATCGCTTTCATATAGCACTCTATTCTTAACGGCGAAGTTAACTTCAGGCCGGAGACTTTCACTCCGTTTTCGCTTTATGGTCTCCATCTGTAAATTAGATCAAACCGGTTGTAGCGTTCGTTTGGCCCCGAAAAAAAACGTTCTTGTTTTCTCTTTCTTTCCGAGAAAATAACAGTTGTCGCTTGCATGAAAAGTTTAGAGTGCAAATAAAACTTTTTGGGAAAGGCCATGCGGAGTTTCGTCTTGATTTGCCTTAACCAATGTGCTAACTGAAAGCTTGCTGAAATTAGTTGAAAATGATAGAGTGCGGCTCGGAGAAACTGCAGCGGCGCACGTCAAGAAATTGCGGGCATTGCAAAGGTTCTCACAGCGAAAAAAAAATCATAAAATCTGTCATCCAAATTGGACATAACAACAATGTTTAACCTAATTTTTTTTATGGGAGCTCTAGGGAGTACTACTAGTCGTATACAACTGTTTTTTATACCACTGGCACATTCTGAATGGGTGTCATTGTGACGCATTTTTTGAACACGGTTCGAGCTAGGCTAAAAATAGTGCAAATTTCAAGGCCGAATATCAAAAAAACTGTCCCATCAAGCGGGACGAGACCGATGTAGATACTCGAAGAATAGGTTAAGGATTTTTTTGACGTGGAGCCTATACCCCCTTCCAGTTCTCTCTGACTCGGTATCGTCGATACAAAATTTTATTTAGACGTTGTTTTCTTCGCCTTGGAAGACTGTCAAAATACTATGATTATGGGTATATTTTGGTTCTATTAGCTTAAGCAACTCTCGAGCTTTCTATTGGTATCAATATCTTGTGATTTACTAATAATCTTTATGTCAAAATATTGCAAACTATTTGGACAAAAACGGATTTGCACCGGGCAGAATGCCAAAAAAAATTCTAGGCTTTTTCATTGGGCGCCCGTTTTTCTTTTATTTTTTCTTGACGTGCGGCGCAGCTCGGAAGCACAAAAAAATTAGAATAATCCAAAAAAAAGTTCATCTAAAACGTAGGGGGCTTGTGCTGGACCATACAACTTGGTTTAATTCTCTGAAATAAATTTTGGAGGTTCAGAATGGACGAGGGGGGTTGTACTGGGTCATGGGGGGCTGAACTGGACTGGGGGGTTGTACTACCTTAGCCCCAAATTTTGATTATACTCTTCTGAACGCTGAGAAGCCTGGCTCCGACTTTCGGCTCGGGAGCCGCTCAGAGCCGGAGCCAAGAGCCGGCTCCGGAGCCGTGGCAATCTCTGGTTAGCGCAATGACCCAGATCTTTCAAACCCTCCATTTCTGCAAGCAACTGGCCAACTAGCTTATCTCAAAACCATGTTTTGAACGACAAAGAACAAGTTGGCATTTGCTTCCAAATTTTATTATGTTAAAGCCTTTGGTAAGCATAAATCAACGTTAAATTAATGCAACGACATTATCTTGTGCAGCGTATTGAATAGAGTATTAATCGAAGTGAAATTGGTGAAATTGTACGTTATTTAATTAACCACAAAACGATGAAGGGGCAGGGGCATACCAAGGGGAGGAGGCCGTCTACCAAATACTCGTATCAAGGCTAAAAACCTGAATTACAAAACTAAAATAGTATTACTTACTGCCGTTTGAAAGAATCTCAAAGTGGTAGTTACTTCTGAAGACTCCGTCTACTACGAGAACTACGACAGCAAAAAGAATTATAATTCTAAAGACTCGAGACATCTTTTGGTCAGAGTCTTGCAGCTATCGTCTCTTTTTAAAGACGGCTTAATTCATAGTTAACGTCATAAATATTCTAACGAGTTATGACATTTGATTGAATAACTAATTTTTTAATCGTTATTGAACGTTACGAGCAGTCGACCCAAGAAACATCCAGTTTTTTTTGTCAACTGTGGCCTTTGCACGTCATACTGAGGAGTCCGGTGACGGGAATAGACCCTTCGCTATCGTTTTTTAACACTTCGTCTTGATTGCACAGAGAAGACAGAAAAAAGACGCGGAAAATATGCTCTCTCGCCCCAAAATTTCCCCATTTCTTCCCCGACAAAAGGTTTTTTCGCGTCTTTTTTTTGCGAATTGTCAATCCATTCACCGGACTTTTCTACCTGGAGAGCGGTCGGTTTTTCCTGTCCACCCATGCCGTTGCGGTCACAAAGGACTTCGCCTGGAAGAGTGGCTGTTCGTCGTAGTGGATCCAAGTTACTCATGGGCGCTTCAGGAAGTGTAAATTTAACGACCAATTTATTACTTATCCACTACCGTAACAGAATTATTACATTTCTCAGCAACATAGCGCGGTTACGAAGTTCTTCAATAGAACAATTAACCACAAGTTATCAAGTATTTTCCGAGTGAACCGTATAACTTCCGCGGTCGGTCGTACCTATCTTCTGGTGGTACAAGAAAAGCTAAAATTTGTATCAAAAAATCGAAAACTACGTACTGCCGTTTGGGAGACGAGCCCATTTGTGTTGATTAGGATGAAGGAGTCCGTTTACTGCAAGCACTGCGAGAGCCAAAAGCATGATAATTCTGAAGAGCCGAGACATCGTTTTGGTTCATAATATAGCAGTTATTGCCTCTTTTTAAACAAGATTTAATTCATACTAAACGTTATAATATTATGTATTCTAAAGTCTTATAACGTTTGATTGAATAACTAAATCATTTGTCACTATTAAAATACGAAACAAAGAATCGGGATGACTTTCAGATCGAGGAGAAAATTGCCAAAATAGCTCCAAAGGCAAAGTTGAAATTTCGATTTGTGTCACGACTTCGCGTGCGAATTTGCATATTCCCACGGAATGACCGACAAATTGGTCTAAAAGGAAGAGAAATCGCCAATTATGTAGTATTATTTTTGTGTCTTGTCTTTTCCCGCTTATGCGGTTGTGTCCAATAAAGTCTACTGTATTTACTATTTGTCTATTGATTTGTGTATGGTCTCTTGTGTTGTTGGAGTCAAGCATTGTGAGTTCATTTGTGAAGTTGTTGCCTAGGGCATAGTTAGTTGTATTGTCGCTTGTTTGAATAGTTGTTGTCTTCGTGTTCGCATAGGGCTTGGGATCTTAGGTAGAACTATGTAGATTAGGGACCCTTATCACTTGCTGGCATTAACGTTATCAAATATTCTAATGCCTTACAACACTTGATTGTACGACTAAATTGTTCATCACTGTTGAAAGTTATAAGCAGTCGACCTCGGAACCATCTAGCTTTTGAATGAAAGAATTACACGCGATTGGCTTTTACAGGGTCCTTGAAGAAACGTCAAAGAAAAGTACAGGGTGTTTCAAGAAATTCCCCGGAAAGTAATCGTCGATTTCTTAGCGCTCAGTCAAGATATCGAAAAAATTTTTTTTGCATAATAAAGAAGAATATGGGCGGTTTTTTGCCTATAAAAATCATTTTCTCCGCCAACGCGGAAAGCAGTGTATTCGGCGGAGACTTTTGGGCGCTTTTTTGGTCACCACACGAATTTTTAATGCTTTATTGCGACACTGAAGCATCCAGAAAGTCTTCAACCTTGGCTTTTAAACCGGTCATAATTCAATTAAAAACTTGAATTTATTATTAAATTATGTTTTAAAATTTTAGAATATCAATGAAAAACGATTTATAATCACGTCGTTATTTCTCTGACATTTCAAACACGCTCTTTTTTTGATACAAAAATTTGACAGTTTCTTGTATTTTTGGTTATATCTTTGTGTTCTTTGCAGCTACCTACAAAATTCAAGATGTATTTAAAATTCGTAATTGCGCGTTTTTATTATACACAAAGAATTTTTTCAAGTCTCGGCGGAGAGAAAATTTTTCGGCGGAGGCATTCGATGTCTTTCTTGAAAATTATACCTTGTTAGAAAGCCCACACTTCTTTACTACGGATGAAATTGGGTTTTGTCATATTGGTAGATTGTTGACTGTTAGTTTCGATAACTTGTTGGATGTTTCACACATCGGCGAAGGCTCGGCGGAGACTTTATAACGGCGGGCATCGTTTTGGACTCTCAATTTTTGCATTTTTGGTATTTCCTCCCGCAAAAGCCGTCGATAGGAATGCCAAACAATAAGACAATTATTTGGAAATATGTAAAATTCCACTATAATTATTTTCTGTTGTTATTGGTAGAGTAGACAGAAAAATTTGTTAAAATTTTGTTGCCCGAGCCTTGAAGAGCCCATATTCAAAAACATGGGTTTAAAGTTATCATGGTGGTAACGAATCTGATATTTATTGAGAAGAATATATCATAAAGCAGAGTTTTAATTCTTTATCAAGGACGTTTTGTTGTTGGCTTGGCGGTGGCCATGATTAATTTCACCATTTCAAGCCAACTGCGACGAGCTACAAGATAACAAAGAGCATTGTTATACGTGGTGCCTAGACTTACGGAAACAGCCGCCTGGACCATAAATTCCTTGCACGGCGCACACCATGATTGCAAAGATAAAAAGAACTTTACCAATGTTGAACATGTTGGGATTAGTCACTTCGATACCGCGTCTTGGCTTTTAAACCGGTCATAATTCAATTAAAAATTTTGAATTTATTATTAATTTATAATGTCAAGTTTAGTATCAAGTTTACTGACCAAATTGACACATTAAAATTGAAAAAAACGGCCTTTATTTGTGTCAATTTTTATCAATTTATTAACTTGTAAAATTTAGGAATATTGATTAAAAAAGATTTATGATTATAGCGGTAACTTCCAGTGTTGGTGTAGTTTTTTATATGGGTTTAACGTCATCTACAAAATTTCATTTATTTCCGTGCTATTTTTCAGATAAAATTTATGTAATGTATGGATTATATATGTGTATAATACATATATTATGAAATAAATATGTAATGCCAGTTTATAGATGCGGTCGTGAAATATCATCATAGTTTTTTTTCTGTTGTTATTGGTACAGTAGTGAGAAACTTTTGTTAAAATTTTGTCTCCGAGCCTTATTTAAGGTGTTTCATCGTGGTAATGAGTTTGATATTTATTGAAAAAATTATCACAAAGCAGTATATTGATTCTTTATCAAGGACGTTTGGTTGTTGGCTTGGCGGCGGCTATGATTAATCCCCTTTCTTCTAGCCATTCTCTTGCTGCAAGATAACAAAAGGCGTCGTTATACGTAATGTCTAGACTTACGGATCCAGCTATATTTGCCCACAATTCCTTGCACGCCGCACACCATGATTGCAAGGATAAAAAGCACTTTACCAATGTTGAACATGTTGGGATCGTCGACTTCGAAACCGAGTCTTGGCTTTTAAACCGGTCATAATTCAATTAAAAATTTGAATTTATTATTAAATTATGTTGTAAAATTTAGGAATATTGATTAAAAAAGATTTCTGATCACAGCGGTAACTTCCAGTATTGGTGGAGCTTTTTATATGGTTTTAACGTCTTCTACAAAATTTCGTTTATTTCCGTGATATTTTTCACATAAAATTTATGTATTGTATGGACTATATATGTGTATAATAATATCATGAAATAAATAATGCCAGTTTAGAGATGCGGTAGTCAAATGTCACCATAATTTCTTTCTGTTGTTATTGGCACAGCAGTCATAAACTTTTGTTAAAATTTTGTCTCCGAGCCTTATTTAAGGTGTTTCATTGTGGTAATGAGTTGGATATTTATTGAAAAAAATTATCACAAAGCAGAATATTGATCCTTGATCAAGAACGTTTGGTTGTTGGCTTGGCGGTGGTCAGTATAAGCAAGGGAAATTTCCGTGAGATGGGGAAGATGGTCGAGAGTCTTGGCCGACCGAAAGCTGCAAGATAACAAAAGGCGTCGTTATACGTGGTGCCTAGACTTACGGAAACAGCCACCATATCTTCCCCAAAGTCCTTGCACGGCGCACACCATGATTGCAAGGATAAAAAGAACTTTACCAGTGTTGAACATCTTGGAATCAGCAATTTGGAAACCGGGTCTTGGCTTTAAACCGGTCATAATTCAATTATTACTCAAAATTCAATTAAAAATTTGAATTTATTATTAAATTAACGGCTCACGCTTTGCAGAAACAACCGAGATTTTCGTTAGATCGAAAGTCGGCGAAAATTTAAGAATTTTTGTCGTATTTCGGCACGAAAATTTTCATGCCAATTTCTACCATGAGGATAATGTTTCCACAAAAAATCTTTTTTTCCGCACGGAACTAGCAAATTTATGGCCAAAAGTGTTTTTCTCTCTGACCGCTATTTGTGTTTAGTGCTCTCAAAGATCGTTCAATATCTTGGTGGAGCTTGCAAAGCGTGAGCTAAAACTTTCAGGAATTGACATTTAGTTCATGACCGACGTGTGCGCAAAATTTAAAGAAAATCTGGGCGTCGACAATATATTATCACGGCGTTTCTTTGACATTGCAAACACGCTCTTTTTTGATACATTTTTTACTTCAGGTAAAAAAAAACTTTTGTTTCCCGAGCCTTTGAAAGACCACATTCAAAAATATTGCTTGAAGATTTTCATGATGGCAATGAATTTAATATTTATTGAAAAAATGTTATTAATATATTAAAGTAGAATGTTTCCTCTTTGTCAAAGAGTTTTTGTTCGTGGCTTGGCGGTGGCCAGTCTAGCCCAGATTTCTTCCAGTGTTAACCTTGGAAGAACTGCAATATAACAAAAGGGGTCGTTATAGTGACAAGACTTACGACAAGATTTGCCACATTTCATTCCTTGCACGGCGCACACCATGATTGCAAGGATAAAAAGAACTTTACCAATGTTGAACATCTTGGGATCAGCAACTTCGAAACCGAGTCATGACTTTTAAACCGGTCATAATTCAATTAAAAATTTGAATTTATACTAATTAAATTACAATATCAAAATCAACTGACCAAATTGACACGTTAAAATTGAAAAGAAACAGCTTTCATCTGTGTCAATTTTCATCGGAAAAAAACGTTTTTTTTGTATGTGCAGTGAAAGACCTGATCCAGTGGCAAAAAAGCGTACCATTTCGCATCCGAGAAGCATCAAGAATGTGGCGAAATGCTTCCCTTTCCAAGTGAAAGAACTTCGTTTTGAAGGGCGCGCGCGCCTTTCACGACTTCGCGTGCGAATTTGCATATTCCCACGGAATGACCGACAAATTGGTATAAAAGGAAGAGAAATCACGAATTATGATTGTATTATTTTTGTGTTTTGTCTTTTCCCGGTTGTGTTGTATGCAATAAACCGTTGTATTTTCTACTGTAGTCTATTGTTGTTGTATGGTGGTCCCATCGTCTGGAGTCAATACCGTGAGTTTACAGTTCTATTGCCAGAGTCCTCTAGTCTGTGTCTCCGGTTTATCAGAGGGTAGTGAATACTAGTAGTAGCGGGCAAGTTAAGGGCCATCTTACACGACTCATAGCTAACAAATTGTAAGTCGTGATACGCCCTTTCCCTCACAAAAAGAGCGGGCGCGCTTTTGAAATCGGGGTTTTGTCACATGGAGAGGGAAGAATTTTGCCACATTTTTGATACTTCCCGGATGCAAAATGATACTTTTTTTGCCACTGGATCAGGTCCCCCACTGTATATAACTGATATATTTATTTGCTCTTTACCATAGATATATTAGATGATATCACATTTCAATTAAAGCTTTGTACATTGAAATACCCATGACGATGTTCTCTAATCTTCCAATTTTTTCTTTCCCTTCTCCACACTCTCACTTTGATATCCCTCTTTCGTGTAATACGCTGGCTCGGCCGTTGCGAACTTGTAGAAGGCCCCATTGGCAAAGAAAAGGAGTCCAGCGACGATCAGAAAGATTGTCCGCCACTGCTCTTTGGCGGTTTCGTCATCCACAAAGACCGCGACCATAGCCGGCCCCAGGAAAAGCACAATGCATTTGAGGAATTGGCAGTTCGCCACAACGAAATGACTATACTGTCGGGTGTAAAGAACCCCCAATTTGTAGAATCCACCACATGCGGCGCCTGTGACAGTGTTCAAAAGTCCGATGCAGAGGACCGCCAGGAATGGAGTGTCATCAGGGACAAAGCCGATTGCAATGTAGAATATGCCGGCGCCAGCAACGGTAATCGTGTTGAAGAACATTAGTTTGGCGGTGTCGGACATGAACCTAAAAATAATGAGCGATTATGTATAGGTATCTTCTACAGTGTTGGATAGGAAATACCCCTTTGATCAAGAAAGTCTGTAAATAATTTATTTTAATGAAATTTGGGGTTGGTCTAGAGTCATCGACCGTGTAATCGACCGTGCTTATTTAAAAAAAAACCCTTTTTTTTATTAAATACCTTTACTAAACGCATAGCATATGTGTTAAAAAGTTGTAAACTTGGCTCAAGTCTCTTTAAGATTCAATTGTTGTACAGTGACGGGCCTGATCCAGTATCAAAAAATGTACCATTTTACATTCATGGAGTATCAAAAAATGTGGCAAAATGCCTCCCTCTAAAACTAATAGGGCAGGCTCTTCAAAACGGAGTTTTTTCACTTGAAGAAGGAGGTGTTTTGCTACACTTTTTGATACTTCCCGGATGCAAAATGGCACATTTTTTGACACTGAACCCAGGTCCTTCACTGTACAACACTTGAATTTCAAAGAGGACCCACTTCAAATGCGTTGAAAAATGAGTTCAAAAGGTCGTCTTTGACAGACTAAAGAAGTTGAAGCAGGCGGGATACTACTGTAATTTTACTACTCAATCATGCACTCATACAGTGACGGACTTGATCCAGTGTCTAGAAATGTACCATTTTGCATCCGGGAAGTATAAAAAAATGTGGCAAAATGCCTCGCTCTCCAACTAAAAAGCTTTGTTTTGAAGGCTTTCCCTCACAAAAAAAGCGAGCGCGCTTTTGAAATCTGAGTTTTTTCACTTGGAGAGGGAGGTATTTTACCACATTTTTTGAAGCTTCCTGGATGCAAAACGATACCTTTTCTGCCTTTGGATCACTGCCGCCACTGTACCTCAACAACCTCTCCATTAGCAGAAATCATAAACAAACCCTCAAAGCCTACGTTATTTTATCGCTGAGTAGGCCACAAATCAGTCGGAATGGGACTTGCGTCACCCTGGAAATCGCCGACAAATGTCCAGTAGCCTCCACTGAGTAATGAAGAACATTTTTCATATAATACGGAGCATAAACGGCGAAGAAATTGGTTGAAAAAATCTCGGTGAACGCGTTCAGCCACACACACCACACCACAAGGTCCGTCAAGATGGCCTTGTAGGGCATATTGGTCTCGCCGTTGATTTGGGCGGCACTCTTGTTTCGATGAATCTTCTCCAGCTCAACACCGCTCACTCTGCTCGACATTTGCGGCGCATCCGAGTAGTACAAAAACCAGAGGGCGAAGATGAGCAGCGAGACGAAACAATGGCCATAGAAAATCATTGGCCAGCCGAACGAGGAGTTGCAAATCATCCCACTCACCGAGTTGGTGATTCCAGTCGATAGTGGAGAGTATGAGGTGAGGACGCCGAGGAAGAAGCCGTTTTGTTTGAGAGAAGCCCATTTGGAGCAGACCATTCCAACGGCCGCAAAGTCAGCGGCATATGAGACTCCCTGAAAGGTAAAAAGGTAGGTGAATGAAGGTTGAGAAACATAGATATTAACATCGAGAGGGTTGTAATTGTGTAACAATCATATAGTTTGACTTTGTGAGAATGCAGGCGCTTTTATGGCGTCTGCCTTGCAGGAAATGCCGCGGATTTTAAGGTCGATTTTTATCGACGATTTTCAGATTTGACGCCCTATACAGTGGTGGACCTGATCCAGTGGCAAAAAAAACGTACCATTTTGCATCCAGGAAGCTTCAAAAAATGTGGTAAAACACCTCCCTCTCCAAGTGAAAAAAACTCAGATTTCAAAAGCGCGCCCGCTCTTTTTGTGAGAAAAAAGCGCGCCCTTCAAAATGAAGTTTTTCACTTGGAGAGGGAAGCATTTTGCCACATTTTTGATATTTCCCGGATACAAAATGGTACGTTTTTTGCCACTGGATCAGCTCCCCCACTGTACTTTCCGTCGCAAGGAAAATGCACGGTACAGACTCTAATTCGTAGCCTGCATCAAAAATATGCGAAAAACAGCTGAATGCATAAGCGGCAAACAGGGGAGAAAAGGCAAAAATAGTCTGTCGGGAAAATGGTGAGCATTCTGCGGCATTGAAAATTGCATTGCCGCAATTGCCACCGTGAAAATAAATTATGTCGCGGCAAAATCAAATTTTTTTTTCATTTCAGCAACGGGATTGGCACAGCGACGAAAAATAGTGTGCTCATTATTTTCCCGACAGACTGATAGTAAATAGGCCATGCAAAATTTTGCTACAAAGACAGCCTAAAATCTACCCCTCTTCTTGAACATTTATCCCAGTACTTTTACTCACCTGTAGGAACCTCATAGCCAACAACAAATAAATATTGATCTGCGCCGCTGATGGCATTAATCCCGTCGAAATGGCGGACAAAATTCCAGCAAAAAGGAATGGGTATTTGGCTCCATACCGACTGTATGCCTCGGTAAAAGGGATCGTCGCAAGAGCCGTGCCGACTCCGACAGCTCCATTAATCAGCGACAGCTCTTTCGGTGTGTAGTCGATTGTAGGATGAGGACTGGGTATTGACTGAAAATGAGGTCTTGAAAAGTCGTTTTCTACACTTACAGTTTCATTGATATTTGAATCGGATGCCATACAAACTTGGGCAATATTAAAGGCCAACATGTTGGATGAGATCGAGGTTAATGCCAGACAACCGATGATTAAGATAAGGTATCGGAAACGATGAGAACAACAGGCGTCCGCCATTTTTGATATGCTTTGGTTTCGCGAGTGATATGTTAGAATGGAGTAGGCTTAGTGACCTGAAAATTAAGTCATCATAGAGAAACAGTACTCGATTTTGAAGTGGCTTTCGAAACATGTCCCGCAACAAATTATTAACATTACATAAAAGTTTATTGTTGAAATTTCGATTGTTGTAAGAGACAAATAAGTATGGACAAAGTCATAAAAAGTGATTGAAGGCTAGGAGAAGGCTTAGTTAGGTGAAATTAAGATTGATAACGTCCTAGGATAGCTGTTCACCTATTTTGAGGTATTTGACATGTACTCACATCAATAATATCAAGGTAAAAGTTACGGAAATTCGTTTTCTGCCGCAAATTTTGGTCTTTTATACGTTACAATAACTCAGGGTGAAGAAAACTAACGTTAGTATAATATAAAAAGTAGACATAATACAAGCCTCCGCCAAGCCTTCGCCGAGCGTCCGCCGACCACCCAGCTGCTTTGTCAGACCTTGTAGCCCTACAACCCTATTTCGGGCATTTGCTTGCCCTAGTGATCGATTTTTTTGATGATCCGAACTGTTGTCAATCCGAAAGGACGGGAAGACAAAAGCAGCATTTTTCGAAGAAAACGGAAGCCTTCTAAATTCAACGCCAAGATTTCCTTCAACTCTTTGAGGCATGAACCGGATATCAATTGCAAATGTTGAAAACTTTAGCACCGAACTTTAACGCTTAGCCTCCGGTAATAAACGATGTTTGAAGAAGGATCTGTGCAAATTATCAGCAGAAAAATTGATGCTTTATCGAAGAATTGTTTGAAGAAAAATGCCAATTTGTATGCCAGCCCTTGCCAACCTGCATAAAATAAAAAGTATGGCCTATAATCAAAAAATGGCTTCATATAGCAAATGCGCAGTAAACATTCCGAAAACTCAATTTTTTCGGTCATTACTCGTAACTGATACCATATGTAATACAAAAAATTTTCTTGCTATTTAAGCAGATTTATGATCAGCGGTGTTTGAAGGGATCAAAATCAAAGCCGTCCAAGTGTTCGCTTGCATTTCAACGTCCCAGAAACGCTTAATATTTGCGTTCAAACATTTTTCTTCAAATCTATTTGAACCCAACGGCTAGACAAACAAAAAAATGAACGGTGATGTAATAATATACAGTAGGGAACATCAAAACGCATCTTTTCAGTTTCAAAAACCCTGGTAAAGTTTATGGCCCTATTCTGAGGCTACAGTGAAAAATGAGCGAAACGCAACGCGTATTTATATCGAAAAACGCGATAGTTTGATAATCTCTCTCGCTGGTCAGGTCAAATTTTGCGAGGGAAACGGTATCCTTTCGTAAACGTTTATTTAGAGTGCGTATCGTTTCGGGTTGATAAAAAAAAATTTGTTTGTTGAAAGATCAACGAAATGGAAATTTATGGCTTCGGGGGTTTGATCGCAGCATTGCGGGGGGTACTGTTTGGGTCTGCTCGGCCAAATTTTGTGTCATTGTAAGAGATTGATCAATGCTTCGTTATCAATACTGTAGCGTTAACTCTGAATTCTATCAGGGTTGAGTCAGAAGACGGCACGTTTGGGAAGAGGGCAACCGGAGGGAAGAGTGAACTTTGAGAAAAAATATGGTTAGGGGGGACCAAGGCAGACTTTTCAAGAACGATTTTCTTTTTGGTTTTCAAAGAGAATGGTATGGTAAAGAAAAGAAGCGCAAAGTGTACTCTCTCGCCCCAAAAACTTCCATATTTCTTCACGAAAATATCTTTGGCGAATTTTCAACTCACTTTTTTTGACTTACAAAGGAAGTACCCCAAGTGCGACGCTCAAATTTTCTTTAAAATTTGCACACCCGTCGGTCATGAACTTGGTATCAATTCCTGAAAGTTTTAGCTCGCGCTTTGCAAGCTCCACCGAGATACTGAACGATCTTTGCCGCCAAGAAAGTACTCTAAACTTGGTGAGCGGCCGGAGAAAAAAAAAACACTTTTTGGCTATAAATTTGACAGTTTCTTGCGGAAAAAATTATTTTTTTGTGAAGCCATTACCCTTTACGGTAGAAATAGGGGTGCAACTTTTCGTGCCGAAATTCGGCAAAAAGTGTCAAATTTTCACCGACCTTCGACCTAAAAATCTCGGTTATTTCTGCAAAGCGCGAGCTAGGATTCTCGCATTAAAAAAAATTATTCAAAATTTGTGCCGAGTTTCATCAAAATCTGAGCGTCGCACTTGGGGTACTTCCTCTGTAAACTCCAAAATACCTCATCCTTTATACATGCACTTACCTCGCCACACATACACATATACCTTATGCTCTATTTAAGTCCGTTAAACATCAAATTCAAAGGCCTATTGTAAACGCAGGCCTACCCCGCAAACATGCGCGTTTTACAATACTATAACAAAGCACCTTTAAAAACCTACTCGTCTATATATGTGTGCCTCTAAATTTTGATTGATTATGACTCATTTTTGGAGGGCAGATCTATTGCTTTTTTTACTCAAAAAGAGTAACAGCGCAATGACGTCATCCGATCAAAGCGAATTTCGCAGCCACTACTGTTGGAATAAAGGTCATATGTGAAGGGGAAAAGCATGACCAAAAAGTCGTTTTACAGAGAGAAAGTAAGGAGATTATATAACAATATGACGGGCTTCGAAATGTTGAAATATTTTTTTGAAAGAAATGGGGTACAAAAGTCGCACACTGGTTTTGATGGGTACAAAAATAATCCAATGTGAGTTGCGGAAGTTGCCCTTTCAAAAAGTTTTTTTGGAAAAAAAATTATGACAAATCAAGATCAAACATCCGAAAAAAACCGAAGCTGCGTCATTCGTTTGTTCTTTCGGTTTATAAACAACTTGTTTTTCGCTGGATATCCAATCCGCCGCGCAAATGAAATGCACGACGGAACAGTGATCTGTGCTGCGCGGCCGAGGGATCAAAGCCTTGCGGTCGAAAATGAGGTAAAAAACTAGAAGGTAGTTAGTGAAAGTTCTGAAGTTTTATCGACCTGCCGTTACTGAGTTAAAAGCTATCGCTCCAACTTTGAGCACTACTTTTGGGTCAACCGGAGTTTTTGGTCGATTTTTCTCATACTCTCTCGCCAATGTGAGATCTTTTAGTGCCTGTGACCAGTAGTGGACAAAAAAGCGTCCATTACCTTACATGGGAAGTAAGTGCGACGCTCATATTTTCTTTAAATTTTGCACACGCGTCAGGAATGGGCCACATATCAAAGTTTTTGCGCGCGCTTTCCAAGATATTGGACAATATTTGCTGCCGAGAGAGTAGGCAAAACGCGGAGAGAAAAAGACATTCTTTGACCATTAATTTTCGTGCCAAAATTCAAAAAAAAAAGAATCGCATTTTTACCGGCTTTCAATATAAAAATCCCGCTTGTTTCTGCAAAACGCGAGCTAAGATTCTCTAATGTGTCTTTGAAAAAAGCAATCTACAGTGGGGGAGCTCCAGTGGCAAAAAACGTACCATTTTGCATCCGGGAAGTGTCAAAAATGTGGCAAAATGCTTCCCTCTCCAAGTGAAAAACTCCTATTTTCAGAAGCGTGAGGAAAAAGGCGAGGCCATCAAAACGAAGTTTTTTCGCTTGGAGAGGGAAGCATTTCGCTGCATTTTTGATACTTCCCGGATACAAAATGGCACTTTTTTGCCACTGGATCAGGTCCCCCATTGTAATTTTGCGCCAAGCTTTATCAAAATCTGAGCGTCGCACTTGTGCTACTTCCCCTGCTAGCCGAACAGGTTTGTAATCATCAGCAAAAAACTCAGCTTTATAGACATTAGATAGGCTATTTCATAGTAACACAAAGCGTCAAAACATGAATAAACAAGAGGCGCGTAAGAGGAGACGTCTGTGTTAAATACTGTATCCGCCAGCCTACAAATCAAACCTTGCTTTTTTTCGCTATTGATCAAGTTTGCTAACAAGAACAGAACAGACCACTTTTATTTATCAAACTTCTATTATGGTTAAAATCTATCACATAATGAAAGAAGAATATTTTTAAATTCTAAAGTTACAAAATTTCGATCAGATACTCTTGGAAGATTGGTAAAAGTAATACGGCTTCTAAGCAACCCTCGAAAATGAAAACTAAAGGAGAATTGACGTACTTCGGATGTAATGAAGCCTTTAAAGTTTACCATAGCGGGATCATTTGTCAAAATCATCACTCCACATTGTTGAAAATAAGAGAAACAGTTCTGTGGTCAAGTGAAAAAATCTTTTTTTTGGGTTCAGGGGTTTCTTTCACGTGCCTAATGTTCTCTCGTTCGCTCATAATTCTATTTTATTTGTTTAAAAGAATACCAGACGTTTTACTAGGGAGTGCGCCAAGCGTCAGACTTTTCGGGTCGACGACACTTCGGGTCAACACAAAATCGATCGACACAGGGTGTAGGACAGGTGGATACCAAAAAAAGGTTGTACGAAGTGTCTTCGAGGCCTTTCATAGCCGTTGAATGGTCGGCGAACCATTCAGGTTCGGCGAAGGCTCGGCGGAGACTTCGAGGAGACTTACAATATGTCCACTTTTCTATTGCTAACCTTAGTTTTTTTGAAATTGAGATATTGTAACGTAGGCCTGGCAAAGCCGTGGGATGGTCCGCGGACGCTCGGCGGAGACTTGGCGAGGACTTTCTAATTTTAGTTATTACTAACGTTAGTTTTCTTTACCCTGAGTTATTGTAACATAGAAAGGACCACAATCTGCTCAAAAAACGAAGATCCTAAGTTCTACTTGGATATTGCTGCAGTACTGCATTTAAAATGCCTCAAAGCAGGCGATAAAATGTCCTAGAGTTTGATCAATCTTTTTGTTTCTATGTATTAACAAAGCCTTCTTCTGGCCTCCCTCATGCATACAACGACAAGCCAAGGCAACCCAAAGTAATGTATCTTTGGCTGTTCGATAAACTTTATTTTTGCTAACCCCTTTTTCTATTTCTTACTGTAGATTACCACCAATGATCACCTGAACTATTACTACATTTTCGTTCAAGTTCGACAAACCCAGCTGTTCCGCGACCGTTCTTTTCCTGGATATGACGCGAAGAGAACGTGAGACGAGTCAAAAGTCTTGATTTGGCGAACAATTGAGACTTTTAAAGGAAACTCTATCGGGAGAACAGCTCGATTCAAAAATCGGAAATAAGTAAACAAAATTTGCGAGCTGGCCTTAGAAATGAGCGGTTTTTAAACGATTAAAATCAGACAGAGATATGGCTCGTTGACGTATGCTACATTAGAATAGAAATGAGTTATATTGGTTTAAAGATGGCGGAGATGTAGGTGACGTAAATACGTTTTTAAGTCATTTACTGATGACGTGAAAGATGAAAAGAATTTTCGCAGACGGTTAAGCGAAAAAGGCGCTATGACTTTATATTTTACAATAACTCAGGGTAAAGAAAACCAACGTGTGCAATAACTAAGGTTAGAATAAGCGGGCATATGAAAAGTCTTTGCCAAGTCTCCGCCGAGAGTCCGCCGACCATCCTATGCCGTTGCCAGGCCTCATAAACAATTCTTAAAATTTTTTGGATGATAGTATTTTCATAAAGTCATCATTTTTTCATAAAGTTTGTTATCCCTATCAAATCATCTGGGTGCTCCCAGAAATCAAATAACCCAAACTAGGTCGCTCTGGGGTCGAGCCAGACCGAAGCAAATTTGATACTGGCCGGTCTGGGCTAATTCCTGGGCTAAGCTACGCTTGTTGGCCCGGTCCAACCCGGCAGTCATGTCTCCTCTAATCCCAGCCTCAAAGAACTCGACTAATCGAGTGGAAAATCGAAAAACAACAGCGGCAAGAACATAACACACACTGGTCGTAAACTATATGAACTCAAAGGTTATGCAAGACCGCCAAAAACACAATAGTTATTTTCTCGCTTTTATTATTGCGGGCAGCTCGTTACAAGGCGCGACAACGGGTCGGATGTCGTTGACACGAGCCTACAGGTACGAGAGGTGATTATGGGGCAAATAAAGTCTTGAACACAGAGAGAACTGTTGCGTTGAACTCGTTTTTTGTGGGTACCGTAAATCATCAAGAATTGGAAGATGTTTGTTATAAATAATGGTTTGAGAAGAGACAAATTTCAAGCTGTCCATGAAAATCAGAAAATTTTAGAGGATTGCGGCGATGGATACTGTAGAAAGGATGAGGAGAAATGAAGGTGAATTTTAGAGCCATTATGTAAATAAAAAACTAATCAAAAAAAAGCGGGTATTAAATGTTGAAAAGGAAAGCGTTCAAAGCTTGCTACTGTGATTTCCTTGAAATTCCACACACGCGTTGTGCATTAATCAATTTTACTAGAAATCCACAAAAAAATTTAGCTTGCGCTTTACAGGACACGGCAATTCAAAAAAAAAAGAAAAGAAAAATGTCTCCTGCCCTCTTTTTAAATAATTTTGCCCGGAGTGTCCAAGATGACAAAAAAAAGTATGTAAAATAATCACAAGAAAAATATTTTTTGGTAGAAAAACTATAGGAAAAATTCTGTTGTGAAATTCCGTTTGAAAATATATGGATACTGGGTGGGCGGGGTACCAAAAAGAGGCGGGAGACTTCTTGGGTTAATGTATAAGGGCACCTGGGAAACTTATTTACCTATACTGCGGGACTAAAGTTTGGAACAGGCTATATTTTCTTTGCGGCTTGAGATCGGAGTTTCATTTCTTTTCTATAAGAATCGGAATATATTAAAACCCCATAATGGATGCATAGCCGTAGTAATCAGAAAGCTCATATGAGCAAAAAACAAAATTTTTAAAAATAGGTGGGACAAAAGTTTGGAACAGGGTTAGGAATGCGATCATAAATTTCGCAGTATAGTCAAAAACTTCTAGGCTTTGGTATTTTTAGATGCTGCGAGGAGTCAGGATCTCAACAACATACTGATTTTCATCGATGAACTCAAAATGAAAAAAATTCTTATTGAGCCAACAATGACGGTCAAACTTGCGAAAAAAAATTATTTTTTGGGTTGGGTTCTCTATGTTATCGGTGTGTAAGCATTCTAAAATATTTGATATGGTCGTATAACCGTACAAAGACACTCAGATATTCGCATAGGAACCTTATCCGCACAGTATAATTTATGAAAATTTTGGAATGTGCTTCGAATCTTGGTCTAATGAATTTTAGATTTTTTGTATGACGACATGAAGACTAATTGGCCCTTTTATGATCACTGTGAGATAAAAAAGTATCTTCACAAAGCGAAACCTGACCGCAATTTGCAATATCCCACGCCAGATGTTTCAAACATTTAAAAAAAATTTCGGTCACCAAAATCAATGTTTATATCGACCTGGATTCCTAGTATGATACATTGTAGAGTTGGCTAACAAAACTATATCAGTGTGGTAAGGATAAAGGCATTTAGTTTGGCGCCATATGGCGACCTAAAATTAAGGTAAAAAATATGGGTCATCTTAACATCTCATATATCCGGGTTTTTCAAAGTTGTGGCGTTTCGTGTTGCAAATAGCGGTTGGTTTTTGTTTCTTGAAGATACCTTTTCATCCCACAAAACCTAAGAAAAGGCCAATTAGCCATCAAGCCGCCTTATAAAAAATATAAAAATCATTGAACCAAGATTTGAGGCACAACTCAAAATTTTCATAATTTATACTATGCGTATACGGTGCCAATGGGAGGATGTGACTATCTGTATGAGATTATGCGACCATAATTGATATTTTAGAATGCTAATACATCGATAACATTGGTAACCCAACCCAAAAAATAATTTTTTTCGCAAGTTTGACCGTCATTGTTGGCTCAATAAGAATTTTTTTCGTTTTGAGTTCATCGATGAAAATCAGTATGTCGTTGAGATCCTGACTCCTCGCAGCATCTAAAAATACCAAAGCCTAGAAGTTTTTGACTATACTGCGAAATTTATGATCGCATTCCTAACCCTGTTCCAAACTTTTGTCCCACCTATTTTTAAAAATTTTGTTTTTTGCTCATATGAGCTTTCTGATTACTACGGCTATGCATCCATTATGGGGTTTTAATATATTCCGATTCTTATAGAAAAGAAATGAAACTCCGATCTCAAGCCGCAAAGAAAATATAGCCTGTTCCAAACTTTAGTCCCGCAGTATATGTATTGTTGTCGACGAGGGACCACGCAAAATTTCGAGAACCACCGAGACATTTTCTGGTCATAACTCTGCTTTTTCCGCATGAAAATTTTTGATACCTCCTATAGGAGCCCTAGACTTTCCAGTAGGAATCAACGTATTCACTTTTCTCATTACAAAATTCACAAGGGAAGTACCCCAAGTGCGACACTCAGATTTCCTTTAAATTTTGCACACACCTCGGTCATGGACAAAGTATCAATTCCTGAAAGTTTTAGCTCGCGCTTTGCAGGCGCCACCAAGACATTGAACGATTTTTGCCGCCGAGAGAGCACACTAAACGTGGAGAGCGGCCAGAGGGAAAATCACTTTTTGGCCATAACTTTGCTAGTTTCGCGCGGAAAAAATTTATTTTTTGTGGAAACATTACCCTCTATGGAAGAAATAGGCACGAAACTTTTCGTGCCGAAGTTCGGCAAAAATTGCCAAATTTTCGCCAACTTTCGATCCAAAAATCTCGGTTGTTTCTGCAAAGCGCGAGCTAGGATTCTCGCGTATGTCTTAGAAAAAAATATTCTAAATTTGTGCCAAGTTTCATTAAAATCTGAGCGTCGCACTTGGGTGCTTCCCCTGTCAGTTAAACCGGTCGATTTTTGCTTACTGTCGACTAAAAATTACCGGTTCTCCTTGAAAGCGCTAGCTATTTCAAAAATTTTAAATCTCATCCGCAGTAAGTGTATTTTGAAAACTACTGAAAATGAAGGGAACAGAAGATAATTTTTGGCCCATTCCTCTTCAATTATCAATGAAAAAAGGCATTCTTTTGCCAGAGAAATGACTTGAGAGGTGCCAACTTTCAATCTTGAAATCTTGGCGGCTTCGTTGTAAGCAAAATTAAATTTAACGCTACGAAAGAAAAATAATTTTACTGGTCAACAGCAGCTCAAAAGAATATATGTATATACAACAATTTGAAGCGCAATACATTTGAAAATCCATGGTAAAAAAGTGTTCACCGTAGTGAAGCCATGATCTAATCCAAAAGGCTCAAACAGTCGGAGTTTTTTCCGCCCAAACAGATTTGAAAAGCCCCTCAATTATATGCCTATATTGCTCATCACAAAGCCCTCGATTTTCAAAGCTTACAAGTATTTTTGCACACCAAAAAGATCATTAAAAATCATGATTTTTTTTGAAATTCCCATTCAAAAAGTTGATGCAAAATTTCAATAAACAAAAAATATAAAAAAATTACAGTAACCCTCATTTATTCCACTCTCTAATAATACGTGAATAAACGCGTCTCTGATAAGACAAATGCATGTAAAAGTTGAGATAAAAATGGATGATATATACCTCGATGATATAATGCAGATCAATCACTCGATGGAGATCCGCTTTCGCCGAGAGAAGCGCTCGAATAAGTCGGCGGCTTGCAGGGTTGGGGTCGTCATGGTGTTTTGCTCCACTGAAAAAATATTTATAAATAAAAAAATACAATAAAAAAAATTTAAAAAAAAAAGTCGTATAAGGGACCCCAAGTGCGACGCTCAGATTTTCTTTAAATTTTGCACATATGTCGGGCATAGACTAGATATCAATTCCTGAAAGTTTTAGCTCGCGTTTCTCAGGCTCCACCGAGATATTGAACGATTTTTCTCGCCAAGAGAGTACGCTAAACGCGGAGAGCGGTCAGAGAAAACACACTTTTTGACTACATCTTTGCTAGTTTCGCTCGGAAAAAATTAGTTTTTTGTGGAAATAATTACCGTCTATGATAGAAACAGGCATGAAACTTTTGGTAAAAAAAATCGGTAAAAAGTCTCAAATTTTTGCCGACTTTCGATCCAAAAAACTCGGTTGTTTCTGCAAAACGCGAGCTAGAATTCTCGCATATATATAATACTTTTAAAAAATATAGGTAGCAGAATGAAAAGACCTCGGTCATGGGCAATCCACCAGACATCATCCTGAAATATTCTAATACTGGGAATGGGATTTTTTGATGACCGTCGAGAGTACGCTAAACGCGGAGAGCGGTCAGAGAAAAAACTCTTTTTGTCTATATTTTTGCCAGTTTCGCTCTGAAAAAAAAAATGATTTTTTGTGGAAACATTACACTCTATGGTAGAAATAGGCATGAAACTTTTCGTACCAAAATTCGGTAAAAAGTATCACATCTTTTCCAATTTTCGATCCAAAAATCTCGGTTGTTTCTGCAAAGCGCGACCTAGAATCCTCGCATATATTTTAGAAAAAATGATTCTAAATTTGTGCCAAGTTTCATCAAAATCTGAGCGTCGCATTTGGGGTATTTCCTCTGTCAGTAAAATCTTAGTCATCGCTTTCCACACTCCCCTATGAACTCACCGTATTTCACAACCTTCTCTCCATTCACCACAGTCACTCGTTCAGCTCGTATTTGCCGCTGCAATTTGTCCAGCCTCTCTTGATCGCTTCCGTAAATCCTCACATTACTCGGCTTTTCGCCATATTTGTTTATAAAATCGATCGAATCTTGAGTGGACTCCACCAACAGAATAGGCAATATGGGGCCGAGAATCTCTTCCTTCAGCAAAACATCGTCCTCGTCGACCTTGTAGACGTACGGAGCGATATAATATTCGGTCCGGCTGTCAAAGCCGACTGGCGGATTCCAAAGCAAATCGCCCTCAGTTTTTGTGAGGACGTTCTGGATCTTACTGAAAATGAGAATTAATATTCGCATAATATGTAGTATCAGTCTGTCGGGAAAATAATGAGCTTCCTCTCGCAGCAAAAATCGCATCGAAAAAATGAATTTTATTGCGACAAAATCAAATTGCTTTTCACTTCAGCGACGCGATTGGCCCAACGGCATTGTGCTCATTATTTTCCCGACGGACTGATGGCACTTTCATAAAGTGCATGGACATTTTTTCGTTTTCATTCAGTGCATTTTTTGCGCTGTAGATACTACGCTCGTCAATCCAAAATAGAAGAAAAAATTTCCCGCCCCTTTTTGGCAATTCGTTCAAAACGAAATGTCACTATCCGATAAAAAGCATTTTCTTACCTTTTTTCTTCCTTTTCGAGAAAACGCAATTATTTCGAGCGAGAAAAAGTGCCGATAATTTCGCGACATTTCGTCTCTCTTTTAAGTCAATGAAAACGATACGAAGTTTCGAAACGGTTCAGGAAATGGCTGGATTGACGTGCTACGCCCCTTCAAAAGTGCGTAGACTTTTTGCACAGTGCGGAAAACTTGCGACATAAAGTCTACGCACTTTTGAAGCGGCGTGGAATTCATTATTTTCGCATGTGCAAACCTCAAAAAAGTCTTTTTCACTGTGCAAATTCCTGGAGCCGACGCAGCCATGTAGTTGAAACTTGCTTATTCAAGTAAATTTTAAAGCAGCGATACTTGGCTGCACAGTGCAAAAAGGAAAAAAATCAAAATGCACGGTGCAAGATGGGGGCTTTTTGTGCACAATGCGGAGCGCCCCAAATGCCCATGCACTTTATGAAAATACTAATAAAAGTCTGTCGGGAAAATAATGAGGTCCTCTGACGCATCGAAAATCGTATCGCTGCCGAGAAAATGAATTGTGTTGCGGCAAAACCGCATTGTTTTTTCACTTCAGCGACGCAATTGACGCAGCGACATTGTGCTCATTATTTTCCCGACAGACCAGTAGTATAATAAAATGTAGCACTAGCCCACTTACTCGAACATTTGATGATTCAAAACCCTCTTGAAGTTCGCTGATTCCTCCGGGTTTTCTCCGAAAACTGCTACAGCTTCGTGGCTCAGTGCAGCCACCAGGGAATGCACATCCTCTTCGCTGTAGCATATTGCATAGTCAATGGCATGGAGCAGCTGAAAATACGTTCGATATTGACGCTTTAGGGACCTCTTTAAACCCACCTCTCCATTGGCATTCCACTTGTTTTGAACAATATCTTTAGCGACGGCGTTGAGATCGGCGGATGGTAAAACTAGGACCGCGCTAGAATAAAAAAATATGAAGAATCACGTATTTTACCCAAAACATTCGATTCTATATGATGAAACTTTGTACAACCAAGCCTCTCAATGTATCAGTTTGTCGGGAAAATAATGAGAGCTGCGCCGATCGCGTCGCGGAAGTGAAAAGCAATTTGGTTTCGCCGCGATTTTCCATTTTCTCGGCGGCGAAGCAGTTTTCGATGTGACACAGTGCTCATTATTTTCCTGACAGACTGTAAAAACGAGTATATTTTGTCGTCTTGCAGCTCGTTATATAGGAATTTGGCTATGCTTAGCGTACAGAGTGGGACGCCCGAAACTCCCAACTTCTTTTACAATTGTTAGGTACTTCTCCGCCAATGTTGCACAGATTTCTGTAAAGTTTTTTTTCGAGTTATAGCTGAGACACCCCATTTCTTGCCCACCAAATATCACCGGTCGTTCACGGAGGCACCCGTACTGACCTTTAGCATTTTCATTCAAAATTTTGAAGCCCGAAATCAATGAAACTTTGAAATTTCTTGTGAAGCGTGCCATCCTGGACCTAGACGGGCCATATTTAGTGCACAAGAAATGGGGTGTCTCGGCCTCAATTTAATATAAATTTTATATAAATTGGTGCATTAGTGGCGGAGAAATGCCTGAAAAAAGGTTGGGAGTTTCAAGTCACCCACCCTGTATGAAAGGAGCATCCAAAACCTCACCTTTTCCCCAACAATTCCACAGTAACTGGCGTCAAACGTTGCGCCGCCGCGCTCAGCACAAACTTGGCCACGCGATGTGGCCCAACAAACAAAATGTGGTCCCAAGCCTCGTTCAGCAGCTCTTTCGCGGTCCATTGATCGCCCGGGATCACCGCTAACTGATCCTAAATCGACGTTCATAGCCTGGTTTTTTATTACTCACTTCTTCAAAGGCTTCTGCGAAGGTTTCACTCAACGCTGCAGCGGTTTTTGGCGCCAACTCGGATGGCTTTATTACAACGACATTGCCGGCGGCCAACGCCGCCATTGCGGGGATTATACACGCAGTAATTGGATAGGTAAAAGTTCCCAAAATAAGGACCGACCCAGCCGGTTCAAAGATGATTTCAGAGGAGTTTGAGGCCTAAAATACAAAAGTTCTTTTATAACCAGACCCTTTTAATCATCGGAAATGATGAAATAATAAGATTACGGTAATATCCCACCTGCTTAAGCTCATTTAGCCTGTCAAAGACGACCTTGAACTCATTTTCAACGCATTTGAAGTGGGTCTTTTCCAACACATCCCTCGAGCATTTGAGATCCTCGGCCAGCGCTTGGGAAAACTCTTTGATGTTGGTTTCAAAAAGACATCTCAATTTGTTCAACAGCGACAGTCGGTATTCAATTGGAAAGGTCTTTCCGGTCTTGAAGAGGTCCTTTTGGCATTCCACTAGCTAAATTGGAAGTTTTGTTAGCTTTTGTTTTTACGGGTTCTTAATTTGCAAGCTAGCAGCATGAGAAAAGCGCAATAAAAAATTGCGATACATCTGGAATAATCATTTCCAAGACACACGCTAAACACCAACCACTAAAATTGTTCATTATAGAGAAGTTTCGTATTGTGGAAGCCGCTGTAGCAGTTGAAAGGGATGTTGGAAATACAGCAGCAAAATGGTACGTTTTTCCAGCGGCAAAAAACGTGCCATTTTGCTTCCTGGAAGTATCAAAAAGTGTAGCAAAATACCTCGCTTTCCAAGAGAAAAACTTCAATTTCAAAAGCGCGCCCGTCTTTTTGTGAGGGAGCCCTCCAAAATGGAGAGTTTTTAGTTGGAGAGGGAGGCATTTTACCTCATTTTTCATACATCCCGAATGCAAAATGGTACGTTCTTTGCCACTGGATCTGGTCCAAATCAAATGGCTTTTCACGTTCGGCGCAACCAAACTTCTTTTTTACGTTCTAAAAAGCCAAATTGACCTCACATGAAAGAGCAATTTCTTATCAGCCTTTCCGTACTCATAAATTTTGATCATACCACAACATCAAATTATCACTTACCCGATGAGTTTCCTCTTGCCGGATCTCCGACTTGGTTGGCCTGTAATTCATGTTTCAAAAATTGAAAAAACCAAGTAACTAAGCAAAGAAACAATTAGATTTGATTGTCACAAATACAGCAGATAACGGTGGTAAGATAAGATCAAATTTTTAGTCATTTCCGCAAAAAGTATTTCGTCAAGATTTCACTTCGTTGCAGTTTAATAAGCACAAAATAAATTGAGAAAACAGCCTTCGTCGTATTTTAAATTACGAATATAGCATTTCAGCAATGTTGTTTTCAAAGCAGCGACAAATATTTTATGCCGGCAGGAAACCACTATGCGGGCAGCTAGGAAAAATACGGAGATTCTGCGAGCATGTTTGGAGATCAGCCAACATTTGAGTATAACATGAAATTCAAACGATGGATATGGCAGTTAGATGTTGCGAATCAAATTTCTTGGTGTTTAAATGGGTTGAATACAGAGATTGCCACGGTCAAAATTTCGGCTCCGGCTCCGGCTCTTAGCTCCCAGAGCCGGAGCCGAAGCCAAATTTGCAGCTCCGGCTCCGGCTCCCGGCTCCGTGCAAAATTTAAAAAACGTCTCCGGCTCCGAACCTCGGCTCCTATGCAAAATTTTTTTGAAACATTTTTTCAAAAGTAAAATTTCTTAGTGCCAGAGATCATACAGCCAACGTTTTTGCAGCCAAGTCACATCCTCCGCAGTGTTTTTTCAAGCAATTTGGTTTAACAAGATCACGAAATTTTTACTTTTCTGACCGCTGGGAAGCCTGGCTCCGACTTTGGGCTCGGGAGCCGGAGCCAACCCCAAAATTTCCGGCTCCGGCTCTGGCTCCCGGCTCGGAGCCGGAGCCGCTCAGAGCCGGAGCCAAGAACCGGCTCCGGAGCCGTGGCAATCTCTGGTTGAATAGTTACCGTAAAGTTAATCAAGCAATTTTTCATTGTTTGGAAGCAAACTGCCATAACTTTGAAAGCGGTTTATGAATTTAATAGATTCGTGTACTTATCAGTACCAGGGAGTTGCTAATGCAAAATTTCTATCATACTACATAGATGACAGGAGGTAAATCGTAATTCAAATTGGTAAATCTCGGCTGCCCGCGTAGTGGTTGCCCCCTCAAGTTTTCAAAGACGTATGACATCACTTTTAAACTACTAACAAGATTGCAACGGCCAAAATTGCGGCTCCGGCTCCGGAGCCGTGACAATCTCTGCTACTCACTGCTACAATATTTTCTTCCTTAACCGAAAAAATAAACCCCCACTTACTCGTGCTCCGGGTCGTCGCAACTGACAACATCATCTTCGACCAAACTCTGGAGCTGTCCCATTCTTTACAAGTCCAAGTTTCTTAAAGTGAAACAAACTTTAATCCAGCCACTTTACAGCCTAAGTCGAATACGACTAATCTTCGACTTCCGTTCGCTTCGGACGTCAATAATCTTGTTTATCAATGGAAATGATAAAAATAATAATTTGAGAGCGGAATTTTTTTATAATTTCTCTTTTTTTGCTCTGATCAAGAGGCGGCCTTGACGGAGAAGAAAAAGTTTTCTCTTGCCGTCTCTACGTATATTAGAGGAGCTGGCTGTACTGTATTTTATGGGGCTTTTTTATAGGCTTTGTCATTCCGTTTTTATTGTAAAAGTTGTTTATAGTGGACTTTATTGTGTTGGGAAACATGTTATTTATTTTATAGGGTGTTATGTGAGCTGAATGGTTTTCTGGTTTTGAGAGAAAAAAGATCAATTTTGTCTTGATGATTTACTGAGGAAATGTTTGCAATTCTACGGTCATTTCTTGATGAAATATGATGATTTTAAATTAACTGTTTTTTAAGGCACTTGCAATATTTATAGCCTGCGTTTTGCAAATATAACGGAGATCTTTAGGTTAAATTTGATGTCAAATTTGATATTTTTGTGGCGTCTCGACTTGTTTGGTACCAAAAAAAAGGTTGTAGGAAGTGCCTACGAGGCCTAGCAACGCCATTGGATAGTCAGCGGACGCTCGGCGGAGGCTTGGCGAAGACTTGCAGTATTTCCATTTTTTCTAATGTTAGCTATTATTACTTTCGTTAGTTTTCTTTACCCTGAGTTATTATAACAAATAAAAGACCAAAATTTCCCGGCAAAAAACAAAGATTCGTAACTTTTATCTTGGTATTATTGATGTGAGTACATGTAAGAAGACCCGATCAATCTTGTTATTTCTATAACGAAGCCTTCTCCTAGCCTTCTCCATGTAAAAAACGACGAACCGACGTGAGCTATAGTATCGTTGACCCGAATTGCCGTAGTGCCTTTTTTCTTTATTACAGGCCATTGGCCATGAAGATTTTCAAATTTCTGGCAAATCCCACGCTAAAAATCTCAAATGTGTTTATCACAAACGGTATGTTAAGAATATGGGCATGTGTCCTAGAAAAGAACGACCTTGATGTGTGTCAGGTTTTGTCAGAATCTGCAAAAGTTTTGCCCAATAAACAACCTCTAGTCATTTTTCAAAATTCTTAACCTTTCCATTCTCATTCCAATCAATAAAAGCAACATTTTTATTCATTTTGAAATTCATTCATAAAAAAACCACAAATTTTGATTATTCATCAGTATTACTTGTGTAAGAGACGTATCCGTACGTAGACAACAAAGTTTGTTCAAAAGCAGGGAACACGTGTGGGAATTGGACCAGTATGCCTAACACAGAATGGAGAGAACACAACAAACTTGAAAAAGGCTATAACAATTGTATTTAGACCAAAGCAGAAAACACTTGAGAATTAAGACAAACGCTGCGAAATTATGACAAAAAATCAAAAAATCCTAACGTAGTGTGAGTATGTAGTGATACTGCTCTCACAAAAAAAAACTCGACAATTGCAGACCAATTAAAATTGTATTAAACCACTTATTAGATAGCTTTTCAACAAGAAAATGGAAATAATTGTGAGAAAATTCCAAAAAATGGGAAAAAATCGGTGATCTCAGAAAAAAATATAGGCTAAAAGTATGTGTAAGTTGTAGAATTAGCAAAGAAATTTACTATAGTCGTTCAAATCGCATGATTTTTATCCCGAAAACATAAAAAATTGACTAATTTTTTTGATGCTTTAATCAATTTTCCTATGGACTAAAAAACATAAAAAAGACCTCAAAAAGTATCAAGACGCCACAAAATTTTTTTATCTAATTTCACGACAGAGATTCCAACGGCCCACTGGAGCTGTGATGAGTGCTACACGGCAGCCGGAACCATTTGCACATGATCCGCGGCACCGTAAAACTCTTGCCCAAAATCTCGCTGAAACGCGACGAAGAGGCGTGACTTTGCTCCGACTCCACACTGTCCGCAATGCTGCCAGCACTTGCGTGCATGTCCGCTTTGTGCTGTTGCTGAAGGCGTTGCGCGACCTTGAGTGCGCCGCCCACCAGATACCGGACGAAATGGTCGCCGATAACGGAGCCAATCGCAAACAACGTAGGGTCTTCCTCGGCTTCGTAGTCGGCTTGGAAGTTGTACTTGTCCTCCAGCATGCTGAGCTCGGTCCGCAGCCCCACACAGATGACGATGCATCGATAGTCGAGCATCTGATGACTGCTAGAGTTTCGCTGAATCTCCGCCGAAGCGTTGGGGAAGATCCGTTGAACCGTGGAGCAGGACATCTTCGTGTAGAGCGGATTCTCGGAGCGTCCGATCATGAGACTAAAGACCTCGGCGTATTCGGGATAGACGCTGGATGAAAGCCTTGCCAACATCGTGTTCTTGAGCTCCCGTTCGCTTCGTCGGAACACGTGGATCACGGGAATTCCCATCTTCAAACAGCTCATTATCGAATCAGCGGCGGAGATTCCATCACCGACCACCAGGACCGGCCGATTTGAGAGGTCCAGCTCGTTGTTAAAGGAATTTTCATCGATCTCGTGCAGAACTTGACGCATCTCCTTGGCTGTGTAGACCAGATTCATAGCATTGTTTTCACCGGGAACCTGGAATTGGAAAAATTAGAGGGGTTCAAGGGAAAAGGTAAAAAAATCAAGGACTATGGTAAGATAAAGGATAATTTTGGAGTTTATTATAGACTGAGGGATACCTGAGGGCTTGAGAAATATATATCAAATCCTGGGAGGGGTAAGAAAAAACAGAAAATATTCTTGCCAAAAAAACTCATTTTCTTTTTGAAAATTTTATCTTTTTTGTCGTCAAAATTAAAGTTCTGCTCCTTAGAAGTCCTGTTGGGGAATACGGAGGTACCACTAACACAAAAAGGACCAAAATTCTATACCAGTGAAGAAACCGGGACCAAAATTATGGATTATTCTAAAGATTCGTCCTAGGGTAAGCTAACAGTCCGGTGAATAAATTGGCAGGTCGCCAAAAAAAGACGCAAAAGCTCTTTTTGTCGGCTGAGAAATGGGAAATTTTTGGGGCACGAGAGTATGTTTTGCGCGTCTTTTCTCTGTCTTCTCTGTGCAATCAAGACAAAGTGTAAAAAACCGATAGCGAAAAGTCTATTCCGGTCACCGAACTCGTCAGTTTGACGTGTGGTGTGCAGAACTTACATCAAGCTGTCGATGATGGCTTCTTCCACACGCCAGAACAATCCTCTTCGAAGTGATCGAGAAGGCATTTCCATCTTGATCGTAACCCGAAACCTTCCAATATTCCTTTTGATCCACGTCGGAGCAGAACTTCATCACGTTGGTCACCGTTGTGTATTGCGCGAAATTCTCCTCCAATCCCATCTTCTTGGCGTAGGCTTTGAAGTATTCGCGGATGAGACCGGCCGGAAGACGGGCAATCAAACTCTGACCTCCGAGGAAGTTGGCCAATGAGTAGCCGGGGAGATCCATCCAGGTGCACAGGGAGACTGTGGCCATCTGAAAAAACGGTTGATAATCTATGTAGCTCATAGGAAATCGAACTAAATTGAGCTCATTTTCGGGAACAATCTCTATGCAAAATTCCAAGGCCTTTTATGGCCCACAACAACATTTTATTAGGGTTTCCCTTAAGTCTTTCTGATTTTGGAGGCTGAAATTTAAAGGGAAATCCAAACATCATAGAATCCCAAAACCAACGCCGCTTCAAACCCCCTTACATTGTCATCGTAGCGATTCCAGCTCCCACCAATCGGCCCATCGCCCAAAACAACATGCGGCACCCTTCGTGCCGGGCAAAATTCGAAATCCAAGCAAGGCCCAACCGTACTGGGCTCTGAACCCTCTGGCCGCATCAACCGATCCATCAGGTCGGAGTAGAGGCCCACGGAAGCACTGGCATGTTGCTCGTATTCGGGCCGATACCAGCTGAGATCCTGATCCAAGAGGGAGAGCTGAGAGTTCTCGGCGAGATTCTCATGAATGAATTGATTCGGATGCGGACGATCCAACGAGTAATAGGGCAGCCAGCCCGACAGGAAGGCTGAGAGGGAGATTCCGGCGGGGCCGTTACCTGAAATGGAGAAATTGTTGAAGAGTACGTGATAAGGCTAACAATAAGAAGTTTATTTTGATGACAAAAGCAGAATGGCCAACCTCTTTGCGGGCAGCTTGAGGAGGGGATCCTTGGAAATCAGCCAAAATTTGCTCAAAACAGGAAATTCAAACAATAGATTTGGAAGTTAGATGTTGCTAAACAAATTTTCAGGTGTATAAGTGGCTTGGGTAGTTAACAGAAGGCAAACCAGGCATTTTTGAAAGTTCAGAAACTATCTTGTAAAGAGAAACTCTCATAACTATGCGAGCGGTGGATGAATTCAATAGATTCGTGCACCCATCTGCAACAAGAAGGCTAAAACTTTCAGCTCGCTTTTTACAGCTACAAGCCGAAATATTCGACGATTTTTGGCATCTATGGGCAACGAACGATGAAGGAAAAATAGGTTACACAGTAGCAAACTTCTACCCAAAGAAGACCAAATTCCCAGGTATGCTTTAGAAACAAGATATTCCCAAAATCCCTTACCAATAACAATGACTTCAGTGTCAACTTCGAACATCCTCCACCACTCTCTTCCAAACGTTCCCAATAAATTATCAACTAATATAAATTAGGCTTGATATGTAGAGTCGGTTCCTCGTTCCTTCAGTCGCAACAACAGCAGCAACAACAACAGTTTCCTGGCACTTCCTTGCTGGTCTTGGCGATCACGTTGGCAAAGGGTTGTTGTTGTCGGACGATGGAGAACATTGGTTCAAAAGTTCCGAATTTTGGGAAACGAGGAAGAAGGTAGCGGTGTAATCTTGGAATGTGGGGGGAAATTACACCAGAAATTGGATTACACCTCCAGCTGATAGAGATGAAGTTGAAAAATGGGGGAAAATTGATGATTTTGAGGAAAAATCAATGAGATTTTGCGATTTGAGTGGTTGAATTCGTAAGTAGAAGGCGGATTCTGAAAGAAAATTGATAAATAAAGTGTTCATGTAGACTGACTTTACGTATTTTACCCGTAAATTTTATTTACATAATAAAAAACGCGATAAAATTTTTAAAAAAACAAAAAAACTTCAAAAAATGTAAGTACTTTTCGTTCAAAAAATCAGAAAAAAATTTTAATAAATAAAACCGTTGAGCCGTAGAAAATGAGAAACGGACGACAGTAAAAACATCATTGGACAGAAATTTCGCTGACTTTGGGAGACGGCGCTACGACTTTTCGGGTCAGCGACAGTTCAGGTCAACAATACTGTGGACCACGTCGACTAACCGTGTTAAGCATTGAGGAGGCTAAGAGAAGGCTTAATTTGTAGAAATAATAAGATTGATCGGGTCTTAGGATAGCTCGTCACCTTTTTTTTGAGGAATCTCACATGTATTCACATCAATAATATCTCTTTAAAAGTGACGGATATTCGTTTTTTTGCCGCAAATTTTAGTCTTTTATATGTTACAGTAACTCAGGGTAAAGAAAACTAATGCTAGTAATAGCTAAAATATGTCCATTTAGGAAAAGTGGACATATTTCAAGCCTTGCCAAGTCTCCGCCGAGGCTTCGCCGAGCGTCCGCCGATCATCCAACGGCTCCGCCAACTGACCAAATGCCTCGTAGGCACTTTCTACAACCTTTTTTTAGGTATCCACTTGCCCTACGCCCATTTATCGATCGATTTTGTGTTGACCCGAAAAGCCGGGACACGTCCAAAAATGTTCTTTGCACTAAAGTCTTTAGCTCAAAAGTGCAAATGAGGCGTAAACAAGTTCAGGGCTCCTAAATATACGTCATATTTAAGTCATATTTTTCTTGCTCTATACAGCACTAGCTAAATCGCTGTTAACGGTCGTATTTGACCTTTCAATGCATCTTCATCCCATCCTCTTTCAAATTGCGAAATCTACAATAACAAACAACCGCGGCCACAAGTCGTCTTTTCACGCAAATGCGAGAAGAACGAAGAAAACTTTCACGCAAAGTGCCGGCTCGCCCGTTCCCCTGTCTCAACGGGTTGTGCCTCAGCGTGTATTCGAGTCTCTGTGCTGAATATTCGTACTACAAACTAGAGTTTCGAGTATTCGAAGAGTAGAAAAAAGAGATTTAATACAGGAGTTTGGACCACTTTGTGTAAGATTGCATAAACACGGATTCTGAGGTTTTTAATTATGTAATGAAAGAAGAAAACGGTTAAGAGTGGAGATTATGGGAACAGTGAGGTGTGGTGGAAGAGATTAGAGATGATTTGGGATAATTTTGGAGGGAAGATAATAAGAAGATAAGGAGGATAAGATGGAATAAGTCGAAAATTGAAGGAAAATTGGAAAAATATGATAATTCAAAGTGAAAAAAAAACATGAAAGAAACATAGAACAGTTATCGTATAGGTCTGCAGTAGCTGTATGAACTCGATTTTAGGCGAAAATATACAATTTGAAAAGGCGATACTGCAGAAACCTCCAAAAGACAACAGTCACACTTTGATGACCCTCGGAAAAAAGTTAAGGCCACACCTTTCCAAGATATTAGCAAGACTTTAAGCTCACATTTAACAGAAATTTTCAGGGCTGTGAAAACGTCAAAAATGTTGGCTTCGTCATCAAAGCACACCCAAAAAAGAGTGTTCTGCGGCCTACACAGTTTTTTTTTTTCAAAACAATGTGTACCTCATGTAGTCGATGAAATAACGGCAGACATGAATGTAATGCCCTTTTTAATAAATACCACAGAGAACACAGGGAAATAAAATTAGGTTGATTCAAGAATTGTGCCAAAAATCACAAATTCAAAAAACCAAAAATTTTGGACACCCGGAATTTAGAAGAACCGCCATAACGTCCGAGCAATGAAACCAAATCGTATGAAACTTTGTATTGCTTATTCTTAAAGGCTGATTCACATTTGTGTAAAATTTCATAACATTTGGAGAAAAACCCCCCGAGATATGATCAAAAAAATGTGGTGGAACCAAAAACCTGTGACGCACAGTAACGTTCCTGATTGCGAAATTTCGCCTTTTCATAAAATCACTTTTTCCCGAAAAAATATAAAAATGGGTATACAGTGTCATAATTGGAGCTCTGTGCATAGAGTTAGACCGAAATTAGAAGTAAGAACAGACAAAAACCCCCAATATCTCTCATTTTCATCAAAAAGTAAGTGCCATCCCATTCGTTTCTCATAATCACTGATTTTCAAATTACACTCGACCCTTGTGACGCAAGAAAATTCAATTTGACGCGCCCTCACCTTGACCTTTTTACGGATTGTACACAAACAAATGGTATGATGTCCGTGGTTCCTTATCATTAATAAATGATCCAAAATTTCGCCGGAAGTTACAAAAAAAAGTGAAAAATTCAAATGGAAAAAACGGTGGATAAAATAACTATTGATAGGATCAGCAAGGAAGCTCTATGTTTTGTAGAAATACAAGAAATTTTATGATTTTAGAGAGAAAATGCAGAAACACCGTTTGTTTTGGAGAAAATCTGATGAAAAGTCCGATTTGTGGGTGGGAAACGATGGGAAATACGGAAATAACATGAACAAGATGATCTTAGAGATCTGTAAATTATTTTAAAGCAGCTTTAAAGAGGATAGAACACATCAAAAATTATAATTTTAGTTTTGGAAGAGCTGAAGTCAAGTGTAATATAAATTGATGTCAAGGAGGCTATGAGACTTGATAAATAGCTGTTAAATACGATCGATGGCCAAACTATGACTATAGTTTTTCTTCAATTTTAGCTTTTCCTTTACCGTACCCCAAATAAATTGTTCTCATCAAACTCAAACAACCACCTCAGACCCTCAAAAACAATACCATCAAACTACAAAATCTCATGGATTTTCACGTCAACCCGCCGTTTGCTCTCACGCACCCAAAATTCGCATGGTCTGGCGTCGAATTTGAGCTTTATGGCCTTCAAAAAGCTCTGATTTTGCCATAGCAGGTAAGAAAAAAATTCGGCCAAAAATCAGAGATTTCATTGGCAAAGAGAAAAATAGTGGCCTGAGGTCACAAAACGGCACAAAACAGCGACAAAATGAGACAACAACGAGTCAGACAGTTATTCATGGATGAATAAATGGTGCTTTGAAATACACGAAGGGTCGGAAAAAATTTTTGCGGGAAGTTTTGAATTTTTGGGAGGTCCTTTCACACTTTGCAAACAACTCTCAATAGGGTACCCTAGACAACAAGAATGATCTTTAGCTAAAACATTGCTGCGATTTTAGAGGAAATTTTTGCGACCTAACTTTTCGGGTCAACGACAATTCGGGTCAACACAACCTGAGGCGACAGAGGTTTGAAACACCTTTCTGTAAAACCAATATAGGACAAAAAACATTTAAATTTCGTGCCAGTACTGTGTCTAACCAATCCTGACCGATTCACCACCGAACCGGACGATCATGGCGCACAGGCAATTTGTCTAGCGCAATAAAGTTGAAAGTTGAAAGTTGAAGTTGAACACAAAATCGATCGATACGGAACGTATGGCAGGTAGATACAGAAAAAAGGGCCTAGAAAGTGCCTACGAGGGCTGGCAAAGCCGCTGGATGCTCGGTGGACGCTCGGTGAAGGCTTAGCAGACTTTGGCGAAGGCTTGAAATAGGCCCACTTTTTTGAAGTTTAGAAATTACTAACGTTAGTTTTCTTTACCCCCTGAGTCATTGTAACATGTAAAAGACCCAAAAATTGCAGCAAAAAACGAAGATCGGCAGCTTTTTATGCTTTTATCTAGATATTATTGATGTGAGTACATGTAAAATACCTCAAAAAAGGTGATAAGCTATCCTTAGACCCGATAAATCTTGTTATTTCTACTAACTAAGCCTTCACTTAGCCTTCCAAATGCATGCAAAGACGAACTGATGCAATCCATAGTATCGTTGACCCGAAAATTCGTAGCGCCAAACTTTTGAAATTTTGACGAGAAATCTGTGATTTCTGTGGTTTTTTTGGCCAATACATTAAAACAAAGCCAAAACAGTGTCGAAAAAGACATGTTGATGGAAAATGCGCCTAATCCAAAGACTGAGGGACAAAGTTGGACTCATAAACAACCCTTTCTTTTGGCCAAAGAATCTGACAAAAAACAAATGATGCAAAGGGCAAAAACTGAAAAATACGGTAGCAAATAGGGCCGCAAAGGCTGAAAACATGAGATAAGATGGGAAATAAGGCCATAAAAACTTTGAAAATTATAGAGTAGACCTGGTAAACTATGTCCAGATAATTTTTAAGACACTATTTTACTTGCAGACCCAAAAAAACCCCTTGAAAAATCTTTATTTTCCACGAAAATCCCATCAAAATCTCCATAAAATGACGTCTTGGACACAAGGCCTTCGTTTTGTTCGGAAATTCCATAAAAAACGGCGACAAAATGAGACAACAACGTGTCAGACAGTTATTCATGGATGAATAAATGGTGTTTTGAAATACATGAAAGGTCGGAAAGAAATTTGAGGGAAATTTTTGATTTTTAGGAAAACCTTATTGTTAGATAAGAGATATAGAAAAAAAACTCAATTCCCGCGAAAAAAAATATTTTTTT